ACAAACATGGTACAATAAATTCGCATCCAAAAGTCTGAACAAAATCCCGATTCATTATTTATCCGCGGTTTCATCTATTCTTCCACGGTTTCAACTAATTACCCAAAGATTTTTTACAGACTTTCGCGTGCGATTTTATTGTATCATGTTTGTAGTGTATGGGCATACGCTACCCAAATATGAAGCGATTTACATAATAGTTTTTAACATTTTTCCAAAGCAGGGTTTTATATTCTTTTACTATATTTTCACCATTTCTTCAGTGGAAAGATATTGGTATGCATGCTGTGATTGTGGAGCCGCGATTGTCACAGACAGCGTCTTTGTGACAGGTCGCGTTTGACAGAGCATGTCACGGTCGCTCACCATTGTCGTCTTACTCCTTCTCCACCTGCAACTGCAGCGGCACAAGACAGTGTGCTCACTCTCCACCTCTCGCTGTATATGTAACATACCTTGATGAGCGGGCGGTGTGCAGAATGCGGGGAAGCGACTGTCTGGGACCAGGAATTAGGCTCTGCGATATGCACACATTGTGGGACGCTTGCAGATCCTACGCAGAGCGTTCTTAATTCTCATCTTGAATTCTATGATGGCTTTTTGCGTGAAACACCGTGGACTGACATTTCGAAGAGCACGCTGAAGGGCAGGAATGGTTGGGCACTGCCAGGGCAAGGCAAGGAGGCTCGGGACAGACAGAATACGGTACGTATGTCCCGTCCGATTGGATATGTGCGAGGTACCCATGCTCTACTGTGTACAGATAGCGATGCATGAGTACATCAAATCTGTTGCTGGGAGGCTTGTAAGTCCCGGGTCGGCCCCGCGAGCACAAGGCATTTTCGATCAAGCCATGAGACGAGGTCATTACCGATGGGGTCGTAAGGCTAGGCTGGTGGCAGGGGCATCCGTCGCCATCGCTCTTCGCGAAGCTCACAAGAGCGAGTCTTGCAGCGACATAGCGGTGAGTTTCGAACATTCGTTATTCTTTCCCAAAATAATACTAAGCGATGGTGATTAACAGTACTTCCTGGAAGAAACTACATCATCAGTGTCTCGGACCTTCACCTCCGTGGTCTCTCTTCTGCAACTCAGTCTCACCTCTGCGGACCCCACAATTCACCTTACAGCCCTGCAAACTCATCTGCTTTCACTGCTACGGGATACGCCATCCGCCCTGTCAGCTAAGTTGATTAGCACTTTAACTCCTTTAATACCGGCTCTATCAACTGTGCTACGAACAGCATCTTCCCTCTCTGCGCTCCTTGCACGTCAAAATGTCTTGTCGCACTTGCCTACACCACCTACCGCATGTGCACTGTTTATTCTTGCCCTCGAGGCTGAAAGCGGGTCGTCACTTCCGCAGACGGGCTCTCTTGCTCAAGTCCTAGGTGCGCGCTTTGGCGTCGGCAAGGGCGTCATCATGCAGCGGTACAAAATTATCTACGATCTCGTAGAGAAATGGATTAGAGACATCCCTTGGCTGGAAGGACACGAACGGAAGAAAGGCGGTGCCGGGCGGTCAAAGGTTGCCAAGCGCGTCGTTGTGGCTAGAGGTCTTAAAGATGTCGTGCAATTCCAGGAAGAAATCTGGCGGGAAAAGATGGAAAAGGAAGCCAGACCTCATGTTCATCTAGAAGAGGAGGAAGAGGATACTGACGGCGAGCCTGATCATGACTACTTCCTGAACGGAAGAGAGATTGTTCCTGGTACGTCGAATGTGTCCCTCTGTGCACAAAAAGAAGACGTCATTTCTGGTCGTCCTCGTAAGAAGCGGAAGACGGCCCACGAACGGTCCGTAACCGAGGTCTCGCGATTTTTGCTAAATCCTGCATCCTCCATGGTTTCTTCTTCTTCTCGCTCAATGCATGGTAGCGGCGACGATACGGGCCTCTTGACGCATATACTCACCGCGGACACTTCGGACCTCTCACGTGCGTTCGCCTACGCCCCGACACGTCTGCAGCTGCTAGCGGCGTGTCGCGGTGGTGCGGAGGAGAAAGATATTGCCGATGAGGAGCTGTTCATCGAGGGAGAGTTGGAGGCAATGCTACGCAGTCCAGAAGAGGTGGACATTGTTCGCACAGCAATGGATTGGGATACCGGTCTGGCGGCCCAAGCTGAATCGCCAGGAGCCGATCGAATCAAAGGGAAGCGGCCAAGGGAGATGGAAGGAGATGCGTCCGCGATGAAGGGCAAGAGTACGACAGGAGGAAGCAAGAGGATTGACACGAATGCACTCGCAAGACTGCTCGACCCGTCTACATTCATTGACGAGTCAGGAGATATCATCAGCGAACCAATTGACCGCAGCGCCTTGTCTGTTGATGATGAGGAGATTGTTGAGGAATGGAGGCCCGCGTCTCCGGGAGGAGATGGGTTTGATGAAGACCGTTATGAATTATGACATGGACAATAGCGTACTCAATCTCAATCTGTCGGCCTTGTACCGGTGAGTCTACCTACCAGCAGCCCGACTGATCCAGCTGGTAACATAGAGTCTAGCAGCATAGTTCTAAACCAATCTACATACAATACTTGAACCTGTAATCCCTTACGAATACGACATCAAGGGCTTGCGTGGAGGAAGGCTATATTGTGCTGTCGTGCGTTCATCGGTGTTCTTATGCATGACAGCACCGACCAATGCACGACGCGATGGTCTCATTACGCACCTTCATACCCCCGAAACATCCGTCTCATGCACAGCAGACAGTGTCTGTATGTACAAAGAATTCTTGCCGGTTCCTGTTCCTAGTTTACAACAAGAATATATACGTCGCTAAGATGGACACTAGTCAGATTCAAATCGAGCGCTCTCAACCTGGGCCGCCGCCATACCACCCGCCCGGCTAATGAATAGACAAGCGTGCAGCATGCGCGTCGTGCACATCATCATACACACGTTGCAAGACGATACGAGACTAGGAAGACACAGTCGAGACGATCGGGCAGAGTAAGATAAGAGGAGCCACACACGGCGAGACAAAAAAAGATGGAGGCACAGTTAGAAGATGTGAATGGTTACAAAGAGATAATCGTCATGACCAGAGTCGTGTGTGCATGGAGTTTAAGCCCTCTTGGCAGCCTAGGGTTAGCAAGTGGTGAGTGTGATGAAGGAGGAACCGACATGTCTAGTCACGTACACGGGCGCTTCGCGAGCTGGGAGCAGCTTTAGCCGGGGACGCCTTGGTGGACCTCGCAGTGGCAGGCTTAGCCTTGGACGCAGCAGCCTTCCCCGTAACAGCCTACACAGCATCAATTAAAACCTTTGTCATCTCAATCACTTGATACGTTACAGACCTTCTTCACGCTGTCACGCCTGCTCGTTGAAGTCGTCTTCTTCGCAGGAGCTGCTTTCTTGGCTGGAGCCTTCTTGACTTCAGACTTCTTCGCAGCGGTGGCCTTTGCCTTGGTCGTAGCAGACGACCTCGCTGTAGTGGACGACCTTGCGGCAGCGGACGACTTGGCAGCCGCAGACTTGGATGCTGGTGCAGCCTTCTTGGCGGCAGGGGCCTTTGCCGCTACCGGCGATTTCTTAACGGCCATAGGCTTCTTCGCTGTAGCTTTCGCGGTCTTCGCGAGAACCGCTGCCTTGGCTTTAGTAGCGGGTGCCTTAGCTGGCTTAATAGCAGGCTTGTTCTAATATTCCTATTAATTGATGAGTTATAATAATTTCTCATGTCAACTCACCTCCTTAGCAACAGACGTGTCCGTAGATTTGTTCTTAGGAGGCAGTTTCACGCGTCCAGAAGGTCCTAAAGGGATGAAAGACCTATGGTTGTCATTCGAATGCACATGCAGTTGGTCTTACCCTTGGGAAGGACGAAAAACCCCTTGTCGGCACCAGTAGTAATGGCTTTGCTGAGCTGAGTGATCTGGGCATTGCCGATCTCAATGTGGTACTTCTCCTCAACGTATCTGAGCTAATGTAAGGTACTGTGTCGTAGCGACGCGTTTCAAGGACGCTCACTTCTTGATCTGAGGACGAGAAACACCGTGGCGGGCATCCTCCTTGCTATCGATGATACATTCCTTAGAACGACCGTAGTTAGCACTGTTTACGAGCGAATGAGAGCCGAGCGTGATGTGCAAAGCAGCTTCGCAACACGAGGGACCTATGGCAGGAGGACAGAGGAGGACGACGAGCAACAGTGGCGCGCGGCGTCGGCCGCGCCCTTCGCCCTACCCCTTTTGGTCGAAAGTACGAACGACGCGACAACGAAGAGCAAGACAGGATTATTCACGTATGCCTTGCTGAAAGTGGCTTGAGCAAGTCAGCAGCAATTCACCTTGATCATATCGACCCAAGGAGGGTGCGCAGGGGCTGCACGAGCCGCAGCCTTCTTGCTAGCAGCCGATTTGGCAGTGGAGGACTTCTTAGGTGTAGACATCGTCGCAGACGGTTACGCAGTAGCGCGCTGTGGATGTTAACTTGACGGGCAGCAGCAGGTTTCTCTGCCGGATGAGGGAATAGGCAAGAACGGGAAGGGGGGCAGGGGATGGTGGTGGTGCAGGTTGAAGAGAGGATGTTCAGACTCCGAGGCGCGTCCGTGCATTCAACAAACTGTAATCCCACGTCACGTGAGGCGTAAATTCAGGGACTTGCCTTGAAGACGTCTTTAGAACATATGTGACCGAATGAGCTATGCGAAAGTGACGATGGATGAGTGAGGGAGCGTTTAAAGCAATTTCTGAGACGAAACAACGAGAGCGTGTCGCAGAATGTGCCCTCCACGCATACCCGCCCTTTTAGCAGCAGTTTAGAGTAGGTAGAACGCGTTTTGGAACAGGAAGCTCGGTTAATTGCTGGTTTATGGTGTATTCATGCGAGCCCCAATTTTTTCGAGGCATTTGCACGGATGACAGTCGAAAGACAAGGCGGCAAAGGGAGCGAGTCTGCAGAGCTCCGTACGACAGCAATGTCCAAATATGGTATCGCGGCTCGCGCTCAATCTCGCGTAGATCTCGCGAAGCGAGGCACGTGAACGTGACGTTGATGTGACCCCCGCTTTGGCTGCACGCGGAGAACGCGACTTTGCAGCATGGCAATACCGCCCTCGCTATTGGCCTCGGCCCGCTCAGCCTACCGCTCGTTCTTGAGAGCATCGCGAACGACATTCGTGGGCGATGCAGTCGTCAAAGATGGTGAGGACTAATTCTGTGCTAGAAATCGTGGCTCGAGCTGACTGGTACGCGGTTCAGCCTTCCGTGCAAAGATACGGAACGAAATATTAACATGTCCACCCCATTCTGACGAGAATGCCTTCCAAGAGAAGATCAACCTTACAAGGGAGATTGCGGACGTTCTACGGACAAATATTGCACAGGCTGTGAAGGTGGAAGACGCCACTGATCCTGCGTCGGGTGACCGATTCAGTACGCACTCGGCGCTTGACGCTGTGTTTATGAGATGGTATATTTATAAGACTGTTTATAGAGCTCCGAATAACAGAGCACACCGAGCTTGGATCAAACGACACCGTGAAAGACCCGGAACCCATCGAGTCTAGTCGAAGCGCCAGGAAACGCACAAGGTGAGAATTGTACTTTCCCGCTGCCTCATCCCTTGGTCCAAGGAGTTCTATCATGTCATCTCATTCTCACCAGCTCCGCAGATGCTGCTCAGAATGACACGCCCCAGATACCGCGCTTCTACTCTCAACTCAAGAAAGCACATAAGCAACGGGTGGTCCCGGAGTTGAAGGAGGAGGATCTCGAGGAGTCGTTCGTCCGAGGTATGACCTATCCGGATGATCTGATTAATAGATGTCGTCGACAGTCATTGTGTGTAGGCAGCGGCCCTGGTGGGCAATCCATCAATAAAACTGAGAACAACGTGCAGTTGTTGCACAAGCCTACGGGCATACGTGTAGCGTGTCAGGAGACCCGTTCTCTCAATCAGAACCGAGCGTTAGCTAGAAAATGGCTGCTTGACAAGGCACGTTTGTTTTTGGCCCCGTAATGATGCGTTTGTGACACCGGCCTACTTCAGTTGGATGCGCTGTACAATCCTGGGCTTTCTCGACAAGAAATGAGGAAGGCACGACAGTTGGAGCGGGAGCGTCGAAGGAAAAAGAAGGCGAAACACAGAGCAAAGAAGTCAAAAGAAACCGAGGAACCAGAAGACGCAGAGGAAGAGCACGAGTGATAGAGAACCGACATTTATAAGCTGGAATCCCTCGCGTCGATGATAATCGGACTACATCTGTGTCAGCATCCTGCTTTATTTCTTTCTGTAATCCTATACAAACTATTGTACACTGAACAATGCAGGAGAGCATAGTACAACGAGAGCGGTCACAGTTTTCATCATCATTCAGGATTCAACGGCGGCGTCGGCGGGCGCCTTCCTTTCACAGGCCAGAATTCCTTCATCGTCTCCGCGTCCCATACCCGCCCGCCCCTCGCGACATACTGAATCTGACGTGTACCTCTTATGTCCCCGTTGATCAGGTCGACGTCTGGCTCATAGATGATGAAGTCTGCGAGTTTCTTAGGGGCGAGCGAGCCCAGCGCGCCGTCAATACCGAGCGTTATGGCTGCATCGGAGGTTGCCGCTCGGAGTACCTGCAGAGATAGCCATCGATATGAGATCTTCGTGCGGCTGAAATATGAACTCGTAGAGCACCTCGTAGTTGGTAAGACCACCTTGCTGTGTAAACCACATCTCCTTGTGGTAGTTCAAACCGAGCGGCGGTTCCCCATGTGCACCAATGTGAGCTCGGAGACCCATATGTACCATTTTCGCTGTGGACACGGACGTGTTGAACAGAGCGTACGCTGGGATAGTCACAATCAGCACGCGGACATGCTACCTGAAGGCCTGAGCTCACATGTTTTGGGCCTTGCCGTCGACTCCGACAGGCCCTCTAGAATATCATGTCTGGTGAAGCGTCTCAATCTATGAGAACGATGCTGTCAGGTGTGTCTCATCAAATAGCCAGGGCCGTACATACTTGGGATCATCCGGAATGTCCTCGTTAGCCCAGACGTATTGCTCGCCCATGACTCCGCCGTAATTGACGAGATGCGTTGGCGTGGATCCGGTACCACTCAGTGCAAAGAGGGTCAGAACATCCTCATACAGCACCGGTACGGGGAGAGCATGTTCGATTGTCGTCATACCTGACAAAAGTCAATATACAGTGGAGTACAGAGTTGTACAGTGACTTGCCATCAATGATGTACGTCAGGTCCCAGTCGTAGTTCATACCCTGTCGACGTAAATAAGTATTGATGCAAGTCCCGTCCTCAATGGGTGTACTCACGCCTTCAGGCACGCAGAGCATGGAACGATTGCGTGCAGTCAAGAGGAGGCGTTGCCTGGAAGCGCTAATGAGATGCTAAATCAATCCACAACGTATCGACAGAAACGTTAGGAAAAATACCGAGAGGGTAGATTGTAGTTTTTGTACGAGAAGCTGGCCGGCCCAGCCTCGACTTGGATTCTTATGAGAGCGGAGCTTGCCTCGTGCATGTCGACAATCTCCTGATGCAGACTGGGCTCTGCAGCCCCATAGATGACACCGCCAACTTGATATATGCGCGGTCCGACCAGCTGCCCGCGCTCAACTCTGAACCGCTCCGCAAAACCAAGGACATTATCCGCACTCGGGCTGGGGCAAAAGTCAGAAGCGCAGCTGACAACGGAGAACATCAGAGCGTACTTGTGGACAGTTGTCACACCATAGGCAAGGAACGTCTCCATTTCCCACGAACGTGCTGGATACAACGTATCGAAACCATTCCAATGCGCATGAACGTCAATAAATCCAGGAGTTACGAACGCTGAATATTGGTAAGGATGAGCATGTATGCCCTCGAGTAGGCTGAATGGTTAACTTACCTCCTTGAGCGTTGAAGACTTGGGCACCCTCTGGAATCACGGGGTCCTCCACTCGCGAGATCGTTACAATCCGTCCTCCACGAACCAACAGTGTCGCAGATTCAAGAAGATCGGCATTCGGATCGCCGGTCTGCATAGTCAGCAATGTTGCGTTTGTGACGGCAAAGACATCTGCACTGCTCTGCGCTTCTTTTCCAGCTTCTTCGCGTTGAGACGCTGCTTCCGCCTGAAGACGGCCTATATCCGTGGTATACCAGACAAAAATCTCTTGAAACTCGGGATGTACTTCACCGGAAACTGCCGACTGGTCATTATCCGCCGATGTACAGGTCCCTATCTTTGAGACGTCAATCCAGTGCAAGTACGGTCCTGTCAAAATACTATCAGTTTGCCAATGAACGTATAAACTTTGACTATCCTACATACCGAGGAGCCAGAAAAGTCTGCTGCCATCTCGACTAAAGGCAACGTTATGTCCACCATCAATACCCAGATGGGTAAGACACTTCGTAGCATTCCCGAATTTGCTCCAGACAGGTTCATCTCCTTCGACTTTGGAAACGTAGTAGATATTATAGAAGTCTACGAAAGCGAGTGATTTGGTCTTGACGCCGTCTGAGAGCTCCGGCACAACCACAAGCTCCGTGGACATTCTTCCCGTTGCTAGGGTAGTATGATTGTAATCTCCCATTTCGTTCGGACCGGCAGCCAAGTCGATCACGAACGCTCGCTGTGGTGACTGCACAACCAGCTTGGTGCTGCGCTCGAAGAAGCGGATTTGCGTCTTCAATAATTCATCGGTGTCGATCTCTGATGGGATGAAGTGTATATTGTGTACAAATATCTGATTCGACTTGTCATCGTCGTCGGGGAGTTCGATTCGAGCTAGGTATAGTCCTTCACCAGCAGTTGCAACGATGTCACCCGTGAGGTAGTCCCCTCCTGTCTTTATAAATGCCAATTGTCTCTGTGATCCCGTACACTCGCACAGTATAGGCGAATAGTAGCGACCAAGTGGCAAACCTGTAAGCTCATAGGCGATACCCGTCCGAAAGTTCACCAGCTCGATAGTGGTGAAGTCGACATCTGACCAACGAGCATGGATCACAAAATGCTCGGCGTTGGGGACAAAGGAGGGTGAGTAGTATGGCGCATCCGAATCCAAGGCTGGCACTCTTTGGGTATTCTTCGCCTCGTTTCCGATATCTTGGATATACGTTGCACCTGACGCTTGGAATACCACTCTTTCGCCTTTAGTATCAGCCCGCAGTTCTGTGAACGCCCGAACCCTCTGAGTTTCAGCAGTCTCTAGGTCCATGACGTTTGTCTTGGCATTCAGTGTCTCTGCCAGGCGTTTCTCGACATGCGCCGAGAATTGTACAGGCTTTGGCTGCCCGGCAGGAATCTTCTCTCCTAGAGAATCTACAACGAGCGGAACATGGTATATCTGACCTGCAGCCCATACGAGGATGGCGTCATCGGAAGGCGTGAACGCAAAAGATGGATAAGAGCCCATAGGTGCGGAAATGACGCTCAGATCATACGTGAGCCCATGCCATGCATGACGAAGAGTGCCAGACTCGAGATCCCTGGGAGAACGATTTCGGTAAGTACAGAACGATTACGATAAAATTCACGTACAAGAGAACCAACGCCTCCTTATCCCGTACGCGACGAACAAAGGCTAGAGTACGGCCGTCTCTTGACAGTTCGGGTCTAGTCGCGCCACCAGGGAAAGCATCAACGAGAGTGGTAGTACGCTTTGACGTTATATTGGTCGAGAAAATGGCATACACGCCGGAATGGACATCTACAACGGAATGGAGATGAATGAACATCCAGCATAAAACTATATCATTCGGGCGCGGACCTTTGCTATAGCTGAACGCGCCATTGTTGTCCTTGACATTCTTCGAGTAGATGAGGGTGTCGCTTCCTCTCCAGATGAATTGCTCCGGTCCAATCTGTTGATCACCGTATCGTTCAGGACCCCATCCTGAAGGCAAAGTGCGTCCGATGAGCCTCTTGCCATCTCCCGCTTTAATTTGCTCGTTTGAGCCGGGGATGGGTACCTGGTACTCCCAGCCTTCACCGGCTCCGAGGCTACGCGAGGAAGTGTACCACTTTGTTGCGACAACAGAAGAGCCGGATGGGCTGAAGCGCGCATCAGACACCCAACGATACGTCTCGTTCGTTACGCGTTGCGCTGGAAAAAGTAACATGAGTTTCCATTGATCACGTTACTGAAATATCGCGCACCATTAATGCGGCCTTCACGAAGCAGTCTATGTTGCTTCCTCTCAGAAGTTTCCTTCACACCGCTGGCAAGAAGCTCGTCCTCGTATTCCTTGAGGGCTAATGCTTGCGACAACTCCTCGGAGGCATCACCGGACCTGACGTCCATAGCATCGCAACCCTTCCACTCCGTGACCCAGATATTCTCTATTCCAAGCTCGGCGTCGCTTCTGAACACGAGCCTTCCCCCCTCCGGGGAAAAATGCGGATCGGCGTCATAAGGTATGCCCAAGAGGATCGGTCGCGCCTTCGAAACACCACCGAAAGCGAGATGATCAGACAAGTAGGCGTCCGCAGGAAGACAATACAAGTCACCAAGCATATCAAATACGATCTCGCCAGATTTCGGATGGACGTCGAGCCTCAGCCAAGTGCCCTCTGTCACGTCGTACTCACAGAGGCGAGGGAAGGGATAGTCAGTGGAGATATCCCACGGTGTCTGCTCGCGTATCGGCCAGACATCATCCTTCCATTCCTCACTTGGGTCTTTGTTGGCGCTTGAAGATGCTACGGGCTGCACCATAACGGCATGCTGCTCTAGTACGTTCGACACACCCGTAGAGAGGGTCGATAGGACGACAGCGGATACGAGCAGCAGGGCAACCAGGAACACACGAGATCTACGAGTCCATCTGTTCAGGAGGCCGTAGGAAACTCGCACACGCGTACTTCCGGTACCATTGTAAACTTCTCCTGGCAGCGTTCTGCGCTTAACTAGGGGCAGCAAGCCCGGATGTCCGCGAAGAAAGCTTTTATGCGTGAAGATCCATGATTGCGAGCGGCTGTCCTTGATGTCTCCCTGCGGTGGTTGGCTCGTTCCTCGGATGTCGTACATGTCCAATTGCTTTACGAAATTCTTGAATATGTGATGCCCAATCCACGGCTGAAGGATTTCTTGTGCGAATCGTTCATCATCACTCACTGAACAACACGTTACGAAATCCAGTTTAATAGCTTGCTTGTACACGCACCATAGAATGAGCGGCCATCTTTGCCCCAGCCTATTAGCTCGTCTGTGCTGGGATCGTCTACGATCCTATATACAGAAGAATCTCATCGGACGCCACGAGGAATGCTTGGTCGAGAGCTCACTTGTAAACACTCTGAAGGAACAGAGGAACCCGTGCAGAAAATTCCGTCATATTTTGATTCTGGCAATTCTACAGCGGGGCCTGTGTCCGGACTCAAGCTCCGAAGTGGCTAATGTCTTTCGGGAACGCTTTTATTGTGATCTAGAAGACGCCAAGAGACGCCACCACGATAGCAAAGTGAACGCAAGTCAGCCAAGACGGCATCTTGGTTTTGAGAATATCCTGCTTACCAGTTTCAACGATGAAGCTTCAAGTGAAGCCAAGTGCGACATTCAGGGACACGTCAAGTGCGACGACACTCTTACAAAAGCTTGTCCTCCGACGCGCTTTCGCTAATGGCGGCAGCCGTACACCTCACAATCGCGTCCAACGGGTATGTCGTCGTGAGGGCCAGAGACAACGTTCACAGGAGACGTGGTGCCTTCTTCGTTACCTTTATACGGGCACCGGGCAGACACCAAGCGCTCGTCATTCTCGTCAATTGACTTCCACTTTACCCTGAGAGCCTTACGCTGTGGGAGCATGACTGGCGAATGAGTGCGTCTAATACATCCTAGGCGAGTGTGAACGAGCGAGCTCGCACTTGGCCTGAGAGCTAGTGGCTATATGCGTTCTGGTCATATGGAAGGCCGATCGCTCCGACCGTTCCTCGACAAAGTAAGCAGTGCTCCTTGACCAGCAACTCCACCATGCCTAGCCTCGAGTTGAAGACGAACGTCCCTTTGGCCGACCCAAAGTCTTTCTTGCTGGAATTCTCCAGCGTACGCCCTCTCGCGCTCCGTGGCTGTCCATCAGTTACTCAGTGTCTCTCATACAGTATGCGTCGAAGACTCTTGGCAAGCCTGAGTTGTACATCTCAGTGAGCTATCACTTCAACGAGAACCTCACGTTCAATGGCTCGTTCGAGCCTGCCTTCCTCATGACGGTCGTAAGCGGTCACTCTTGCGTTGGGCAGTCTGTCGGTTGATTGAGAGGAAATCGCAGACGAGTCTGGACAATCTCCAGCCGGAACGCAACGTGGTGTATAGCAAGGCTTTCTTTGACTTCTTTGAGTCGAAGTTGGGCATTCAGAACGATCGTGGTTACATGTGAGTGCAATATTGTAATCTCCAGGTCGATCACGCCCTCTCATACCCAATGCTATCGTAACAGCACGTTCTTGGACCCTGGTAGGACGCATCTTGGGTATTTATCTGCTCTGTGAAGATATATGCTGCATCCTGACCATTTTGGCAGACATAAGGCCACTACCTTCAAAGCCATCTTCGGGTAGATGCCTCGGGCGATAGTCGAGAAAGCGAGAAGAAGACTGGCGGCCTTTCACGCTCGAAACCCGTGCGATATTGTACCATTACCTAGAGGCGAAGACCGAGAAGAATTGTGAAACGTACCCACCATAACGGACAGTCAACTAGTCACTGCTCGATGCTTTTGTGAACTCGCTCACGCGATCGGCGTCGGTGAAAGTGCATGCACCGCGCAAGAACCAGTAAACTAAAGTGATAACGAATAGAACATGGAGTCCGCTGTAATTTGCGAAGTGGATGTTTTTTTCGTTCTAATGTAGCCCGTGTGCTCGAGCACGGCTCACGAGTTCGAATCGAGACATAGTGAGATTTGACATGATTACGGTAGCGATGAAAGATTGTCTTCTGTTCCATGATATTTGATGAGATGGGAATTGGGGATTGCTTCACCAGTGCCGGAACTGGTGGCAACATTGAACAGACGTGGTAATGATCGGACAAGCGCCCATACTCGGCTGTGTCCTGCACTCAACGGTAGCTGTTCAACGGCATATCCTGGTGTATAACCCATAATCCCATAGGTAAGACTCTCATATGCAGTGAAATTGAATATTCAGCTCCTTTAACAGCCACATATATCGTCATGTCATCGGGCGGCCTGCACTCGCTGGCCACCATCATCAAGCGGTATGTGCTTTGCTACGCTATCCAACATTCTGCCTTGCTAATTGATCCTTTGATACAGGCTTGAAGCTGCAACGTCACGGCTCGAAGACCTCGCCAATTTACCTCAACCAGGATTCCTTCCCGCACCGAATGGAGCTGCGTCTGCGAACCTCCCCGCCTTGTCAGAACCTACGCCCGTCCCTCCGCCACCTCCGCCGCCTGCACCTGCGCTCGTGACGATCGAGACACCCCGGAGCGTAGAGGCGTTCGACGAGACGATCATGGAGGCGAAGGTCAAGCCGTTCGTGGAGTTGACCAAGAGCTTCGCGGTCCCATCTGTCGTCGAGCAGGTGCGTCGCGCTCCCTTCGCGTGCCTTCCTGCGTACTGACACAGGTGGCGAACGAAGGTGGGCATGGTCGAGAAAGAGTTCGAGGACCTGCGCGCATTGCTGCTCCTCGCCGCGAACTGCAAGAAACCCGACCAGATGACGTTCGAGTCGCTCCTCGGACCGCTGCAAAAGGACATCGAGGTCATCACGCGCGCGAAGGAGGCCAACAGGAAGGATAGGGACTGGCTGAACCACCTGTCGACGGTTGCGGAGGGTGGAACGTGTGTCGGCTGGGTTACTGTGGTGCGTTATATTCGGCGACGCGCGCGGTGCGAATGGGGTTGCTCATGTGTTGACGCGATGTAGGAGCCCAAGCCCGGTCCGTTTGTCGCTGAAGTCAAGGATTCAACCATGTTCTACGCGAATCGTGTGCTGAAGGAGTTCAGGGAGAAGTGCGTCAGATATGTCGGAGCGACAGCCTTGGTCTGACGCTTACTTCTCAGAGACCCGAAGCACGTCGAGTGGGTCAACACATATGCGTCGCTCCTTGAGGACTTGCGCAAGTACATCATGGATTACCACACTACCGGACTGGCTTGGAATTCAAGGGTGCCTTTTGCTCATTCCATTACAGCGAGATTGCATGCTAACGGCACGGGCGAAGCAGGGCATGTCCGTTGAGGAGTACCAGGCGTCACAGGGTGATGCTGCTGCAGGCGGTGCTCCACCACCCCCACCACCTCCACCTGCTCCTGTTGCGCCTCCACCAACCGCAGCCACTCCTGTTGCTGCCGGTGGTGTTGCCGCCGTGTTCGCAGATCTCAACCGGGGCGAAGAAGTTACAAAGAGTCTGCGGAAGGTGGATAAGAGCGAGATGACGCACAAGAACCCCTCACTGAGGGCTGGCAGCACCGTGCCAAGCACGACGGGCTCAGGTAAGGCACAGTGTGGCTCAGCTCGCGCTCACAGTAGTGACCTGCGGCCAGCACACAAGAAACCGGTGAAGCCCAGCAAACCTCAGGCACTTGCGGGCAAGAAACCAGCCAAGTTCGAACTTGAGGGCAGCAAATGGGCCATCGTCAGTCTTACATTTGTCGCGCGTAGTATTCACAAACCGATCGCTGTGTAATGATCAGGAATACCAAGAGAACGAGTCGCATCTGGTGGTCGAAAACACAGAGATCAGCCAGACTGTCAATCTCTACGGCTGCAAGAACTCGACCATAGTCGTCAAGGGCAAGGTCAATGCAGTCACCATGAGTATGCTTAGTAGTATTTCTTCCGCTCGTGTCCCTCACCACAGCGCCCTGTTCAGTAAACTGCACGAAGACCTCAATCCTTGTGGAATCGGTCATCTCGGCCATTTCTGTGACGAACTCGCCCTCGTTCGCGCTGCAGGTCACGGGCTCTGCGCCGACAATTCAGCTCGACTCGACAGACTCGGGGCAGATCTACCTCTCGAAGAGCTGCCTCGGCGTCGAGATCACGACGGCTAAGTGCAGCAGCATCAACGTCAGCCTGCCGGCCGAGGACGAGGAGGATGGCGTGTTCCACGAGCACCCCGTGCCGGAGATGTTCAGGACCGTGATCAAGGAGGGGAAGCTAGTCACAACTGCTGTGGAGCATGCTGGATGATGGGTCGTGCTTGGATAGAGCCTTGGCTTCAAGTTGTGTTTGGATTGAAGGGCAGTTGTAATGCATTGATACCACAATTTGCTAGTCTTTCCTGTCGCTGTAAATGAGAAGCTGTGCGCGAATGAATTGCAAGTCTAATGCCATGTGCCCCGCCGGCGGATTGGCCAAGCGATCGAGCTGCTGCCATCAGCCGAGCGGAACAATCAGCGTCTCGGCAGACGCTCGTGCGCATCGACAGAGGACGAGTGAAGCACATCACTCACATCGCGAATAATACCTATCCTACTACCGCGGACATTCACGCTTACAACCATGGATAGTGCAGGCTGGCACGCCCGGCATCGGGCCAAGAAGGTGAGTGGTGTGTCGCGTGCATCTACGTTGCTGAATTCACGATGAGTACAGGACGACGAGGCGTTACGCTTTCCACAGAGGGGGCCAGATGGGAGGTACCAGCCTCGCGAGCAGGTATACCCGATGGAAGGACCGTTCGTGGGTGGGTTTGGTATTCCCGGTGCTTCGCCGCCAGGCCCGACGCCAGGTTCATACCAAGGAGGAATGCCAATGCCTCCTGGCCCTAGTCCTGGCCCTGTCTATGGAGGCACGACGCCGCCTCCCATCCCACCAAGACCTGGGTCGACTGCCAACAAACCACCTCTCGCTCCTCGACCGAGTGATGAAGGGCCTGCCCTCCCTTTTAGACCTGGCGCGATGCCCGGCGAAAAGCCATGGACTCCTGAGAAGCCTGGAGCAGTGACTGACGAGGTGGCACCCCCACTTCCTGCGCGTCCAGATAACAGGTCCGAGCAAACCATTCTAACGTCTCCGGAGTCTGCTTGGTCCCTGCCGAGCTATCCTGATCGAACGTCCCTGAGTCGTAGCTCGAGTGGATACTCGCCGGCGTATTTGACGAAAGTTCCTGCTGCTGAGCGCACACGGGTGTTGAAGGCTGGGCAGATGGAGCCATACCTGCAGCTGATGGCGGGGCCATTGCTCCGCTACGATACTGTAGACACCGATGGGGTTTGGCGCGGAGCGGCATTGATCGTCAGTAAGTGTGTTTTTATGCGCACAAGCCTTCACTCTACTGAAAAAGATTGACGCTGCAGCTGCTGACGCTGGCTCGAGTTACGACCCCAGCCCGATTCTGATATATTCCTGGGACCCTGATCAGGCCGTCGAGCTGACCAGAAGCAATTCACAGGTGTCTACTCGTACACTGGCTGCTGACCTGCCGGCCCATCCTGCTGATCCGTACTCTATCCATGTGCCCGATCCCGCAGATGAGCGGCCTAGTTCGCAGGCGGTTTATAAGGAGGCCCGTGGACAAGAAATATATGTCTACGTCGGTAATGGCGGGTGAGCCTTTACGCAATTTATGTGTATCGATACCGCTCACGCTCAAACATCATGTATTCAAGCACATGCACCTTCTGGCGTTTCATGATAGAGGTTCCTCTAGGGCCAAATGAGATGCGGGTCAGCTACAATGTCAACCGCGGCCAACGTCTGCACTTTTATGTGCCCGCGCGCAACCAGAACATGCGTTGGGCAGCATACTCCGTAAGCATTGTTCTCTACCACTTCTATATATTTCTCATCTACTACTACTCGCCGTAGTGCAACGGATTCAGCGCTGGTGTGAATCCGAACGACTTCTGCGGGCCAGGCTTCCGCAGCGGGTACGACCCAGTATGGACTGATCTCCTCGCAAAGCACTCCGAGCGGCCGTTCCACACGCTTGTCGGCGGCGGCGACCAGTTGTACTGCGATGCCGTCGCGCGCGAGCCCGAGATGCAGGAATGGGTGAAATTGTCGAAGCCGGAGCTGAAAAAGAAGTTCAAGCTCACGGAAGAGATGCGCTCGGCGATCGACCGGTTCTACTTCAATCACTACTGTCATATGTTCAGGAGTGGCGCGTTTGCACGTGCTAACAGTTCCATGTGCGTGCGGAGGAGTTACCTTGCCTTTTCATGCGGCCGACTAAACCTCTGCATAGCCCAATGTTAAACATGCTCGGTGTGATGCGGTTTGTACATGCTCTGGGTCGCGGATTCTAACATTTGCTTCTCCGATAGATGACCATGGTGAGTGATATTCAATGATGTGTATTGCGGCTGAGCACGCAGCTTACCCCACGTTCATCACAGATCTAGTGAGATTATGAACCTGTGTTCGTAAACGATCACTGATGAATATTGTATGAAGGTCGATGGGTTCGGCAGCTGTTCGTTCCTCGCATCTCACTGCGTGCATTTGTGGCTGACATCACAACAGACCCCGACGATTTGATGTCTTCAGAAGTATTCTCGACGTAAGATGTTCTGCTCGCAGCTGGAAGCAAGCATTGATCTGAACGATGATTAGGATCGGCTCGCGAGGCTATTTCTTCTTCTTGCTGTTCCAATGCTTCATCAACTGTATGTCTCTGCTCTCCGTTGATCACGTTCTGCGTCGTTGACGGTAATGCGCAGTCGAACTTGACGGGCGAGACGTTCGGCGCCATCCATTCAAGTCGATAATAATCGGCGGCGATGGGCCGTTTGTGCGCTTCCCCTCGCATTCGTTCCTGACATATCTCGGGCCTCAAGTTTGGATGTTGTTACTCGACTGCCGGTATGACGTGCTCCAATACTGTTTACGACTTGTTCGCTGAAGCGTGTAGTGCGGAGCGCAAGCTTTATCAAGTATGCAGCGAGTTGGAGTATCGCCTTGTGATGGAGAAGGCATATGCGTTGCCGGGCACTGTTGAGCACCTCGTCGTGCAACTCGGTATGTTTCGATCGTTTAACCCCTCAGGATTGGCCTCATGTCTTGATGAATCTACCAGGTATTCCAATAGCATATCCCCGCATGGTCTTCCTCGAACAGATGTTATCATCCAATCTCAACCCTCTGGTCATGCTGGGCCGGAATGGAAGTCTCGGTTTGTCGAGTTTCGTCAACAAGTTCAATTCGGATGCGGAACTGCTCGACGATCTGGTGAGTGACGAGCTTAATATAGATCACGTATCATAGTATGCATCTTATGAGCTGGTAAACGTGCCAACGACAGAATGATCACTGGACGTCCAAACACCACAAAGTATGGATGCTCCTTTCCTCGACGGTCGACTCCACTCATTATTGCATGCAGCGTGAACGGAACTGGCTGGTAGAAAAGCTACAACTCTTTGCGAAAGCAAGACACATTCGAATCACGTTCCTATCAGGCGACGTCCACTGTGCTGCAGTGGGGGTGTTCAAGACTCTGCAAAAGTCCAAGCAGCCGGAGATTCCTCCTCCCTCTGATTACAGATACATGCTGAATGTAGTCTCCAGTAGGCCCTCCCCACCTAGATTGTAGTGCACAGACCACTGATCTGAATGATACTCCAGGCGCGATTGTGAATACACCGTCTGTCTCCTTCCTTCAATATTTGCAAATGGGGTCTGACGTGTCTTGCCATGTTAGCCCTCCTGCAGGTGTTCTCACCATGGTTTCTTCCCTAGCTACCAAGACTCATCGGACGATGCATCACATGGACACGGATGAAACAATGGCAAGCTGTCTACGTTTGAGTTCTTCATATCAGCTCTCTGATTCTACGGCACTCGACCAGGTTCCTATATTCGAAAAAGAGCCCAATGGCAGCCCTGCTAAGAGCAAGTACATTATGGGCCGGCGGAACTGGTGCGCTGTACGATGGGATCAAGATACTGGTGACCTCGTTTTCGACATTCGCATCGAGGAGGAGAAGGGCGTAGGGCGCACTGTCGGGTGAGTGCTGCCTCTATCCGGCTGGGATTTCCTTCCATTGCGATTAACCGGAATCGTGGTCTAGATATGCCATTCGATCACCCCCGCCACGATGGCTGTAGGCCAGCGTGGAAATGGATTGGCCTTTAAGATCTTGCAAGGTGCCAGGCGTATTTATGATACTTTATTCTCCCTCGCGAACCTATACCAATCGAAGTTCCAGGGAGCTTTTCTTTCTGTCTGACGTATTTAAAGCTTCTGCTTTGTTCTTTCAGTGCTTAGATGGACATCACATTGAATGGCGAATATATGTAATTGCTTCGGCACCTCCGGACGCCGCATCAGTTGGCATCTAACATGGACAGATAGTCCCCCGTAACAAGGAAGACAGTCATGCTCCTAGACAATCAGTTTTAATTGCTATATGCACCGTCAAGAGACGTTTTCATGGTATTCCCGGTGCGTCAGAGACGCCTCGATACACATATATAGATTCACCCAGAGAATAACCCATGCTATCGCCATGTTGTAAGCTATCCGCATTCGGCTGACCCTCTCGTTCCTCTTCTTCGTACTCGGAATTATACGCGCTAGAGTCATTACGAGACGCAAGCCCATGAAGGTCAACGCTTGATGCCACGGTGGGTGCAGGAGAGTACGGGCCGCTTGCAGTGTACGTGTCAGGCAAGGACTGCATGCTGGGAGAAGCAGCACCCCAACTCATGCCCTCCTCGAATGTGAGCATGCTGGGCGTCGCCGAGCTCTTGCGCATAGCCTGCAATTCGTCTATTTTCTTGCGCTTAGCCTCAGTTTCCTCTCGAACTTGCTTGGCCTTCTTTTCCTTACGTGCTGCCGCCTGCGCCCTGCGCCTGGCCTTCTGTGCCTCTGCTTTGTCGGCTGCTGCCTTATCCTGTTCTGAGTTTTTCTGTTGGGAGAAAAATTATAGTCAATGTATGCGTGTAACGTCGAAGACGGCAGTTACCTGTGCCGCTTGGCGCGCCTCCTTCTCTTCGAGACTATCCAATGCCTTCTGCTCCACAAAGAATTCTGGGTATCGTTCGCACAATGGGCGCCAGGTCCGTGAGTTCTGAGATGAGAGCGGCTTAATATCGGCCTCGTTCCCATCTACGGATGAGACAGCAGCGTCGATGTCCGGTGGTGGAGGGAACTCGAAGTCAGGTCCAGGATTTATGCGTACCCTTGCCTCGTTGAACAAAGAGATGAAAGGGTAATACCCAAGAGTGCCATCGTCAAATGGGTTCTCCTTGTGTTCCCGCAACCCGTCTTTGTTCGCCTTCTTCTGCTTTTCCTGCTTATTAGGAGGTGACCGTAATGGAAGATAGTCAAAAATATCCTGAAATGCAACGCCTTGGCTTTCGCCGTTGACGAAGAAAGCTATGTAGGAATCTGGCCCTAGGGTGGGTATAGGACGTAGAGGAGCCGGCTCCTGTACATTCGTCTTCGCTCCGCGAGAGGTTGAGGGCAGATTCTTGACCGTAGCAGACTTCTTCGTTGCGGACGATGGCATTGAGCCGGATTTCGTCGCCTTCGCGCGGTCGCTGGCATCCACGAGCGCTATCATTTCTTTTGACTGTGGATACTCGAGCGATTCAAAGTATTCTTGCCCCTTGAATTCGATGGCGATACGTTCCCTCTTGATGTGGGCGGGATCATATGGATCTTTCTTATTAGGAGCGCGACGTGGCGATGGGAGTGATATGTACATTCCGATCACGTCGCCAGACTTGAATGGCTTGCCATAGGGGCGGGGACGGGATAGGTGCACCTTGTCACCAGTCTTGTCTCGGTAGGAGTAACTGTATCCATCCAGACCTGCCGGACCATTCAGAGGTGCCTCTCGTCGCGCCCAACCAAGCCGGACATAGCTTCCTTCCAACCTCTGGCTATCTGGAGGTTTCTCCCCTCCTCCCTGCTCGATTTTGACCTCCATGTACCACTTTCCCTCGCGCACTGGGGCATTACAGCGTGCGCTCCTGAACCCCTTCTCTCCCTTCAACCCGAGCCCATCCAGTGTGACCTTGATGAACGTGCTTCTGTCCTCCCATGAGACGCGAAAACAGGTGGGCGCAGCCTCGATGGTTGTGAATGGAAGCACAGAGCCGATAGGAGACAGCCCTGCAGGGGTATAGCGGAAGTTCAGGCGGTTCATGCAGAGCGGTTCTGTGTTATAGTATGGGGACTCAGGGGACTCAGGTATAAATTGCGGGTGCCGAGAAATGGTGAGCCGTGGACGCGTCGAGAGATCGAGATGCCGAGGCAGGACCACATTTTCTACGGAAGGTGTGGGTGTTGCGCCGGGATCAGAAGGCGCAGGAGATGGTGCAGCGCCGCCTGAGATAGGAGCATGTTTGCGCTTCCGACTCGTATGATTGACAGGGACAGGTGTGACAACGAGAGTAGGGAGGGATGATGCGCGAGGTTCACTCGATACTTCCATGAAGGCTCTGAAGTAGCTGTTACAAAGGATCTATTAGTTCGATCGTCCCAGTTTATTACAGTGAACCTCCAGTCCAAGCACGATAGGTATGCGAGAGGCAGATTAAAGGCAGATAAACAGGTAAATATTCGCCAGCAGTTCGACCGCCTTCGAATCAAAGCGCGAGGAACAGGTGAGACAGCTCGGCGAACGTATGCGCACACGACTGTGCAACCACCCAGAGCAACGAGTCTGGGAAGCACAATAGTTTCTATTGAAGTCTATCCCAGTAGCAATGACACTTTTTGAAGCGATAGATGTGCTCTGGGTGGTGGTGTTGACGATAGGGTTATTCAAAGAAGCTACGCAGTGGTGCACTACAGCCGAAGGTGTGAGCACAAAAGCTGCTGGGAAGCGCGTAACAAAGGACGCGAATCAGAAGGTCCTGTAGCTACAGGAGCTCCAACGGACTCGATAGGACGTGGATGAGGTCGGAAGAGACGGAGTTGGAGTGTGGTGGCAGTAGGCAGAGTCAAGTTGTGGCAGCACACCTGCCTGCCAGTGAACCCGAGCGTCTATTGTGGCGTTAGTAGGCTCATAGGCGCCTGTATACTAGCACGACCTGCCTCGCACCGTGGTGACTTCGGCCTTGTCCTCCATCGATATCTCGCCAACGTATCACTATTGTTGCGAAACCTCTAGCGAATATGACAGCCTTGCGGTACCTTCTCTCGTCTTCATCGTATACGCGTAGCCTCATTTATAGCCAGTCGCATTTCGAAGGTGCCACCCGTGCCCGAGCTCCCTTCTTTCCAGGACACTCATGTTTCGATAGGAACTGTCCAACATCCGGGACAAACCACTTGAGGTATGCCTTCTTATTTGCATTGTATAAGACCTTATTCGTACTTACCCGTCCGACCCAGGGTTTGACCGTGGAGCCCAAAGATGATAACATTTTCGAATGGAAATGCGCCGTGAAGGCTGCGGTGTGTAGCGCTCTTCATGAATGGTATTGTTGCAAGCTATTTACATCTTGCCATTCCACTCGTTTCTAGTCAAACAGCCCGTACAAAGGTGGAACATTTCATTTCACGTTGTCTCTACCGGAGAATTTTCCGTTCAAGGCACCAACCGTACGTTCTGTCATTGCACAGCTCAGAAAAATAACTCGTATGACTGGACCTAACGCAACGTCCTTGATCCTCACTCACAGGTGACGTTCGCCACTAAGATCTATCATCCTGGAATCAATGAGGAAGGCCATATTTGTGTTCCCGTCCTGCGAGATCAGGTCCGTTCTCCCATGCCGCATCGTTCGGACTTTGCAGTCCTTTCCGTCATACCTCCGTTCTCTACGTTCATTCAAGTAGAGTTTGACAAAATATTAATGACTTGCCGACAGTGGAAGCCCTCGGTGACTTTGTCTTCAGGTTCATGCTCCACGCTTTTAGCTCGTGTGAGGCATTTGAATTGAAGTAGCACGCTTCATAGTGCTCGCCATCATCCAGGAGAAGGTGAACAACCCGAGCCCGGACGATCCGTATGAACCAGAGGTTGCCGCAGTATGTCAATGAAGCTACCATTATGAATATTTGACATTCACACGTCCGTTACAGTTGATGAAGACTGACTACGCAAAGTTCCATGCGACCGCGGAAGAATGGACGAAGAAGCGAGTAGAATCAGCTAATTATATCCGAGCATCCATGCTGACAAAAATGCGATAGATATGCCAGCGCCTGAATTGTTATGTGTAAGACGTGAGGCTCTGTACAATCCCGCTTGCGCATGCTACGCATTTCCATTTATCTCATGTACTGGACGCCGCTTCACTTTGTCGATATTTCGCCTGAGCGGAACTCTTTATAAGCATTGAACCTCCGCATATTGCCTTCTCCAAGATGTCAGTGCGGTTTTCTACACGTGGAACACGCTTTGGGACTAGACTTGCATGCAGCATCTTACAACATCTTAGGAAGAATGCATCCGTGGCATGTGTATCCCATTGTCCCGGATAGGCTTATTTAGCCTATGACCCTCGGCTGTCATCGCCGCATTGCAACGTTCGTGCGATACTTACTCATAGAGTGCATGTGCAGTTCACGGCGGCCGGATTCCACTCATCTTTATCGCGCAGGCTGCCATGTATGTCCGCAAGGATGCAGAAATGTACGCACTTACTCCAGCGTTCCGGTGCTGTCCGCACTGATCTGTTCCGGTTAGATGGTCACACAATGGCACAAACTGTATCCACTTTCTGATTAGTGACTCTGCGTGCATACTGCGGCTGTGTATTGCAACCTTCTCTTCATAAGATATACTGCCTCAGTGAGTACCGGATCGGAAATAGATGCAAAGGCTGAAAGAATTCGGTAGTATCTTGGAACGTGCCCGTGTACTATTGGTTGACTCCACAGTACCAGTGCGAAATCTGGTGTGTATGTCAACACTGTCTAAACTGTTATCCGGTGATACTTCCAGCTTAAATATTCATCGCATGTCGACCCTGATCGGGCCACACAGTTCCCGAATACTTGATCCGAACAGAGCCAATGTTGACATGCGGACTGCTTGCAGGACACAGCGAGGCAGCCAAGGGGACACGGGTGGCAAACCAGTGTCCACAGCGTCCCATGCGTGTCAATTTTTCACGGGAAGCTGATCGAACATCGAACCAATGCGGAGATTCACGATCAGCGGCATACCTTCCGAAACGTGAGATGGGGACTCCGGGAAACCGGTGCTACCCCCAAAAAAGCAGAAGAGCATGCCGAACTGTGGAAAAATTTCGGTTCCGAGGCGTTAAGACGATTTAGGGATGTTTGAGAGTCATCGTTCTGAGGCGGGAGGGAAGGCACGAACTGAGTTTCGGAAAGCTCTGCTTTTACCAAGCTGTCTGTGACAATTGCATGTCTTGGACACGAAGGTTTCTCGGCGAACCATTGCATCGTGATGCTCCCGATCCACCGCGCATTCTGTTTCAATTTGTAAGAGCTAAGGCGCTATCTTGGTCGCAAACCACATTGACTCAACTGTATTCATAAGCTGCAAATATCGTCTTTGCGGACCTGGAAAGCCGAAGTATAACACAGCCTAGAGATAAATCATAATAGCCTGAATATTTCCGGGGTGGCCTCTGAGTGAAGTCACGTGCAGGAGTTGTTAGATGTTAGATCTCTTTTTGGAAAGATGGCACTGCTCCCTTGGGAATAAGGCTTCCACAACGGACCTCACGAACGTTCGCTGTCTCACTCTCGTTTTCTTCTAGCTGCTTTGCTTCAGGATCCTGGACCATATCTGGGATTTTGAATGCATTGGTGTTAATCGGGAAAAGTTTGTTGTCTTGTCCTGATCTAGCTGCCGCGGTACCTTTCCGACTACCAACTCGTGTTCAACACGTTGCTCGCTCGTTTCATCCACTTTCCCGCGCAACCACATCCTCCAAGATTGGCCTCCGGTCCTTGCTGGCCTGATTGGAACGCGTCTGCCACACGAGGACAGTCCGCATTCCGAACTTGTATAGTCGGAAATTGTCGTGCAGTGATACGTTTATTTCGGTGCGCTGATCAACGTGCAAACAACGAGGCCATCATCTTGAGGGATTGCTAGAAGGGCAGCCAGGAAACAATAATTATGCACCGCTTGCGGTAAGCACGTTGTCACCAACTCTAAGCATGGCCGGCGCTGAAGTCATCATTCCTTCCCCGCGCCGGACACGTTTCGATCCTGCCTTGCCCCCCGCCAGCAAGAAGTCAGACACTAAGCGCAGTCAGGCTGCGGCACCTGTGCGTGCCCAACCTCCAGAACCCATGCCAACGTTGTCTCTTGCAGACGACTTCCGCACGTCATTGATCTTGCCAGAGTGCGTCCATCCGTTCCATGTCGTATCTTTTCGCTCACTATCTTTATCTCTCTCTTCGGTCCCGCCTTGACATCTACATATGCTCGAATGGTACAGCCTCACTCGTCGGTTCAGTCTCCTGCGTTCGTCATCGGGCACTCCCATTGCATTAGATGACCTGAAGAACAAGTTTGCTGAGCAACGCGCGCGGGGTTCACGTAATCAAGTCACTGAGGAGGAGGAGGACATGATTCTAGAGGCCCTCGGGCGATTACACGCCAGGGCAGCCGGAGCTAGGATGCAGGGCGAGCCATCTGCTCTGGAGCATGAAGGTGCGGAGACCGAGAATCATGATCCAGGACCGGATCCGTCAGATTCGCTCGTGATGGCGCAGAGCTCTGCTCGGTCGAGCACAGCAGCCGGCTCGCTGCTGTATAGCACATCGATTTCGTCGTCCTCGTCGGGTAAAGCTTCGAATGCCAGCAGGCGGATGAGCAACAACCTCTTCGGGTCGGGCAAATTCCGCGACGAGGCTATCTTGCGCTCCGCAAACCAGGTTCGGCGTGGCGGTACCAACAGGGCTGGCTTTTCCGTCATGCCCTCCGACTTACCGAGCGACTTATCGAGCATGAGCCCGACGCCTAGTAGCAACGTAGGACCGGATTCCTCGCTTTTCTCGGATAGCCACAGCGTGAGGTCCGGAACTCCGGAAGGTAGCACATACTCACCTGCCAACTCTGTTCCCTCGAGTCCGAGAATTAACCGCCCTACACAATCGTCCTTGGCAGCGTCAAACTACGATCACACTGCGGCATTGAGTGCGCGTTTGTCCCAGACTCTCACGCCTAACACCTTGAAGCGAGCTTCATTGGCTTTGGACGAGGTGATCAGGGAACTGGAAGAGGAGGGCGACGATGAAATTCTCATGGAGCGATCTCCCGTTAACCACACGTCTACCGGCGTGTTCAACACGTACCTGTCCACGAATGTGCGTTACGTTTCAGATTCCCACGTCATCACTGCTTTTTACTGATCGATCATTACGACAAAACTCACAGGTTGAACGTAACTCCCCTCTTGCATCCCCTGCGGACTACGAGGCAGTTACTGCGCTGTCTTCGGATGATCAAGTTGTTCACGCGGACCACGACAGCGAACGATCTCCTTCTAATCCTCGGTCTGCTACAACATCGCCAGCTCCTCGTCTTCCTGGATACATCCCAGGAATGCCACGGCCTATGACTCCTCACGATATGGTCATGGATTCGGAGGACTGGACACCATCGACGACTCCACGTGCCACGTCACCTCGTCTTCCCGGCACCTCCCCTTCTCCTATCATTTCCCAGAGACTTGCATCCACTGTCCACAGAAGCAACTCAGTTACCTCTACCTCCCGTCAGTCTTCCACACGAGGATCTATCCCCGGTCTTCCGTCGACTCCTCCATTGTTCTTCAACCGGAGTACGAATGGAAAATTCACTCCGGACGACCGACAACGCAGCGGCAGCAGTTCCTCCAGTAACGAGATGGCTGAATTGCCAACTCAGGCGCGCCGGCGACCAACGTCTCCACTGTCGTCCAGCTCTCCTTATCAATCATTGGCGGGACCGTCGTCTAGACCTGGTACTCCATCTAACGTGACGTGGAACACATCCACAAGCTCCGAAAGCTCGAGAGCAGCCAGCAAGAATGCCGTAGTCTCAGTGCATAGCAGGAATGGAAGCAGTCTCAGTATCGCAGATGCAATTCACGATGTTCCGGATCGATCTGCGTCGGTTGCAAGCTCTGTCCGCTCACCCATTCTTCCAGAATCCCCAATAATAGATCGCGGCATTGGCGCATCGAACCTACTCTCACCTTCTGAGGTGGGATATCGATCGCCTTCGGCCATGTCCGCTGCCGACTTGGGATCGCCTCTCCAGCTTTCCACCAGATCGATCCGCTCTCCCACACCGACACATAGCCGTCACAAGTCTTCCGCTTCGGCTAGTGTTTACGAGCGTACAGCTGACACTACAAATGGAGACAGCTATGGTGGCAGTCGGCGCTCTTCCAAACAGAAGCACCATTCTTCTTTCTCTTGGAGTTCAACGCATGCACTCCTGCTATCTCCCATCGCGAATTCATCCAGGTCTTCCATCGAATCAGGAGGGTCTAGCTACCATTCGTGGGATGAAGGTCACAAAAAGGATAGGGTGCATGCGCTTCTGAGCAGCTTAGATCCGGAGTACACGGATTGGCATGATTTGTCGAACATGGATAAGTCGGACAAATCTGATTCTTCAACACCTGGTACATCGCCGTATGAGGGCTTGGATATCGAAGAAGTTGTGTGGCGACAGTCAGGTCTTAAAAAGACTGACTTTGTCGCCATCCAGGACAAGCTGGTCAGTGCCGCGTTCACCAAGGCGGCAACTCCAGACGGTCGCAACCGCGCGTCTTCCCTCAGGAAGCGACGGCCATCCACGTCTCAGTCGAACTATTCGTACAATGGGACGGACAACAGGGTACGTCCTCAGTATTTGATATTGGTGAAGCTTAATTATCGAAATCATAGGTGACGAGCCCAACCCCGCAACCGCAAAGTCCTTCTTCGGTAGGTCCAGTGACGAACACCCGAGCCGCAGAAACTCAGGCAAAAGCCACTGCGCTCCTTGGCTCTCTGGTAGATAGTATCGAGTCGCGATCTATTATGTTGCCGCCTGTCACAAGTTCGCAGAATGATGGCTTGGTCGATCATGTTTCGATGGAAACTCAGCTCTCGAGTCCCGGCCGGAGGCAACGCGCCCTTGCGGATGCTTTATTCGGGACCACAGATGATGCGAATACGGCGGTCCCCACTGTGCCGCCTCCCCCGTCGGCAGATCCGGAAGGACCTGTTGCGCGGAAGACTGAGCCTGAGACTGAAGAACCAGACGGGGCAGTAGTGCAGTCACTGCAAACGCAACCACCGACTCCACAGTTGTTCGACACGAAGCCCCTCAGACTTGCCAGTGCGACCGCTCTTCATACGCACAACCAGGTCGACGCAGCACAACTAGCACTCGAAGTCCGACAGCGCGCAGAGGCTGCTACGGCGGCGTTGAGAAAGTCTCCCTCGATCCCCAAGATCACGGATGCGGCCGGCACGCAGCATCGCAAGCGCATCGATCCTCGTCAGATTTCATCCCCAACATTTCTTTCTTCATCGAAGAGTGTGGACGGAATTCCTGTTCGATCGGCAACGTTGGCGCTCGGTGCGAGCGGAACTGGCAGTAACAGCAAGATTGGGTCTCGTTTCAAGAGGCTGAGGGGCACCCTCCGACCGAAGGTCCCGTTCCCTTCGCAAGAAGAGCTAGCGCCGGATTCCTCATCCTTCCGCCCCGTGCCGCCAGCTCCTGCTATAACGCAATCTTCCCCGAACTTACTCAGTCGTGTCGATCCGGCCATGGCAACCGTTCCTGTTCCTGTCCCTGTCCCTGTTTCTACCTCGCTGAGCCCTCCGGCATCAGCAACGCCGGGCCTTAAAGGATTCATGGCACGTTTCCGCAAGCAGAGAGCGGCTGATGCGTACCCGTCACCTCAGCGGCAACGAGCGTTGCAGCCTTCCAGTGCGTCGGTCTCAATTTATCAAGGGAATGGTAGTGTACATGGGAGACCCTCATGGTCTGCACCTGCGACGAAGACAGGCTTCACTGCTGAGTCAACCCCTGCTTGTACGTCATTGGGATCATCACCGCAGTCGTCGCCGTATATGGGACCTGAATCTGAGTTGAAGAGATTCTCACAATCCCACAGTCAACCTCTGATCGACGAGGCTGCATTGAAGCAGCTATTTGATGCTGCAACGAACTTGGGATTGGATCAAGCGGCCTTGAATGACTTGCTTGCTCGTTCTCCCTCAACGTCTTCCAAGCTGATGAGAGGGCCTTCTGTGAACGAAAGTCCGAAAAATCGCTATCGTGGAGCTCAGAGAAGTGACAGCCCTGAGCCTGCGGCAGTACCACCCTCCGGAGGCAGGCCCAGCGTTGATAACGTCTCTCGCAGACCCTCACTAGACGCCACAACGTCTACGACAAAGAAATCTCTTGAAGCGACCATTCGAACACCGCGCATCAATGTTTCGGACAACGTACAGAACACAATCGTGCGGAGAACGATAATTATGCCGTCCGATACCATGCCTCCCTCGCTTGACTTCAATATGCTTCTGCGGAAACAATCCGCATCGAAACGCCGTCGATCGGCTGGCGCCAGTTCTATTCAATCCGCTCGTTCCATCCATGACCGCGTACCAACACCACCTCCGCACAAGGCTGCCAGTGGTGGGCGTTTCTCTGCCGACGGGTCTCCTCCTGTGCCACAATTGCCACCCTCGTTTTCTCAAGCTGATCATACCGGCTCTCCTATGCAAGTTGAACAATCTAATTCTGTTACGGACTCCGTGTGAGTGTTTCGTCCATTCTCCGTGTTCTGCATTCATTATTTGGATTGCATGGAAAGATATGAAATGTATACCAGTGATAATCGGGCGTTGACGCCGAGCAACCTGGAACCGCACGGTCGGGCAACTCCTTCATACCCGCAAAATCAAGCTGCGTCTGAGAACGGCCCTGCTATCGAAGTGATTGAGATGGCGAATGGCGAGATGATCTGGTGCGTCACAAGATGGTGTGCATCTTGGCATTTTTTTTAATCCGTGATAAAGGTCTATCGTCAATGGCTTGCGAGATGACGATGGAGAGTCCGTATTCGATGATCGTGCAAGCTTCGTTTCGGAGTACTCTCGCCGAGATTCCAACAACGAAGGCTTGAAGTTGTTTTTCAAGGGTCATGAGAAGAAGTCGTCTAAAGGGAGCAATGTATCCTTCTCGCCTCGCAAGAAGCAGTCTTTGAAGAGTACTTCGGCAGTCCGCCCAGAGACGAAGGTAGCAGTAATTCTTGTCTCTTATGTGTAGCAGAGCATTAACGACCTTGAAGGTGTTTTTCAGTTCCTCGGCACACATCGGACAGCTGATTGAGAATCTCTCACGTGGGGTTGATTCTGGTTCGTTCAATGTCGCACCGGAACAACCGCAAGCGTCCGTTGGTCACTCTGCCTCATCATCGATTGGTTCAGATGCAGAGATGCGCTGGACAGTTGAGGAGAGACTTGAGCATATGCTTGGAGCAATGGGGTCTGCTGCTTGAAACCGTAGTGTGATTCTTGGACATTTTGCGTGCTATGATCTTATTGTTAATCTGCTTTACCCCCATTCTTACATAATACCTGTCGCTTTGTAGCCCGCTCGCTTTGATCCGGGAATATGTACTGATCACATCGGGTCTTCCATGCAAAGAATTGTGTCTAAACATGCTGCATGACACAGTAGCCCATCGATGCGATGTATCTTCCGCGCTGGCTAAAGGCAAATAGCATTAAGCTAACGCGACTGGCGCTCGCAATGCCATCCACCTATTAATACATAGTGCTACCAGAGCCTCCAGCAGAAGCACGTCATCGTCAAAGATATACTGCATCACCGCGTGTGCCGGGCCGACAGGCGTATCTCTCGTCTCGCGGCGAAATATAGCAATCTGAGCATGAGGCATAGGGCTGGTACGAAATAACTGTATTATATGAGCGCAAGCCTTGACGAGAGCAGGGAATGCGTACATCGTAACAATCGATCTGCCCCAAAACTTCTCGCCATTCGTACTGTCGCCCATTCACCTCGAAAATCCTACCGCTGATACTGTTCAGAAGTTCGGGAAAGTCTGAACGGTTCTATTGACTCACTTGCTAGCCGGGTTTCTGATAACCATGTATGACATTGGCTGATGTTTGTTTCCAATCGTGGCCATCCCGAGGTGGACATCGGCTTCCCAATCAAGATGTGCGACGACCTGTCCCTCGTCTCGGATGACCTAGAGTATGCTGTCAGATCAATTGCCGGATTTCGACAGCGATGCACTATAATTCAACCGATCTTCACCGTTGTTCGGGTCTCTCCAGGAGAGATCTCTGCAGTAGTAAAGCGGAAGAAGATCGGTTTGTCTTGTCCCGAGGCTGTTGTAGAGCCGTATGTAAAGCCTATGATGATGCAATCCTCGCGAGGGTCGTCCTTGGCGGTGAAAAACAGATGACTCGGTTCATTGGTGGCCATAGGGACAGAGGTTGAATAGATGAGTGTGCCGACCGATAGCGTACCTGTTTCGGCTGGCTGCCTAATATACACACACTGTTCTACCCACCACACACAAACTCGTCCGGCGACCGGCATGCCAGCATGAGAATAATAGGCTATCGATCATCATTACTGGTTTAGATAGAACCTTTCTTTAATGTCGCGAGACGCAGTATGAATTGGCCACCATCGCATGACATAGTAGTGGGCCGTAAGCAATGCGGGACTGGGCGTAGACGCACCATATTAGGCAACCTTTCGTATTTTAGGCTTTAGAATGGTGACGATTAGGTTTGCTGACAGCACGTTCCCGTCTGCGATGTACGGTCCACGAAGCTCTTTGGAAGGAGGCTGCGGATTCGGAGGGTTCTCCCGCGATTCAAGTGTATTCGGAAGTGCAGACCCGGATTTTCGTGACAATTGTCGAATAAAATGTCCTCTTCCGTAGGGCTTCATGGATTAAATCTCATTCTCCCAACGTATTAGTCTATGATAAGGCTCACCGACGATGTCTCGGTCCTCTGAGGATCGCTATCAGCGTGTGCCGCTCAGGGCTGATACCGTACTATCACACTGGCTGGCATGTGGGCGTGGTCCCTCCAGACGGCGTCTGGAGCTTCTGTATACACGAGACAACGTGTGTCGAGTAGTGCAAAGAACTCTAGATGGTGCGCATCGCGCAAGAAATGCCGAGGCCCTGGGATGCCTGAGATGTCGAAGCAGATATGAACGGCGACTCGGAAGAAATCTTCAGGCGTAAAGGGATGGAGTTATCGGCAGCAAGTCGACGATACCGGCATGCACACAGTAACGGTCGAAGGTTTGAGCCGCCTAAACGCGCCTGAACATAGGTCTCCATTCGTTAGCAATTTTCGTTGTTCGCAACAGCACGGAAGGAGCATCGAGCATGCAGGCAGGAAGAAATGTTACCAGCGTACGCTCAACCCTAGACCAAAATCCACCGCGATTGAATCGAGTATATTTGGATTCCCAGAACATCGGAGGCGGCCCGCTGAAACTCCAGCCACTGTGTCAGATGATGGCAAACCAAACCTGCATCAGGAATAATTACTCACAGGTTTTCTCTGGACGAGAAATTGGCTCGCGAGAGGTCTAGTCGTAATCCTCTCACTGTCGTGCCACATGGCAATAAAGGAAGAGGGGGTTCGTGGCAAAGCCGTGTCAACCGAGCCGATAGAGTTTAGATGGGCGCATGCCGGCAATGTGAAGGCTTACCTCTCGTGATTGTTCGCCGAAGCCTCCGATCCAGTGCTTTATCTGAACGCAGCGGGCGACCTCCGCAAAAGCGAAATTAAAATTATTGCATATGGCACTAATGGTCGTCGATGGCTGCGTCACGATGCGTTGCTCGTTCACGGACAACGATAGGCTACCGCAGCAAATGAGCTTGTGGCAGCGGTCAGCGTTCAGTATACCCAGATTTCGGGACCCCGACGTGTCCGAAAAATGTTTCATCTGAGGTAGCCGTCATGCTAGTCATTTGGCTGACACCTAGGTTCAAAAAGTGAGAGAAATGCTTTACGTGCGCCAGACTATCCACCTTATGACAGCGCAGCAGACATACGAATCTTCGAGAAACTTGACATGCCAGTTGATGTATTCGGAAATGACGATTTGGCAGTAATATTGTAGCTTAGATCCGATAATTCACAGAAGCACACATCGGACGAGTTTGAGACTGGGTGCGATTTACGTGTCACTGACTGCTATGCTGCATCAGCGCAGGTCTGATGATCACGAGAGGCCGGAACCGTTGAGCAAGATGGAATGATTGACAAGGCATTGACAAGATCAAACAAGGCACCACCACGTGGATTAGCGTTTCGCAGCTATCCCTCATACGGAAACTTTCCAGTTCCCTGGGCTAGACAAAAAACGGCAACATCTCTTGACGACACCCATTCAACTTTGTTTTGGTTCCAATCGTACTTGCAGAAAAACTTCCATACTGCAGTGTCGCAGCCAGTGGATGCTACGACTAAGACATGATGTAACTAGCCCCTCGACGACGCTCGTCGGCGACATGCTTGCATCTCAGACACATTTCAGACAACATGTATTCCGTGCTCTGCCAAGATCAGAACACGACTATTGGGACACTGCCTTCTTCGCCTTCTTCCGTTTAGCCTTTTTAATTGTCATTTCTTCACCTCCCTTGTCTTCGAGTTCGCTGGCTTTCCGCTTGGAGGACGTTGCGTCGTCCATCGTATTTCGACCAACGGACTTCTCGTTAACACTTGTGGTGGTCTCCCCGATACTCCGAGCGATGCTTTTGCAGATCGCTTGAAGAGGGGCAGATGCTTTGAGGCGATCGCTATGGGCAAGCTTGCTCGCCAAAGCGGTCCACGAAGGCGGATCCCAGATGTCCGAGATTTCTTCAGGTGTAGATAATACTTTCCTCGAATGGCGGACGGCGAGTTGTACAAGCTTTAGCAGCTCCTTGATCTGAGCCGCAGTGTGCGTATGGGTGGAAGCGCACGCGCCAGATATGATGTCTTGCAGTGAACGGCGCAACGTCGGAATGAACTTAATCAATTCTGATTGGCGACCCTCCTATACACCAATGTCAGCGCGATTGTGATACCAACATGATCGACTCACAAGTTCAGGAAGCTGATTAAGCAAAGAATAGAGGATCTGATACACTTGACATTGCCTGTAGACGTTGACAGCATTTCCCCCAGCCTCCAAAAGGCTGTCTCGTAGATTCCAGGCAACATTCGTCAGCCGACGCGCAAAGTCCAAGAAGAAGTTGGTATTGAGCTTGGAGGACTTGCGAGTTACGAAATCTGACAGCGACTCCCGGTACGCTTTGATGATCGGCTCGTCCTGCCCAGCATGATGGAGCAGCTTCGCGACATAAAGGCTACATTGACTGAGCGTGACAAGCACGTTCGATGAGGGAGCCCTGCGAGCGCGCGAGTGCAATTCTTCCAGTACCTGCACAGCTAGCTCGCTGTCGAACTCAACCGGTACCTCCCTGGACTTGCCTAACCGGGACCGCAGAATACCGGTGGCCTTGTCCGCCAATTGCTTCTCATCGGAACCACTGCCGAAGATGAGATTTACTGATGGCAGGATCAGTCGGATGATTAGGGGATTTGTGGGCTGTTTCTTGATGAAGATCTCGAGCAACTCCAGAATCCGGTTTTTGAAATGCGTGGCCTCCCGTTGGGCATCAACATCTACGCGAGCAGTGTAAGCAGAAAGCCGATCAGGAACCCAGTGGTCGGACTTACGTTTGCCCTTCTTCGTGCTAGTGCGCGCCTTGAACAGTGCAGCAAGCTGCTCGTCGATAGCGAGCATCTGCTCATCATCCATCAGCTCTTCATCTGACTCATCATCGGTCTCGCCGGTCGCGGGTTCCACCCCATTGACACGCAGTGCCTCTTCGATTTTCCTCCGAAGCTCCAGGCCCTCCTCATCATCTCCTTCCTCCTCTTCCTCTTCCTCTTCTTTCTCTGCATTGAGCGACTCCTCTTCTTCTTTCTCGTCTTCGCTGCTATCAGAACCTTCCTCACCATCCATCTCCTCATCTTCACCCGCCAACAACTCGCTTGGACCCCGACGCTCCAATTGCTAAAGTCAGCATTAATGACGACATGGTCGCGATAAAGACACGAATACACCCACGGTAAGGATGAGCTCGATCGTGCTTTCCTGCACAGAGCCGGAAAGCATCGAGAAGGCTTGATTAGCAACTGCACGCATGTACGCCGTCGCCTTCTCCAGGAGACTAATAATGGTGTCAACGAGGACATCCACTGGCTCGGGCGCCTTCTCTTCGGTCGAGTTCTCTGCTTCGCTCGAGGACTTCCGCGATTTCTTTTTGTGCTTCGCTCTTTTTTCGGGGAACATGCGTGATGCACCGTCAATGCAACTCTGCAAGGCCACCTCAGTCAGTCTGTTTGCAGCTGGGAGAAGTCGGGCAGACACACCTCAAGAGCCTCCAGATCGGCATCATCGTCCGCACAGTAATGGTGAAGGAGCGTAGCCATCAATAGCAGCTCGGCACCCCTTGCCGCCTCCTGTCTGTCGTCTTGGATCTGAAGGCGAGTTAGCCATCAGATATTTCTGAACGACTGTTCTGAACTCACAGTTTTCAGATGCTCCGCAACTTGACGGGCTTTCACGCGCATCTCCTGCTCATCCTCGTCCACCGCTGTGAGAATAGTGACATGCTTGGAATCCTTCTCGAGCTTCTCGATGGTACTAAGCACTTTAGATACCCAGAACTCGCCATCTGACGCAACTGCAGGCAGCTTCGAGACCTTCTCGCCTATTAATATGTCTCAGCAAGTCCCCCTGCGCATGTAAACGGAAGAACACGACCGACCGTCTTTGATGCGCGTATGCTGCGATGTTAGCTCGGCCAGGCAGCTCAGAAGCCGTTCTCGGCATTGCCGACGAAGCTCGTCGGAGAAGGGAGGGGATGGAGAGCTCCGCAGCTACAAAGGGAAACGTGAGAATATTATAGACCAGGCCTGGCGGGATCGACGTACTGCTGTTATAGCACTCTTCTCAGACTTCTTTTTGATAACGAACAGACCATGGACAACCAACCAGTCCAGAATCGACTGCACCCACTGCTCGCTCTTCTGGATGGCACCGTTGCGAATCAGGGCTGTCAGCTGTTCGATGACCCACGCGCGTCGCGAATTCAGCGTTTGTACATCGGTACTGTAGAGCATCTCCCGATGAGCGACTGCTGCTGGAAAGCATAGCGAAGTGGACGAACGTTTCGGCGCCTTTCTCATCGTTGACTTGCCTCAGCACGAAGTCGATGTAAGCCTGAATGCCATCGTTGTCCATCGAAGCAAGTATAGATTCCACAGTTTTGGTCTTCGTCAAGTTGTCAAACTGGCGACTGCCGTTCACTCCGGTGAGCTGGAGAATGAGAGTGAATCCAACAGTAGGATTCTGTTTCACGAGAGCATGGATATCGGTGGCCTGCAGACGAACAAGGTAAGTTATCAACAGAGAGATAGACTACGAGAATTCGAGATCCGCTCACCACCTGCCTTGCAATCTTGTGGAGGTACCTATCGCTGTTCGACAGATGGTTGATCCAGGAACGCATAAAGTTCTTCGTGAACAACATCGGCATTTCATTAGCACTGATGCGGGGTAGCGCCTTCTGGAAGACCTGGAAGCCCCAGTATTTGCGCTGCGGGGACGCAGTGGGCGCGAATAACGATTCTGCAAGCAATCATCAGCATACACATTAGTTTGGAAACGCGCCGACAAGCACCCACCGTCCACAACAATCCGGAAGAATTCCGGGAAGGAAGCTTTTCTGGTACGCTCTGCTGTGCTGTCGGACAAGATTTCATCAAGCAGCATGTCCCAGACGGAATGGACCTGGGGCTTCCATACTCCAGGATTCGGCAGATCTTTTTCCTCGTCTTCATCCGTATTTATCTCCTATTAAACGGTTCTAACGGGATGTCGGAAATCCTGAATTATGCGCACTTACTTTGAGGACCCTAGCGACGACATACAAGTTCGCAGTGCTCAGCAAATCAGGGTTTTTGAAGGTAGGCGAAGTCAACTCCTTCCAGTCCCGAGAAGGGTAGCGTTTACGCAATTTCAGCGTCACAGCCATCTTTTCCGGAGTCCACAACTTGTTCTCGGTGTAGATAGCATGGAGGGTCGCGTCGACCGCGTCGTCCTTCCATGAGACGTTGGACTCGTGCATCGCGTCGATCGCAAGGCCGATCGCCCACCATGCGCTCTCCCGCAACCAGGACTTCTTCTCGCCGAGAGCCAGCAGCTGCGCGAGAACATCCTTGTAGCTCGACAGGCTGGACGCCTGCGTAGACGATGAGGCGGACGTAGGGAGGGGCGTATCGCGGAATAACAGGCCAGACTGTATGACGGACGTGAACCCGAACAGGCGGGCGAAAAGCACATCCCGCTTCTCCTGGCCGTTCATCGAGCCCTGGTTCTTGGATGAATCCAGGATGAGCGCGACGATTTGCGCACACGTCACCGTGTTTATCCGGGAAAGCAACTAGCATTGCAGAGTAATATTACACAAAGGATCTGGCGAACACTGGCTCGGGCTACTGACCTCCGTCAACGCCACCGCGAACCCCAGCCTACTGCTCTCGCGCGGGCTAGCCAGGCCACGAACGAATCGCCTGATAGAGTAGGATACATCCTGCGCGTTGAGAACGTCAAGGCCGTCGCTCTTGACTCTGGCCTTTTCCTGCGACTCTCCGGCGTCGTCAAGGTCCTTCGGTACATGTTGCGCCTGGAAATGCTCGAGAGCACTGATCAGCTTCACTGAGGCATCGATTCGAGCAGTCGAAGAAGCGGCCGAGAGATCCCAGAAGAGCGGGAGCGTGGTCGACATGCTCTGCAGTGAGTCGAGGCTGCTGCTCAAAGTCCAAAATTTCCCGGCCATCGTGGGCGCTATCTCCCACGTGGTGGTCGATCATGTGACCGTGTTCGACCTACACGGGCGCCAATGCGTTCACACTGGTGTTCCTGCCTCCCACCCCGCGGAGAGGGCTCAGCGTTGGCTGTCAGCTAGAACCTGCTCATTTCCGCTGTTTTCCTATTCGCTTCTAGCGTCATTGACGCAAGCATCTCATGCGAACACTGACCTTGTGCTGCTGGGCGTCACCTCTCCGATGGTCTCACTCCATCATTCGGTGATGAAGGCCGACGGCAATGTGGACGCCATCGTGGCCGATTCGTTTGCCCAATAGCCTTTACGCGCTTTGCGAGTGAGTGTTGACGTTGTGGTCGTGTGCGGCGCTGCTGACCATGACGTAGACCGTGCGTGTCACGTCACTTCTCTCAGGTCAGGCACCGTGTCTTCCGTTACTCAGAATGCTTCAAAACGAGGGTTCTGCGCTTACCTGGGCACCGCTCATCTTCGTGTCCCCTTCCTCATCTTCTCTGCCTGGATTTCCCCCACTCTCGGCAGATTCCTGCCACGCTAGCCCCAGCGGAGGCCACGTTCGCGGACGTGATCTTCTTCTCCGACATTCACCCATGCCACCTCTCCGAGGCGTGCTCGATAATCACGCTGGCGACACCCGAATGTCTCTAATGGGCAGTGACGATCTGCGTACTGTCGTCATTCTATTGAAGTCGCTAGCCGATTAGAACGGCTGGCTGTATATAGCTGCGGACTTCCGATGACGAGCTGACCGATGAATGATGATGAACACCGGTTTCCCGCTGGGGTGCCCGCAATGTGAAGTTGGTAATCACAATGAGGCAGCGACTTCCGACTCGCTATCACACATGACTGATGTGGCGGCTGTGAAAACCACTGGAAGAGGTGACATGCTATTGGATGGCGCCGACGAGACACTCTTACACGATGGAGCGCATGCAAGCGAACTACTATTCACAGCGGAGAGGTGCAGAGATACCGCGCTTGTGCAACTTTGGTAAAGGATTCAAGCGCGTGCGTGCAAAACGGCGAAGTTTGAGGGCAGGTGCGCTACGACCCGGAATCCTTGCTCGCTATTTGGGGTCACTCATGCTAGTTTTACGATAGACCGAAAGACGTTCCACGTCCGAGGACATCATGAGACGCCGCTTACCCCTCGTAGGAGTCGTACATGGAAATACTGCAAGATCAAGCCACAAGAGAAGCGAGCTTGAGCCGGGTCCCATCATGGTCTTGTTCCGTCCGTGTTGTCAGGATAACGGCACACGCAGACAGCTGACGGAACTGTATTAGCATGCGCACCGTTCATCGGGTCCAACATTTACCTACAGGTCTTCTGCCGGTCTTCCGAGATGCCTGCCTGTGGCGCCAATTAGGATTTTAGACCTACCGTGAGAGGAGGCAGGATACCTGTCTATGCGGTCTGTCTTCGGCCTGACAGTTACTCCATTCTCGATGCCCTCTGTCCGAGAAGAACACTGCTGTTTCCCCCCATGACCAGCTCTCAGCGACGGCGTTCATGAGGCGATGAGCCCAGAATGTCTAAATGGTGGACTGCCAGTGGAGATCGTACCCCTATGGCTGCGCGTGGCACGACTGATGATCACGACTCCATGTTAGATGGGGAGACGGGTGCTCTGGGCAGCGCATCGCCGGCAGGGATCTCATAAGTCGTTGCTCATATGTCCAGCGCGTGTATCGTGAAGGTCATTGCTGGCCGTCGAGGTGAGGTCGGATGCAATCGTATAAGGAAAGGATAGCGGACACACGCTCGATAACCGTGTTCGGAGAAAACATGGAGCGTAGAATAGGTGGCAGATCCGGGCGGATGAGAGGCGGTGGCCGGCTGTTCTCGGGCGCTGCGCTGAGGATCCTGGTGAACAAGGTCGGAACGAAGCATGTGACATCAAATGCCCCGGCTCTCCCATTCCGCTCGCCACAAAATCCCTCTTTCCCTGCTCTTCTATATAACCTCCCGCGCCCACCGCCTCTTTGATTCTCCATCCCCACCTTCCACTCGCGTTTCGGGTGCTCCCATACCCTTTAAAACATCCCTGCTCACCGCACTTGCTTCATCTTCATCCCACCGCTCTCGCCCTTCGCTGCCACGTTCTCGTGCACAATGTCCACCCCCGCATTCCAGTCGTTCGACCCCCTCGCCACGCACCCGTTCACCAACAACTCGGGGTTGCTGCCGAAGCCCGCACAGCCCTCCCAGTTCCCCCATCCTATCCCTTCTTCGCTGAAGACGGTCAGCGCCAACTCGCCGTCGTCATCAGGACAGGTACACACCTTGGCCGCCACTCCGTCACTGCATGCGCCACAGCCCAGAGTCCCTGCGACGAAAAAGTCAAAGTCGAGCGCGGCACGACCCATATTCGTCCCTTTCCGCCCAGAGCGGTCCTCGCCGGAGCTCGATGACATCCTCTTGAGGAAGAAAGTTTCGGACATGCTCATGAATAAGAGCCAGTGGAGCATCGACACCGTCACCATCCCCTCAGGCAATGCGGATGCGAGAAAGACGCGTTGACATGAGCAACAAGATACCCACCACACGTCCTATACCCCCCGATGTGCGCATCTCCCCTTCTCCGCGATCGTGATCCGTCGCTGACCACCTCGTGCGCAGATGATAATCTGACGACCTAGTGATGACGGAAGGATAGTGTCTGGGTTGTTCGCCGTGCTCGTTGTCAGTCATGGGGGCAGCTGCTGGATTGTATATCATTAGTATGCAAATGGTTACTCTAGGATAACCGCAAATAGGTTAATCGCCGTTTCGGAGGGACTCTGATTCGTTCTCACACTTGTACTTGTGCCTCTGCTCGCTACTCAAATCGCTCGTTTCGAAATTTATTCACCCTGCTCAGTGTTTACTTGTCATCGTGTGTGATGCCCAACAAGCATGAACGAACTCGGCGCCAGACACACCGTTCACCTCCACCACTACCGCCCGACAGCGTCTACACCAGCTGCTACTGTGAAGAGAACATCTATCTACTTGCACAAGCATTCGCTGCGCAGGCGGAAGCAGACTCTGGCTGGTCCTGGGACGCTTACGTGGTGTTCATTTCGAACGACGGGAAGACGGTTCGTACACACATGTATTTCCATTCCTCGCTTAGCCCATTACCAACCCGCGCAATCAACTCATTCCCGCTCGTCCCACCGTCAACTGTACTGAGAACGTATCCATGACGTGACTGATGCATACGCATGTATCCTACCAGGTGGCACTGTGGAATTCGAAGGCCGACAGGGACGTGGTCGTGTGGGACTACCATGTTGTTCTCGTCCTCCGATCACGAGAGCGCTCCGCGGACGACGAGACACACGAGGAGGCTCCAGACATCGATGGCGCAGCAGATAATATGCTGAATAGCGAAGGTTCCGGAGCATGGGTGTATGACTTTGACACTCGTCTCCCTAACCCCTGCAGGTGGGCAGGTGCGTCCCTGAATCATCATTACGTCTGCAATACAATCATATACGCCGGTGTCAACGTGCCTCTTTTTTTCGCCTGCCGCGTGTTCAGTGAACAATACGATCATGACGAGATACTCGCCGCATGGCGGCTTGCTGCCTCGTGTAGCATACCCCGCATCTTCGACATTCTATTGTACACGGGGAGACAACGATCGCCCCGCAGATGCGACACGTCTAATCGCAAGATCAGATGCGATCATATACAGTCATCCCTGACTCCTCCTAGCCGTCCCGCTCCACGCATCACCAGCTGACTCTTCCCCTCGCATCACGCTCGCAGAATACGTATGCAGCACGTTTCCATACGCGTTCGACGCGCGACTGGCCCCGCGCGTCGCCAAGGGCTTCCATCCGTGAGTTGTACAAACCGTGGCTTGACAGTGTCAGTTGATCGCGCGGACCCGTGGCGCAGGCTCTTCCGGGTCGTTCCCGCCACAGCGTACCTCGACTACTTCGCGTCTGACCGCTCGCACATGGTGAGTGTTTACTCCAACACAGCCAAAATGCGGTCTGCTGAGACCTGATGTGGATCCCGGTGTGAGCAGCTGAAGCACTTGGCCGACGGATCAGAGCCGGAGTATTACTCCGCGCCCCCGTCCTACCCTGCCCTGTGCGGGCCCAAGGCGAGAGAGATGGGCGTCATTAACAACCTGATGCAGTCATACGTCACGATGGCTCGTGGGGCGAGTGGGCCGACTTCTCCCGACTCGTTTGGCGTGGTCATGGACCTCCGCGAGCTGCTGCACTGGGGAACGTGAGGACCATATCCGAGTCCGCGCTTGACGGAATGCACCACGGTTGACAGTCCGCTGAATGTGTGGCGAATTAGTTGGCCAAGACTGCCCTGGCCAACATGAATGGAATGCATTGTTTCGGGGTGAGCCCGAGAATGACCCGAACGTTTCCTCGGTCTGACAAACAGCGGAACAGAGAACCGTGGCGGTTATTCGCTAGAAGGTCGTCATATCTCGCAGTCCAAAATTATCCTCCCCTGAAAGGCGGTCGGACAGAAGGTTTCAGCGCATCGACCTCCACACATCTGTGTCGCAGCATACATCCACACGTGGGATTCCCCTATGAGACGCTGTACTTCCGTAACAACGGATCCCCTAACACCATCCGCATTGTCACTGCCTTACGCTGCAGTGACACGTCCACGCCGTCGTCGCACCAATGTTTCGGTCTCTGGCCATCCGATAGACGCCCGCGGTCCAGACCCACAAGCGCTGCATCCATTATCTGTATGCATCCGTCCACGTCCGGCATGACAGCTGCCACATACCGCGGAGGCACGCCTGCGCCGAAGTCGACCTCGTACGCGCGCTGGTGCACCCAGGAGGTGATGATGACGTTGCGCTCGCCGAGGAACGCGTGCCAAATCCGCACTAGTGCAGGGTCGTGCGTCTTGTCGTGCAGCAGCGCTGCTAGTTCAGATGAGTCAAAGAGATTGCGGCCATTGCGCCCGGGGAAGGCGATGAGGCTTCCCGACCTGTGGCCGATACGCGCGTTAGGATGAGCGGCGACCCGAAGAGTGACTTTGGGAGCGGAGGAGAGAGCCTATTGGGGATTCCCAATGATACGTTCAGGTGCACGGCTTCTCCATCCTCCTCGAGCCCACGAGCGTGATTGATGACGGTCCATATATGCGCGACGACAGCATCATGGCGACTGATCTGATGCGCTTCTGATCCTGAAGAAGCCCTTGCCGCCTCATACATGCCATGCACCTCGTCGCCAGAGAAGTGTACGATGTGATGCGCAAGAGGTGCTTCGGTGTCCCACTCCGCCCACCGCATGGGCATACCTGCCTGAACGGCCGCCACTGGCTCGAGTGCGGGGGGAATGTCTGGCGCAGTAATTCCACCGATCGACCCAGGGCCCCACCAATCATAACGATGCATCGGCAGTGCACGAGCTTTCTCTACCAAGACTGGGTCTGAATGGGCTGTGTCGATGTCGCCTGCTGCTGCCCTGTCCAGCCTTTGTAGGTCGAACACGGGAGATAGGACGGGGAGATCTGCGTCTCTCTGCATGGCGCTGCTCGTTCTAGCCCAATCATGCACAAAGTGCAGTAAGGTCGGCGAGAGGATGCGCTGCCTTGTTTGCAATGGCGACACCGCCACAGGCAAACTCTGTGATCTGTACGATCATGTTCGGCAGGCCTTCATACTCGCGTAAATCGTGTAAGGGAAGGTTCGTTGGTGGGAACAATTCTTCCATCGGGGTTTGCTGTACGTCCAAATGTCTGCTGCCAGCTGCCCGTGAAGCCGGGCTTGGAACGATGGATGCTAGCGAGTGAGTCGAGCGTGCCATTTACGTGTTCGACACCGGGATCGGCGGGGGACCCATAAGTCAATATCAGGCGACCCACACGCTGAGTGTGATCGCCCTCTGGATCGTACGGCGCCCACTTTAGCTGGCCGGTCCATTGGACGTAAGAGGTGAGCGTGCATTGTAAAGAGGCTCGAAGATGGTCTGGCGAGAGTGCCTTCCGTCCTTGTTCGCTGGATGGTGCGTCAAGGAACCAGCAGGCGCCGGTTGGGCTGAAGCGAACGACGGAGGCGTCGAGGACTGACAAGGGCAGATCTATGCTCGTGGTCGGGCGCGAAGACGGGAGTATGCGACAAGATGATATGACATGTATGGCCAGGATTGTCGGGTGTATGGTCGGGGAGTCCATCCGAACAAATCAAAAATGAATGTGTGGCTGATGCAGGATTCTCGTTGAACTGGTTGCAGGCAGACTTATGCACGGGCAGTGTTGACTTTTATTGACCGTTCTCGGTACCGAGATATGGCACACGAAGTCACCGCCATCGATGGTCTCCCAAGCAGGCTCTTCCATAGCCTTTCTTCAGGAGTTTGGGGAGCCTTAATACTAAGGGTGCGACTTTGTGCCCGATCATGATGCTATCACGTAGGTATACGTGGCGGAGTTTTAAATGAGTCGGAGTACGCAAATGTGGCTGAGGTGTGGTGGCAGATGTGGCACCCCCCGAAGAACAGCTGTGGAGGAGCCTGGTCTGCAACTTCGTTTTGTGGGGCTCATGCGTGGACGATTGTATACATGTTGATACTGGGAACTAGCGAGTACCGTAGGACGAACGTCTTGGGCATCACGGCATGTTACGAACTGCTCAGAATCTCTTGAACGATTGTTCTTGCCCAGGGAACTCCAGTAGTAGTCGAATGAAATTTCCAAAAACCTCAGTTTCTCTTGCCTCAGAGCCGTACTCTACTCGCCTTCAGTGTGAAGTTCGATGAGCTCAACGTCAGCGTTGAGAAACATCAGCCACAGCGCGTTATTGTGGCGGGGTCAGATATGTGACAAGCCGTCACGTTCCTGTGTCCCTTCCCTTCCACGACCTTGTTTCGCCCGTTTGCGCCACTCCTCGTCTCGCTTTCTCGTCCTCGTCTCTGGTGGTGTCATACGTCTGAAAGTGCGCGAGGATGCATGCACACGGCGGGCCCAGCAACGGCTCGGCGAACGGGGTGGCAGACCCCACGAAGCAGACAGGGCAGTACGCGAACCATTCCGACCCATCCTCCAGCGATGTGGGCACACCCCTCACCAATGGGTACGCTCAGTGAGTATCCGTTTCTACAAGCAGATGTCTCCGTTATTATGCTCCTTCTTGGCTACTCCTCCGGTACCATTCATTTTGGTATCGCCGATTGCGTCAGCATCGCGAGGACTCATAGTGAACCACTATGCCTTCATTGTGCAGTCTCTGTGCAGCTTGTTACTTGCTATTGCTCCTGGCACTTAACACCCTGCGTATATACATCATGCTGTTTCTTTCATAGACGCTGGTATATGACCGCTAACATGATGCGTTCGCCCAATAGGATATCACCTTACCAGCTGCACAACGAGGAGATCATAAACCATCTATATCACTCAGGCTTTCAGAACGGTGTGCGTGCCATTGTCGTTCGCATCACGAGCGCTCTGTCCTGATGGCTTCTTTGCAGAACTACGCTGATACCATACTAGTAAGTACGGCGTCCTCAGTGTCTGCGAAGCTCTTGTCTCAACGCCGGATGGCTATTAGCATGTCGAACCAAGCGTCTACAGGCTACATGCAATCATACTCTCACGTTCACCATTCTTGGCCCATTTGATGTCCACGACCCCGCAGACCACGAGTCAGTGCAACATCTACGTGCACCTCGAACACGAGCCTGAGATCACGCAGGAGGTGCGTGTTTCATTCATTCGGCACGCTTCCTATGTTGACGATTCCCGCATGCAGGGCTTCGCGATCGGTACGTCACGCTATTCAGACGTAATGTAGCAACCGCTCATCTCCGTGCCGCACCCTCCAGCATTAGGATACCTCTACTCATCAGTATCACTGAATCTCATAAACCCTCAAAACGCGCGAGCCGTGCTTGCGGCAGGTTGTCTGCTTGGCGGCATGGACGATCTGTGCAACTATGCCTACGAAATTTGCCGGCAGTCCATCACGGTTGACAGCATCGCCAGCTGGCTCGACTTCGTTGATGCCATGCCCCCATCGTCCGACGGCAACTCGACGCCGATTGAGCAACATCAGCTCCCACCGTCGAGGACGGCGGTTTTTGGTCCGTATGCACACAGACTGAAGGACGACGTGTTCCACTTCCTCGTGGTCACGCTTCCCCACATGCTGAACGTGGGCGGGCTTAGTACTCCCGTCTCGCCACACCCTGATGGGGTGCAGCAGGCTGATGCCGGTCGAGAAACACTCTTGCAAGTATTCGCAAGGGTGCCGTTTGACCTGTTCAAGGCTGCGGTGGAGTCGCCAACATTCCAGATTGGTATGACGTCATGGTGCTCGTTCTCTGAACAATGTGACTGATATATCTCCCTGCACAGGATCCGACCAGGCTCGCTTCAAGTTCGCGAAAGATGCCATCGAGCTGAGGAAACAGGGCATTGCACGCGGACATGGAGCCGAGGAGACGGTCGTGCTCGCGTTCGGCGGGAGCAACTTTGGTGGGAGCGCAGTGCACATCACACGAAAATTGCGCAAGCGGCCTCTGTGGAAGGTCAACTCTTAAATGGACGATATATCTCGCAATGCTGTTCGCTATCTGTCCTGCATCATCATTGTCATTACTCTTGCTGTATCGACGAGTTTCCTCGTATCAACCCGTATCAATCAAGTCTCCTTGCACGGTGAGAACTTGCCAGAGCACTGTGCTTCAATGTCGTTGACAGAGTATAATGCATGTGGAATTGGATTTACTCCATATTCTTTGCCAATGTCCGCAATGGTTCTAGTAGTGCTGATGCTTGTTCCAGTGGGGTGTCTATGCATCGACGCATTATCTGTGCACACTTGCGGATCCTGATTGAACAGAATGAGTACATGTGAGTGATCGCAGCTAACGTGTCACACGTACTTATTGCGCCTGATACGTCCCTCCATCAAACGGCGCATCTCTTCCGAGCGCGAGGACGCAACTCGCAGTATAGGCTCCGATACGCCAGCTAGACGGGCACATTCCACGCCGAACGACTCCGTAGTGACACCAGGCGTGAGACGATATAGGAACGTCACTTCGCGTGTCCCGTCAATCCGCGTGTCTTCTGTGTAGCTCATGTGTACGTTTTCAACCGCAGTTGGGAACATGCGCTGTACATCGGAAGCCACCTGAGGGTAGTGCGTGATGAAGAGCGTCTTGCATTTGACGTTTTGCAACAGATGCTGTAGCACGGCGTCGGCAATGGCCATCTAATAAAATCAAAGTAGGTCGAAACGTCGCGCTGGATGAGCAATGGACTTACCCCGTCGATGGTCGAAGTACCACGCCCAAGTTCGTCCAGGATGACGAGCGACTTGGGCGTCGCGTTTTGGAGTATTTCGTTTGTCTCCTGCATCTCGACCATGAACGTTGATCGTCCGCGGGCGAGCTCGTCCGAAGCTGGCGATAGTCAGCCTTGTGTGCCATAACGATCAATCGCACGACATGGCTTACCGCCCATTCTAACCAGTATGCCGTCTAGCATACCGATTTTCAAGGAAACAGCAGGGACATACGAACCAATCTGTGCCACCTATGCCACGACAGCTGCGTTAAGACAAAGTCGCACAGATCGGTATGGGAACCTACTATTGCACAGATAGCGATCATCCTCACGACTGAGCTCTTGCCGCCCATATTAGGACCAGTAATGATCTTGCTCGCAGGATGTCCAGCTCCCATACGAACTGTATTTGGAACAAATGGTTCGGATCGGAGTACTTCCACCATAGGATGTCTGCCTTCCACTATCTCTAATGTGTCGTCCTCAGTGAATTGTGGCTTGACATAACCCTCTTGCAGCGCCACACGCGCCAAGCTAAGCAGACAGTCAGCCACAGCTAGCTTGTTCACTGCATCTCGCATAAGGGCATAGTATTTCTGTGAGATCTCTCCGAGGAAGGACTGATATGCTTTGTTTGCCGCTGCATCCAAGGCTTCCTTGAACTGTGCGCGCTGCTGCACCTTCTCCCTGACCTCAGGCGTACGATACCGTCTGAGGGTTTTCGTACTTCATGTGACAATCGTCAGCAGGCAGTGCGCATATAGTCGGTGGGGAAGCAAACCTGGATATCAATTGCCACGTGTGTGGCACTTGCCGGTTCTCGTTCTTTTTGATCTCAACCAGGTACTGCCAGGAAGGTGAGTGCTATATCTCAGGACGAGTATGACGGACTTGCTTCCTCTCCTAACCACGTACTGTACAAAAGTGCTGGCTTTTTGAGTCTCCTGCGTACTGCATAACTATTGTCAGAGGCATCCATTATCACAAGGATACTCATGACTAACTGTTCCTCAACTCATCCACGAGCTCCGACTCAATCACCTGTATTGACTGCAGGCGACCTGTCAGCAGATAACACAGCAGAGATACAGCGGCTTTGCACGCACCGCGGTGAGAGAATCGATATCCGGATACTTGTCGGGATCGGTCCACAAGGCTTCCTTCTTGCCTTCCTTCGCCATCTTAAGCGAGACACTATCCAGCAACTCCCTCATAGGCTCCCTCAATTTGGGCAGAGCGGTCACGATATCGTTCAACAACTCCGACTTGAAAGGCCGACCTTCAGGATTGATAATTGGAGGGAATGTGTTCGCAATTTTGCTGAATGAGGGGAGGAGATTTGCCAGCTCTTGCGGCGTACACTGAAACACTGAATTACCGTGATCTCGACAAATAGAAGCAGACGATGTGCTTTACCTTGCCATATTGAATGCGACACAAGCCTTTTGCTAGATCAGGCAGACGTCTCAACAGCTCCCGCAACTGTGTGAGTTTGGGCGACTCATCAGCGAGGACCTCCTCTACTGCATCGATTCTGTCCTGTAGCGCCCTGAGAAAGACCATCCATCATCAGCGTGAACACAGACGGAGGGCCTTGCTTCTCTAACCTCTTGTCAACCAACGGCCTTCCGACCCAGCTGCGAAGCATACGCGCGCCGAAATTCGTCGAGGTATGATCCAGAATCCAAATGAGCGAACCCTTGGTCGTGCGATCAGTCTGATTGCGATATATCTCCCTAGAAGAACCAACTTCATATCGGGCTCTTGTGTAAAGTCCTTGTTGTAGCTCACAGATGTTCCAAAGTATTGCCACTGAGCAGCATGTGTGTACGCTCTGTGAATTTTGCGAAGAACCTCGTTTCCCGCAGACAATCTTGGAGATTGAAATCCATCAAGTAGTTTATCGCGTGTGCCAAAGCTAGCACCACGAGTTTAGGGAAGTCAGCTACAGCAGCCATCAACCTGCCTGGGTTGGAAGAAACTGAGAATGATTACGATGAACCCCAAGCGAGGATAAACTCACCCGAATTGTACCCCTCAGATGCGATGCCGGTCTTGGTCTTATCGGTATAGAACTTAGTGAGCATAGAGAACGCCTCGGTGTATGTGAGGTCATCTTTGAACCGTTCTATCCGAGTCCGGTGTTCCGTCATGATATCAGCAGAGCTGGAGTATCTGGTAGCCAATACATCGTGAGCCTCTCGACTAAGACGCTACACATTGAAACCCACTCCACTGTATGCGCAATCATCTTCTCACTATATTTGCTCAGTTGTGTTTCAGGAAGGAGTAGTTCATACGGCTTCGTATGCACTAGTCTTGTCTTGCCAATTTTGAGCTGCCTTTCAACTGGTGAAACTCAGACGTGTGACATACCTCCAACTCCGTCCTCATGTGGTTATCTGAGGGCCCGGGATATTAGTTGTCTGTGGAGAGCCGATACAGTTGACAAGAAGGCTCACCGTCAAACTCATCCCATACGACGTCTCCCGTGCTGGGCGAGATTACCACCATTCCAACGCGCACTCGTTCGTCAGCACCCATGCCACCCCTGAGCTGTTCGACCACACACATCAGGGGTGGTGCAAAGGTTGGGTCGAGGTCGTCCACCGAGTTGAGGTCCTCGATGTACCTACGTTGTCGTGATCAGATCATCTTGAATGGGTACAGAATGTAAGCGACAGACGTTGCTGCCGTATATAAATGCGTCAATTTGCGTGAAAAGAGCTCGTTCCTGTTGTCACCAGCTTTCTTGAGTGCCGCTGTCTCGGTTTGCTCCACAATGCCTACTTTATGGCCTTGTGAGAGCAGCCTAGCCACAAGTTAACAACATCCCGGAACACTGGCAATCCAGCTTACTTCTTCAGATATATGTCTTTCCTCTGTGCAGGTACAAAGGCGCACATAAAATTCCGTTTGCGGAAGCAAACCATGCCGAGCTCTTTGGCCGCAATCTACATCATTTAGCCTTAGCGCTGTTTCTCCAGTGGCGAGAGACCGGGCGAGCGTACCGGAGCATCGTCTCCAAAGAAGTAAAACTTATAGCCTACCTCAATCATGAGCATGGTACCGGGATGTTTGCTCTTCAGGTCTCGTATCTAACAGAACATATGAGATTGCATGTTGCATTGCGCCCTGTAGTTCGCACCTGAAGTTCCAGTGGCGTGTATGCAAGGCCACTGGGTCCTATTTCCTGTACCTTCACTCTTGTGTTCGGTGCGGCCATAGCCTTGCGTTTGCCCTTCATCGGCTTTGCCTTAGAATTTGCAAACATCTCCATCAACTCATTGAACGCTTCATCTGAACCGGGCTCTGCGGCCGTATTGCTAGCAGCTCTTCCACCCCCGTCATCTCCTTCATCACCATCGGCGTCCTCGGGGTTGACGTCACGGACACCCTCGCTCGATTTCCGGAAGAACTCAGAGTCACCGAGGAGAATACGTTTCGCCCGTTCATGACGCTTTCTTTGTTCCTCATCAAGAACGCCTGTAGGCTGCGAAGGTGCGTTTGGATCGAATTGCCATTGTTCTGTAGCCCTGCCATCGCGTTCCTGGATAGCGATATTTGACGCAATATCTTGTGTGCTTTGTGTAGAAGGCCCGGCAATCGAGAAGAAGCTGCTGGTGGTGGTTCTCGGTCTCTTAGTACTAGGAGGTGACGTTGAATTATATGAATCCCCTGTCAAATCAATAGGAGAAACTGCTCTCCGTTTTTGGTGGCCTTTATCAGCAGCTACTGGAGATGCTACGAAGAACGACGATATGCTGGTCTGTTTTTTGGGGGTCGAGGGAGACATGGCGGGGGTATCTAAGCCACAGAAAGGTTCTCAGAGTACATAAGCCGTTGAAAGTGTCATCAAATAAAGTCTGCGACCATGAAAGATGGTGACTGGAGCGGTGACCAGTGCTAGTGACGCGTCGCATCAATCTGCGCGCGAGCGATTTGATTGATTGAACGCGTCCGGTCACGTGCATTTCGGCGGCTCAGCGCAGCGTCGAGCGGCGCCTCGAGTCGGAGACTCATTTCTTCATAGCAGGGAACTTTACAGATCCTTAGCACGGGAAAAGCACTGGATATGAAATGGAAACTTCCGCCTTTCACATAAGGTGAGTGGATTTTATGGGAAAAAAATGCTATTCCGTACCTTTCCTCCCCTCTAAGGCTCTAAACAGCTCGGAACGTGTCAACAGGATTTTGATGGACACATTACTGATGTTGAATGTGGAGAAATGCTGACCGGGTCTCGACATAGATGGTACGCGTGGACGTCGCCAGCTTGTGCCTTATCCCCGTATACGAAGGCGCTCAACTTCGCGAGCGGCGCGGCGAGCTGGTTGCAAAGCCACTGCCTAGCCCTCCTCCGCCTCAGACAAGCTGCGGGGGAGCGTCCGACTCGATGTCAAAGGTGGGTGCGTCAACAACATTGATATTCCGGCCTGCGTTCCAGATTGACCGTAATAGGGCACGCGAGGCATATGGCGCCTGCAGAGTGGGGCTCATTAATAAATGACCCGTTGAATGCTACCTGGTGGCAGTTGGTCACCGGCGGAGGGTTCCTGCCACCAAATCACGTTCTTTGAGCTCACTTTCTTGTCGAGATCATCATTGCTTCTTCCGTCAACAAGAGGACCCACTGACGGAATTGCAATCAACGCAGATGTTCAACATCTATCAGATGAAGAGCTCTGCGCAAGGCACTGCTTGCACGAGCAGCTGTATTTTTGAGAAGATCTGCTATGATACGTAACAACAGTGCGACTCTTCCTTCAAACCCGTGCCGACTACTGAACAAGAGTGACTTCTCGTGATGTCCACACTGATAACGAATTGCTAGACCATATCGTGAGATACGAAAGTTCAGACACACGCGAATGCCTCTGGGGTCGTCGAGTTTCCGCCAATATACTGCAGGCTCAGTGGATACTATCACCTTCCCATTAGACGCTGATCATACACACTGATCGGGCAGGTCACATACCTGGCAAAGTGGTCGTATGAACCCTATCCCGTTCTCGACATTGTTGTCGTTGTAGTATACAGCGGAGAGGGACTCGGGCGCTACGTCTTCTTCGACCCATTGCACAAGCGCAGAGAGGATGTTATACTCAGGATCGTTGGAAAGAGGTGGCATCCCGCTTGAAGCCTGCAACACACCCCCGAATGCGTTCGCACCATATCCGCTCTATGAGTAATTATGAGTTCGTGCAGAATTTAATGTCTGAGAAAGTTTCTCACCGCGCTGACGGCGGTCACAGCTACGTGAGTAAGAAACAGGTAACAACCGCGCAGACTTACCAGTGATTCATTCCGGGGACAGTGAACAAGCGATAGTAATCGTTGATATCCGTCTCAGTGTACGCTTGTGTGAAAGCGTGCACTGTCTCGTAGTAATGGAGCGAGTTTCCAGGACTGATCAACTGGTCTGCCCAGCCGACATACTGTATGACCTTCCCATTGCGCCCCGACCCTGCGAATGCAGTGAGGTTGGGGTTGATTGCCTTGTGAATTTCATTAGAACTCAAGTTTTATGTTGGAAACACCCTGCTTACGTTTGCCTGGCCAGGATTGATCTGATCTGACAACTCTACCACGGACACATTATAGTCGTAGATGGTCCATTCTGTATCGCTGACACAGAAAATGTTAGCAATCTGTAAGTCTCCTTGGCAGAGAAAGCTTTACTTCGCGATGAAGTATAGGAACCACTCTACGTTGAGCTGGAACGGTACGGCGGTGACAAGGCCACTCTCAGCAAATGCAACCTCGCCACCTGGATAGTACCCGCCGAATATCCACGTCTGGTTAGTCTCGTAATAAGCTGCATATATCTTGAGTAGCGCTTCAACTTGTGGGATCGTCAGGCAAGTAGACGTGTTTTGTCCAGGGTGACATGTGAGTGTCTCTGGTCGGAAACTTAAACGCAAGTCAGGACAATCGTATATGAAGGAGCAGAGGGGCTCACAGGCAGTACCTGGGATCGTTGATGATCCCGTCGACGAGCTGTTAAGTGAAGGTTTTGACATAGTGAGCAATCGGCTGGAGCAATGCGTGGGCGGCTGCTTACCCCGTCAAGAGCATCACATTGTCTCAAAACCTCGGGATGGATGACGTCAATCCAAAGCGATGTGTCAATGAACCTCGAAGAATTGGTCGGTTGCACATCCAGGGCCATCTTGATACTCCAATCGAAAAGATGAGTTAACCAATTTGCCGGGGAACCAACAATCTGCACGCTACCCCCTGTCAATGACAGCTATCGTCACAATGGACAGACTCACGGCGCCATCGAAGTCATCTGGAAACATTTGCACCTCTTTGAGTCTGCGACGGACAGACTATGAGTGGATGATCGCGCAGTGCTCTATACGCCTACCCTTGCCGTCCTCCTGGGTTTGGCATGAAGATGAGGATTTGCACAGCTTCAGCGGTGCTGGATTATTCTCACCTGTAGAACAACCCATATAGTACGAGTAAGTTTGTGCTTCGCCGTAGTACTGCTGCACAATCTCCTTCCCAGTGCCGACACTGAGGTGTAGAGCTCGCCAGCCGAAGTCGACAATGGCATTCTACAATATCTTCAGTAACGAGCTAACGATGAACAGACATGACCGACGTCGTTGTGAGGCCCTGCCCATGACCCGTCAATTGCGGAACCAGTGTGTCCAGTATCCGTAGACATGCCCGCGACTGCATTGTATGAACTTGTTAATGCGAAACGCAAGGGTTGACCAGAAACTGTAGCTCACAGCCTTGAGCAATGGCAATAGTACCCAAGTCTGCAACAGAGGCTACGTCTGGTCGTCAGCGATGTGCCGGAACTACTACTGCTGATTGACTGCTCACCTCCACCAGCAAATCCTCCATTGCCTATGGTCAAGTATCGACCATTCCACTCGTCTGGGAGCCATACCTCGGTATTGCATGATGAATTACCGGTGGCGTTCGTCGTAATCCTGACTTCGACGCGGCAGAAGCCAGGAAGATTGTCGACATCGATGCTCGAAAACTCGTTTGTGATATTGACCGTGGTATTTGCAGCATAGTACGTTGTACCAACAAGCGAAACACCAGCAATATCAGTTAGGTTGAACGACGTGCAGGCGGATTGCCAGGCCAGGGCGGGGAATGCATTGATCAGAATGCAGAGGAGGGTGAGCGAGCGCACCCAGGCTGTGAAGCGATGTGCGATGAGCATGTCTCAGAAACCCTACAGCTTGAGGGTGCATGCATCGGCTCTGTCCTAGCTATGTATACCAGCTGACATTCGCATAATATTCGTCCCGACCGTTCAAGCGCGGACTGCATTCTTTCTTCACGAGAGACTGGAACGTTCTGAGACCGCAGCACAGACTAATTCCTGCGACGATCGTGAGCACTAGGAGAATGACTGCGCAGAACGTGGAACTCAACGAACCGCGGATACAATACGCAGACTTGCAGCGTAGTATCACCAAAGAATCATATCAATACGTCCTCCTCGCAATGTTCCTACGACGTCCAACAACCCGTTTTGCTGAGCATCAGCTGCAGCTGCCAGTGCTGTCAGCGTTTTAGCAGGCCAAGCACAGAGAGAACTGAATGAATTCTTTACGAGAGAGTGTAGCATCCTGTGAGACCGCAGTACAACGCTTCGTGAAGCATTCGAATTCTTGCGGCGATCGTGATTCGTGAGCATGGAGATATTTATTGCGCAGAAGGGAAGTCAACGAACTGCGCGTACAATGTACAGGATCGCAGCGCCAGCACGGACAAAGAGTCATATGAGCATATTCTCTCGTAATGTTCCTAATATACAGCAGTTGCTGAGCACTGCCAGCTGCCGCGGCTGCCATCGGCATTCTAGCCGGACTTGATATTAGCCTTGCATCCCCCTGGGCAGGCTACAAAAAACTCCTTTGAGGGAAGGGACTCCGGTCTCATAACATAAACTGATCTGCAGATAGCAAAAATAGTGCGCTCGTCCCACGGATATGTAGTATGGCTTTTGCATTGGTCGAGGCGCCGTGGCGAGGCTGGCCAAAAATCCGAACATCAGCGGCAGTTTACTGATGGTGATGGGTTCAGTCATGAGACCGCTACTTACCGTACAGTACGGCTCCTGCGATGTGACCAATTGCTTCCGGATTTTCTACTTCCTGATAGATCGAACATTGCCATCATACTATGTCGGTCATACTCCAGGCTCCGAGTCTCCATCCGCTACTACTGCGTCGCGCATCCTCGACCGTGACAGCAGCATCGTTCATTTCGAGCTCGGCTCCACTCCACCTCTCGACGGCCGATAAGGTTTTGAAACATGTCGGAATACGAGAACGTGGCTGGGAGCATGGCTATAATTATCTTTTGTGTTTTGTGAAGAAAAATCAAGAGACAAACTCTGCCTTATAAACCATTCCGCCATCAGGTTGCCATAAATGGATATTCGGTACATCATTTTATCTAAATACGACAAAAACTTAGCTGAGCGCCGCTACCGCGCCATGCGCAGTTTCCCGTCAGTCATGGCGATGAAACACCTGCAGCTGTTTCCCGCATACATTTGTCATGCTGTTTCTTTTCTTCCTGACGTACGTGCCCGCCGTCGCGGCCCTCCTCGCTCAGCGGCCGTTGTCTGCTGCTCATCCAGTGTCAGAGACAGCGCTCCATGAAGCGTTCGATAACAGCAATGCACCGTTCATCTTTAGCTCGTTATCTGGCCTCTTAAAGCAATGGCCGAACACATATCATCCGAACGGTCAGACTATCATCCCAGGTATCCTCGAGCCTTATACGGTTCTCTACCATGCACGAAAGGATAACCAGATCCCGCCTACCAGCGAGTGGTTCGCGTTCGATCCTGAGATGAGCTATGGCATTATGGCAGGCTTCGGACATACCTTCCTCCTCACTTACAGAACGATCCGCCCAGCAAAGGTGGTCTACTTTGATGGTATGAGCGCCTCTTTGGGCAACTCGGGCTGGCTGGATAGCCAGGAGATTCTTATTCGTGGGAAGGGCAAGAGCGGCGATGACGATCCGACGAACTACCCGGTCTGGGGAGAGCAACGCCGCCTAGAAGAACTGTGCAGATGGGGCGAGAAATTTGACATCGAAGGATTCATTCGCATGAACTCGGCATTGTAAGCGCACGTCCTGTGTCTTCAAGGAGAGCCCTCACATAATTTACTGCGGACAGCGAGATCATGTGGTGTAATTTCCATTCCCCGTCTATTCAGCTTGTCAGCCGCCTCAACATCACTGCGCCCGGGACGCCATACTTCAATGAATCTGATTGGCCTAGACGACCTCCTCGTGGCGGACTTGATGCAACTGACGGCTATTCAAGTTCCCTTGATGATCTTCCAATGGAGAATGAATCTCCTGAAGACGGCCCAGATCGCGGCAGACAGCGACGCCCAGGCGGTGATGGCCCGCGAAGAGGCCCTTTCGGGGGTGCCATGTCCCCCTTCGCCACTACAACCTTTGCAGAATGGCTACGTGCCGCATCGTGGCGCGCGTTCGCCCCTCAACCGCACGTCCGCCTCGATTACGGATCGTTCGTGACGTTCTACCATCCCCGCCTACACAGTCTCGCGAGTGCGCGCGCGGGGCAGCCAATGCGGAAACACCGCGCATGGTTGAACCTCTCCGACGAGGACGCGCAGTCCGTCGTCCGGGAGGTAGAAGAAGTCGTCCAACGCCCGATGTGGATGCGCTCGGGGAGCGGTATGGACTGGAGCGCATTGGCGACGAATATCGTGGAAGAGTGGACCGGCCGGATGGTCCAGCTACGTGAGTTCCTCGGGAACGCTTCGAGGTCTCTGAACGAGAGCGCGTATATCAATACTACCGAAACCCTGTGGGAGGTGCGCCGACTGGTGTATACTCCGCTGAACCCTTACTTGGACACGACGGTGGCGCAAAATTCATCGGCTTGGACATGGTCTGACCTAGACGTGTCACTGTCCAGCCAGTTCCCTCCCCGTCCGCCTCATCAATCTCCGCCTCCTCCTAACCCTTTCCCACCGCGCCTCCCTCTTCCTGACTCGCATCATCCGCCAGCTCACCCACCATCGCCCCCTCCCAGCTTCCTGAACACATCCGCTCTCCGGCGCTGCACATACTCTGCTACCGGGATCCTACACAGTGCTCACATACATCTGACGCCACAAGAGGATCTCCTCCGCGTGAGCGTCGAGACCGTATTGGAACGCCTATGCACTGATTATGGCACGATCTTCGTCGAGAGCATGCACGCAGACGATCATGCCGGATTGGATGACGTGAAGGACATGGTAATTAAGTGGGAGACGCGGATGTTAGAGCTGATGCAGTGGCTTGACTGGACGGAGTGGTTGAAGTGCGATGAGGTCTGTTCATCCGATGTGAGGCGATGTTCCCAACTACCTGCAGGGATTTGTACTGACTGAAGATCATACGTGTAGGAAGTCTGTACCATGCCCGTCTGGCCGCTGAACTTCATGAGGCGCGGACCGCGCAGGGGTCCCGGCGATCCCGACGAGGATGAAGATGACCCCGTCTACTACAAGCCGAAATGCGAATCTGTGCGCTCAATGTGGCGTTTTGGGCCTCCTGGCCACCTTGTCGAGACACTCTTGGAAGCGAGAGACCTAGATTGATTCGAAGACTTTTCTTGGGGGATTTTGCTGAGACACTCCATGTTTTTTGCTTTTGCGTTATTCTACGCTCGTTTGTCGTACGCTGACCTGTACTGCTGCATATAATACGACAATTATCCGATGCGCGAAACTCAGCATTTTGCATACTCCGTCTATTATGAAACGCCTGCTAAGTTTCTGAGGCCGCCATGCGGAGAATGCTTGAAGGCTCACATTTACATCCATTGATGCCAAAACAACTCGACAGGACCATCACAGGCTCATCCGTTGGTATATGTACGCGTACAAAGTATACCAAGTGTCAGATGTTTTGTAACAGAGACTCTATCGAGACTGGTCAGAACGATTGCATGCAACTTCGTAGTGTTTCCAGTGAAGAACCATCAATCGTCGTCGTCGTCACTGTCCCTACGCGACAAGACTGATTACTGACTAGCTTTGATACCGCCAGGCTCGCACCGGTTCTACCGCGCGGAATGGTCATTATCAGCTGGAGATGCCACGCTATCGAGCAGGTCGGGATCCACGCACTTGAGCTCGATCGTCATGCAAGACTTTGAACATTTGAATTGGGCATATATCGGCTTGTTTGTTTTCTGCTTTGCTTTTTCAGTGTCGTCCATCCGAGTCTACGCCTCACTTTCTCCTATGCCATCGTGCGTACAAGCTTTTCACGCACTATTCACGCACTATCCAACTATCCAACCCGAGACATCCATGCTCGCTGAGGGTGGTCCTCTCGCTTTATTGGCCATATGTAAAAACCAACCGCACGGCTACGGCACTGAGACGGTGCGCAGGATGCGACCGGACGGATGCAAAGATGCTTTTATCAGCGATGTTGGTGTGTTTTTGTGCTGTCGCTCTGTCAATCTTCGAGCTTAGCGACCACTCATCGGATGACGGTGTCTTGATCTTGAATATGGACGCCCGGTGACGCGGTCGAGTCGGACGGTGGACAACGCCATGATGCGTCTACGAAGATCTCTTCATCATCGCCGCACAATCGCTTTCGTCGTTATCATCGCGACCGTACATCTTTCGACTCTTTCGTGGTGTGCACGGCTGGCTGACCCGCCTTCACAGGAATTCATCGCGTTCCCGGACGAACGGACACCTGAAGGGACGTGCTTTTTTGCTATAGGCTTGCCGCGTTGCTTGACTGTCGCGATTTCAAGGTGAACGTGCTTTAGCTTGACGCAATTGGAACGGCGACTGCATGGCAAAGTCCTGCATTTTGTAAAGTCTTCAAAGTTTTTTTGCATTGAATGTGTTTCTTCAGTCTTGTTGCCCCTTCATTCGATCGTCTTCTATGACGGCGGGCAATGCTGGATATTGAGCAATCTATAAACCCGCTATCGACTTGAGGTTCAAAGAGCTGTCTTGTTAGACCGCGATGGTGCTCGTTTTCGCTGAAGCGGCGTCTTCGTCATATCCGTTATTTGAATGTCGATATTGTCACGTTGTGCTTGCTTTGGATTTGGAGATTAATGTATGTGTTGTCTGTGGCCTTTCTTGTGTATCGCGTTAAATCGAATAAACATTAAGTTGCATTCTCCGAGCGCCATCAGTGCTTTGAAGCAGTCATTCGTCTTTGCTTCGCCGCGATAGCGCATGTCCTCGGCCGGCCTTGAGCGGCACACATATTGTGTTCTGGGACGTAGTAGATATCCTGATGACTTCGGAGTTTCACGCGTGACAAGATGAACACTCTTGAATTCGCCTGCTGTCTTGAGTCAAACAGTTTGCGCAGCTCCGTTTCTTCCGCATATGGTCGTACGGCATCGAAAAAGGTAGCGTATCTTGAGTAGCTTCGTTCTTGATCACACTTTTGTCGTTGCTCTGAGAGCGGTCTGTACATTCGGCTTCGCTGGGTGTCTTCCTCTTGTGCATCATTCAACGAACTTGAGCCTGACGGACTTGGACTTGAAGTCACTCGCACGCAACACAATATCGGTACAGTCTGTGCAATTACAAAAAAAAATCAGTGTATTGTTCGTCGTCCACTCGCCTCAACACCGAGTATGTACTGAAGACATCCAACGTCACTCCGCAACATGACAACCTCAAAAGCTTGACGCATTGGTCCTGACAATGAGACAGATCTATAAATTCACATAAGTACTAGTACAGGGTTGAACAAGATGCCAATTGTGATTGTGTCGTAAACTCACCATGCAGCTCTTGCACATTGCATACGGTCCTCCGATGCTGCTTTACGTATGCACAGCACGCCTAACGTCGAAGCTGAGGACGACCAGGGGTTTGACATGACACGATCAGTCATCTGCGCAGACTGAGAAATGGTTTCATCGAGAAGCCTAGCAGCTAACAGCGATGCAGGAGCTTCAAAGCACCGTAGAAGAACTGGAAACTAACTTCCATCTCTTCTTGACATACTGTATAACAGCAAAAGGGAAGATCCATGTGATATAGCATTACAGTCACGTGGTTCCCACCTACCCCACGGCCACCGCCGCGACTACCACGGTCCACGACCACCACTCCTGCTGCCTGACGTGTACGGTCTGTCTATACATTGACTCGAACCTAACCAGTCTAATTAGAATGTTGTGTGCAAGTCGACCATGTCTTTCGATACTGCAACTTCCTGGCCACCGGGCCTTCTCACCATTTTCGACCATTGTCGTAATAGGCCGACTGCCCTCGAGAATCGGTACTATGGACCCTTTGATAAACTGCTGAACTATTGCTTTGGGTCGTCTTTCGACTTCTACGTCGCTCCCCAAAATCCACCGACGAAGCTTAGTCGCGATTCCATCGTGTTCCTTGTAGTTCGCGATAGGAACGACAAGCCGGTCCTCCTCGTTGAAATCAAAGATGACGGCTGGGCCCAGAAGGCTGAGCTACGGTACCGCGCAGACATCCAGATGCGCGAACGGTAGGCGTTGATGCTCGATGAATGCCCCCTCCCCCAACTCTGGGCTATCAGCGTCCTTGGGACATCCATGCGCGTTTATCGCGGTGACACAGCAACATATGACGTTGTTCCTCCGGCCGTTCCGCGGCCTCAGCCGCAGACACGCATCCTATCGCCCAGTTACTTAGCAGATGGATGGGATTTGGACACACTGTCGGTGGAAGGGTTCAACAAGATGAAGGAAATCGTAAACGACATCCTGGCTCACCGCGGTAACATCGTGGGTTGACGAGCAGGGTGTGTTTTTTCATTGCTCTTTTCATATATGCCACGAGGAGAATGTGCTGTATCGTATCGCTACGCGGGGGAGATCGTGTTGTATTGTATCGCTAAGTCTACAATGGAGTTCCGTGCTACGAATGTACATGGCGGGAAGATTTGGACCAGTTGTGCGATCAATACTCGTCCTCACATCAATAGTATATTTGGTGCACGCTGAAGTTGTGACTTGCTAGGTAAAACGACGCCGCCGTTGTGGCGGTGGCGTCGGCATGTTCAAACTTAGCGTTCCCACGGGTACACTTCTCACTGGACCCCTGGCAGTTCTTAGCCCTAGCCTAGTGGCCACCTACCTCTCCGTATGCTCACAACCACTGTATAGTCCGTGAGGATGCTATATCAGAGGGAGTGGAGGGAAAACTCCGCTCATCGCGAGGTCTACTGATGCGCAGGAAATTAAATGAATGATGTAGTACGCCAGTGGCCCACTGGCCACATTCAAGTTTGGTGGCCACTTCATAATTTGAGGGCCAGATCGAGCTGGCACTCACTGTGTTTATTCAGAAAATGATGATAAGAGCTGTCACACCGCCAAGTAACAAAACAGCACCTCTGCCATGAAAGCTAGATTTTTGCACTGCAGATATCATCTCGGGCATACGTGACGGTCTGAAACAGCCACACATAAGATGCAACATACAGAATACTGTTACGTGTCGGGATTGCCACGCTGCATTGTCAGCTCTGGACAAAGAATAATGTCACCCGATAGATCTGGATACAAATTCATGGTTGACATGCCTACATCTACGAGGTAAATAAAAATGCTTCACAGCACGGAGAAGCACCGAAAGGGCTGGCGTGATATGAAATTGTAACAGGGAAATCTCTTTTGCGAGATGTACATGTGAAGGAACGGAGCTATTGGTGCCACTGCCGCCGAAAAATCGCAGATGAATATTTTGTACGATCATCTTCGTGCGTAAACCAGCTCGCCGAACAACTCGCGAACACGTTTTGGATTTCTGTGGCCGCGTCGGCAAAGAAGCATAAAGTGCCACCCGGCCATTGGCCATGCCTCGCGGAATTTAGATCGGGCCACGACCAACACGAGGTGTGAAGTCTCTGTGGCTCGGTGAAGCAATATAAGAATGTCCAACAACAGGACTCACCGCCTCCATTCGCGACGCACTCCCTGCTTACTTCGCTACAGGAAGTCGACAAGATCACCCATCCTACAGCTCTGCATCTCTCATCGCCTCATTCACGATGCCCCGAGTACGCAATGTCCACGAAATTTCCGCCAAGAAGAGCGACGACGCCCCTCACGTCGATACTCTGTACCGCTTCAATAACACGGGCACCGCTCTTCCGAAGAACGTCTTGCGCAGGATCTTCAGTCTTGCAGCGTCACCTTCTGTCCACACATCCTCCAGTCTAACCGCCATTCAAATCGCATGTAACCTCGCGCTCGTTTCCACGTATGCGGAGAAGTGGATGAGGCCGTTCATCTGGCGAACGGTCAATCTCGTCAACCCCATGAAGATCCATCAAATTCGTAACGCATTCCACGCACAGCGTTCAACGTCCGGCTCATTTGTGCGAAACCTGTGGATCAGAGCAGAAACAACAGGCAGGCCGTTGAGGGAGGAAGGCCATGTCTTGGCGCGCGAACTTGCGATAGACCGACCTAGGAACTTGGCGATTGACTTGACACTCGTCGTGGACGGATGGCTGGAAAGAAATGACGCGAGACCGACGCAGGTGCTTCTGTTAGCGCCCACGCGCCCGACGCCTTCGAATAGGCATATGTTAGGAAAGAACCCAAGGTCCATCTTCAAACGTGTCACTCACGTCATCGTAGAGCCACACTGGCACGAGCTAAAGATGACACCCGGCCGTCTTAACACTCTGTTTCCATCCATGAAGGCACTTTGCGTACGCATTCCTGCAGATCTTGATCCCGAGGTTGCAGCCAAGTGCGCCCACAAGTTATTCCGAACGAAGCGGCTTGAAGTGCTCATCATGTGCATCGACAACGGTGCGAATGGTGTCTTGAGTGTCGACAATGCAAACTGGGTCGCACTAAGGAACCTTGCCTCTGATCACGACAATCTAACGATTCTTCCGGAAGCTCTTCCCATCCGAAGTGAATGGGACGCCATTGTGGCCAATGGAAATACTGTTTGGCGACGAGCGGAAAATCCAGCTTGGGGAAGAACCGAGCCTACATTCGTCGAAGATCAGGACATATGTTTGGACGACGAAAGCATCCCGCCCTTCCGGCATTATATAACAGAAGACATCAAGGACAACTTCGTCCCCTCTGAGTCGGCGATGGATGTTGATGAATATGTGTGTTCTTGCGTGGAGATGGAGGAGCCAGTTGAGTTCCTTGTCGAGGGAGAAGTCGATCAGATACTGGGGGACGTCGGGAGTTTGAGAAGTCTATGGGAATCTGAATGGAGACTTTTGAGTGAGATTGACACTGAGGAGGAAGATATATGCTGAGCACATCCACTCATTTCCGCATGCGAGTCGTTATACAGAAGCTTGTATTAGATAGAATGTGCTTGGACTGAACAGTATTTCTGCATGATTCTCCGAAAAGACAAAGTACACTCTGGCGGCTGTGTGACTCTGAATATGAATATCGAATTATCGAAGTAAGGGAAAATGTCGCAACCTGCATGGCTTGATAGGAGTCAGAGCAGGCAAGACAGACAGTTGGAAAGCATGCAACGCATTCCGCATGGCCTCCTTACCGTCGCTGTTAGTGTAGAGAATGGGATCCAAGCTTAAGGATAATTTTCATCTTGTGCGAATCGCAACCGATGACCGTCGTGGCGCACGCGTTGCGTACGAGCGCTTCTACGCATCGTCGCGGACTTTCTCCCGCCGCTTCGGGAAGGCAGGCGTCTTTTCCTAATGCATTCAGCGATCATGCACGCTCGAGCTGCCCGTTCTCTCGCGCCCGTTCTCTCTTCCGCGTGTAGGCGACCGCTTGTTCCTCGAACGCTATGCAGTGTGCGCGGCCAAGCAACAGTGGTCAGCTCTGGCGCAGCAGCGACCGCAACGAACCGTGAGGGCAGGTAGAATTACCGGACGCGCGGTACGCTGAGACTCGTTTCCCCAGGTGCTGAGGCGACATTGAAACGCTTCTGGAAAACAGTCAATATCGACGGACGAGAAGATGTGTATGCCGTTATGCTGGATAAGCGACCACTGCGGACACCGGGAGGGAAGCATCTGCAGCTACCGCGCAACAAACGGCTTGCGGCCACTCTCATTGCAATGGAGTGGGAAAATCAGGAGATCGTGTTGAAGCCGCATGCGTTACCTATGGTGCATTCCGATTTTGAAGTTCAATTTTTACAGTAACGTGAGCCCGCTTTCTAGACGTCAATCGCATCAAGAGCAATCGATGCTTTCTCAGATGAACAGACTCGCAGCGAAGTCCGTGCACAGCTGTTAAAGTATTTCGAGACGGATACAATATGGTCAGCATCGTCCTAGACTGTGAAAATTCTGCATTCTGAGCCCAGTAACAGCTTCCACCAGAATGAGCCCACTTCGCTCGTCAATCTGCAAGAAATGCACTGGAAGCCTTTGCTAGAATGGACACAAAGCACCTTCAATGTCGATATCAGCACGTCCGACTCCTTTCTTCTCAGTCCACATCCACAAGAAACGGTCAAGAAGCTCAACGAGATCATGTTCAACTTCGACCATTGGCAGATGGCCGGTATGTCTTGAACCTCTGTTCCCGGATGATAGGCTCTCATACGATGGGAGAATAGCAATGGAACGTGCGACATACACGTCCAAATCCTTCCTCATCGCTCTCGCGCTCGTAATGAAGCGGATAACTGTCGAGCAGGCCGCTCAGGCTGCACATGTCGAGGTAAACAGTCAGATCGAGAAATGGGGCGAAGTTGAAGATTGTAAGTGACTTCTTATATTACATGGATTGCGGGATTGACACGTCGTCAGCTCATGACGTTGACTATCACGACATTCGGAGACAACTCGGCAGCGCTGCATGCTTGATTTCCAACCTATAGAGCAGCTTTACATACTGACATGTTGGAATCGCTATGTCGTCCGCATCCAATGCTCTGTTGTCTCAGCTCATGCAAACAGGAACTATCATCACCCGCAAGACGTATGCAATTCGGGCATGGAAAGAAAGCATCGTGATTGGATGTACATCACACTATGATCCCAGGTCCACCAGGCTTCCACTTACGAGCTAGAGGGAATTTCTCTCGGAGGATCGAATCCTCTTGGAAAGACTTGCCGGACATTGATGTTTATACGGGTACTACGCAGATACTCCTCATGTACCTTCCAGTCGTTTTGCTCGTCGTCAGGGCGCGTCTCAAAGTGCGGCGGGAGCGTGCCTTCGAGTATTCGCGGCACGCCTGTAGTGCAGCATTCGTGAAGTCAGCAAGGACTATATTTATAGCGACAACGCACTCCACGTACCATGATATGCTCTCCGGCATGCGGGTCCGGACATGATTACCACGTCGCCGGAGCGGAGAACAATTGGCATGGGTTCGACATCTCGTGTGAGGCCGCCAATGAGGAAGATCGCTGCGCAACCCAGCCTGCATAATCAATCTTTTACGACCCTCGAAGAACAGGTACATCATCGAGAACCTACGAGATCGACACTAAAGGAGACGTGGCACAGACTTCGGATCGGTCGACGTGGGCCATGAGCGTATCCTGCAATATAGAGATCATCACCATGTTAGTAGGTGTTGACGGTGAATAAGAACATGCCTTAGTCTGGTAGAAGTTCACAATACCCGCATCAGGCTCTGCACGCACATCATTAGTCCCTAAGCCCCGCGAAATATATCGGTAGCTGTCTTACCATACCCTTCATTCCATGTATCCCAGTCCGGAGCCTCTTCTCCCCAGTCACCACCGGAGCTTCCATCTGCGAAGACCTCCTCCCATCTAACCGACTTGACTGCCCGCTTCCACACCCGCTTCACTTCCTCATTGATGGTACCCTTGCCTTTCGAGAAATCATACTGCTTCGTTCCCCAGTGGTACGACCATCCGATATTCGCCCAGCGCAGCTTAGGTACCAGGGCTGAGACAGGCAAAGAGTGCACAGACGGGGACGGCGCGGGAGGCAGCTTTGGCTCTGCCGAGATGGCGCTGAAGTTGACCTTTCCTGCCGGTTCGTTCGCGACCAACTTGCGCGGTCCAGGTGGTTCAGCGAGCGTTTCCGTAGCAGCACCAGAGGTAGATGCCCGAGGCTGCACATTTTCGTCTTCGCTCAAGCCGCGCTGCACCTCCAGATACTTGTTCCACAAGCCCTCCTCGGGGAGGATGTAGTGAGTGTCGAGGTTGGTCTCGTTAGGATGCCGAGCTTGCTCGCACAGTGCCCACCGCATGAGCCGTCTTTGCTCGGCAGGCTCGATGAACGCGGGCAGCAGGACCAAACCTGTCGCATACGAGAATACATTTCAAAATGAATACGTACATGCAGCATATGTAATAGCAGGTTGCCCACCAGGGGTGTCCGGGAAAACGTATGCTTTCCTATCACTCGACGTTCGCTCCTGCAGCTTCAAATCGATCTCTCGGTACCGCACGGTATCTCCCCTACCGCGCCATCCTCCCCTGGAGATCTCACCGGTTCGCGAGGCGTCCAAGGTAGCGAGATCGAGGACGTTTGTAAGATCAGGCGGTGGAAAGCGAGCTTTATACCTTTTCTCGGCTGCTCTGAATGGCGTCCAGTCTGGCTCTACCTGATCGTTCCTATTCCGAAGGCTCTTCAAGTACCTTTTCCTGGCCTTTTTATACGCGGAACTTGCCGGATCATGTACATCTGAAGCAGAAACAGACGTGGTCGCAGCAGGCATGGCGGAAGATGGTAAGTGTGAAGATCAAAGAAAAGATTTTGCTTCATGCAATAGTGAAATATGTTGTTCCGATCAACTGAGAATCGAAGACGAAGCCCACGACAAAATTATTTACGCACTGTGGCCGGCATGCACGCAGATACTGTAAAATCCGTGCAATGAGTTGGGGTTTATTGTCCTGATAATACAAACTACATGATGCAATAGACAGATGGGCGTGGTCATAAAGTAAGACAGTGCGTAAGGTTACTTTTACGTACTCTATACACGGTGCAACAGAAGTGGACGAGATACGAACGACGGCAGCAATGCGATAAGCGGAGGACGTATGTAGTCAGAGACCGGAATAGATCAAAGAGGTAAGAGTATGAGGAGGGTAGAGTGGGAACTTAATCCTTCTTCTCCTCATCCTTCTTCTCGTTCTCGCTCTTCTCGTTCTCGTTCTTCTCATTCTCGGCCTCAGCGTTGCGCTTCTCGTAGACCTTCTGGAAGAGACCGAGCGACGCCTGCTGCGTCTCGTCGAGCTTCTGCCTGATGCTGTCAGCAGTCACGGAGCCGTCGCCAGCCTGACCCTTGGCCGCAACCTCACGGAGCTCAGCGACGAGCTTCTCGACCTTCTCCTTCTCGGCGTTGTCGAGCTGCTCCCTAAACTCGCCGATAGCTGCAAATAGACCTCATAAATAATACGACTTTGCAGAGAAGGCACATAGAAACTTACCCCTCTCGGTATCATGGCAGAAAGAGTCGGCCTTGTTAGCCTCCTCAATGACAGCCTTCCTTGCCTTGTCAGCTTCAGCATACTGCTCCGCATCTGCAACCATGCGCTCAATGTCCTTGTCGCTGAGACCGGACGACGACGCGATCGTCATCGACTGGTCCTTGCTGGTAGCCTTATCACGGGCGGTGACGTGAACGATACCATCTGTCATGCACAATGTCAGCGATGTGATGCTGCATCCGCATATAAACATACGTACCAGCATCAATGTCGAAGGTGATGTCGATTTGGGGAACACCCTTAGGTGCGGGAGGAATACCGGTGAGGTTGAAGCTGCCGAGGAGTTTGTTGTCCCTGACGAGCTCACGCTCACCCTGGAAGACCTTCACATCAATCGCGGACTGGCCATCGGCAGCGGTCGAAAAGGTCTGAGTCTTCTTCGTCGGGATGGTGGTGTTGCGCGAGATAAGCTTCGTCATGATGCCACCCTGCGTCTCGATACCAAGGGAGAGAGGAGTGACATCGAGTAGCAGGATATCGGTGACATGGCCAGCCAAGACACCACCCTGAATAGCAGCACCGATGGCGACAGCCTCATCGGGGTTGACGCCCTTGCTGGGCTCGCGACCAAAGATCGTCTTCACAGTGTCGACAACACGAGGCATACGCGTCATACCACCCACGAGGATGACCTCGTGGACCTCGCTCGCCTTGACGCCAGCATCAGTCAGGGCCTTCTTGCACGGGTCGACGGTCCGCTCAATCAGGGGTTTCACAAGCGACTCGAATTGCGACCGTAGGATCTTCAAGTTGATGTGTTTAGGACCGGACGCATCCGCAGTGATGAAGGGCAGGTTGATCTCCGTCTGCTGAGTCGACGAGAGCTCAATCTTAGCTTTCTCAGCTGCTTCACGGACTCGCTGAATTGCCATGGGGTCCTGGGTGAGGTCGATGCCGGAGTCCTTCTTGAAGTTATTCAGGATGTGCTGAACCAGCACAATATCGAAATCTTCACCACCAAGGTGAGTATCACCGTTCGTCGATTTGACCTCAAAGACGCCCTTTTGCATCTCAAGGATCGAGATGTCGAAGGTACCACCACCAAGATCGTAGACAGCAATAACAGCGTTGTCGACGCGGTCCAAACCATATGCAAGTGCGGCAGCAGTCGGCTCGTTAATCACACGCAGCACATCGAGACCAGCAATCTGGCCGGCATCCTTGGTTGCTTGTCGTTGAGCGTCATTGAAGTACGCGGGAACAGTGATGACGGCATGCCTGCATATCTCGTCAATTCGTGTTGACTATCTGATATGCAATAGGGGGATGACGCACTCGACTTTTTTATTGAGGTACTGCTGTGCAGTCTCACGCATCTTCGCAAGCACAACGGATGACAACTCCTCCGCGGACTGGGGGTGGATGTCAACGAAAGCGGCTCACAATAAGCTATGCACACGTACGAAGAGTTGCCTTTTGCCACCAGTATCGACCTCCACCGCTGGCCGGCCATCGGATTTAGCTACAACCTTGAATGGCCTACATGCTGTCAGAAAATGAGCTGTACAATGTTGAAAGTCCTACGCTTACCAGTGCTCCATATCCTTCTTGACCTCTGGGTCGCTGAACTGACGACCTATGAGACGTTTGAACGCGAACACCGTGTTTTGCGAGTTCACGACAGCCTGGCGTTTTGCCGGCAGACCAACCAACCGCTCCCCCTGCTTGAACGCGACGACGGATGGTGTTGTCCGCACACCCTCCGAGTTCTCAATCACACGCGGAGTCTTCCCCTCCATAACGGCAACGCAAGAGTTGGTTGTACCCAAATCAATACCGATCACGGGGCCTAAAGTCGCTCAGAACTGTGTTCTCGCTTTCAAAGGAACGCGTAAGCCTACCGCTGACTTTGGAGTTCATGTTCCTCGCGATCATCGACCGCGTGAGACCCTGTGTTTCCGTCAATCAGAACTCCTTGGGATTTTGACGCAGGCACTTACGGAGTATCTGCCATTGCGGGAAACACAGCGAAGAGAATGAGCGGCGGCGAACATGGTGAGGGAGATTGAAGGAGAAGGGGTGTGAGTCTTGCGAATTGCGTCGTCAAATTTTTGTGAACGCGTAATATTACATAAGCTCGGCCGGCTTTGTCCGAGCAGATATGGAAGCTTCGAGAGTTATCTGGGTGGCGCAAGGGCGTTAGTCGGTATAATTACTTCAGATAGCTTTCCTTTTATGCTCACGTGGTTATACAGTACACCTGCTCATAATGCATTCCCTCATAGTGCATAACACCTCATAACGCATAGCTCCATGTGGGCACGGAGTTGGTGCCCGCCAAATTATGCATGAGATCTCATACCGCATAATGCATACCTAAAGCGCGGCATTATGCATTATGATATCGTGAGAATAATGCCTAACTAAGAAATTCCACGTGCATTGAAGGTTATACAGGACACATAACACCATTTTTGTCCCATAATTATGTTTATAAATTATGTTTATGTCCAAATTTGGGGGTACTAAACCAGGTTTGTCGCAAAAAAAGTAGTAGAAATGTGAGGCCTATTTTGTGTGCGTGACAGCCCTACCTTGAAAAGTCACGCATAGTCACTCAACGTCACACTATGTGACAGCCTGGTAATGCATACTACCTCATAATGCATAGCCAAACCTGGGCACCGACGTTATGCGTTATGAGCAGGTGTACTATATGTAGACTTGTAGGCTGTAGGCGCGTTCAAGAGGATAGCCTACCGCTAATTTTGTGAGCACTCTTCGTACCCACTGGATCCCGCTCTGTCCCCGCATTGTGGCCACAAGTCCTTCTTTACCGCTGGTATGGACCGCACAAAGCAATATCGCCGAGGTGGGCTTTCAGACTGGAAGCGGACCAATGTTAGAAAGTCCAATTGTCGTCGCTTGCAATTGCTATGGAATAGCTTGCGTAGGATTGGACTGTTGCATTTCACCGATACACATCGTAGGAGTGGGAAATGTACAGGAAAACGGTTTGAACGCTTTAAACAGCCAATCACTGCTACGGTATCTCGCTGGATGGCGCCGTTCTTCTTAGTGAGTTCCCTCGTGAAAAGAATTGTCGGCTGCGAGGTGGAAGTTTAGGGAGGGCATGGAGATCTCGGATTCCGGATGTGCTGGCTTTGAATATAAAGTCTGGCGAGAGACGGGACCCTCTGATATATATGTCGAGCCATGAGCGTCGAGACGGACGATTGACATATGTTATGAGATCATCCGCGCCCAGATCAGCAACTCGCCAATTCGCAAGGTTAACGCGACAAATTCGGGTCTTCGAACAGTCCACGGATTCAAACCAGACATGCAAACGTTACTGCAGACCTCATCCACGGCGACGGCACAGAAAAATGGTTGTCGGAGTCACGCGCAGGCTTCGCCGAAGACCCGCGTCATGCTCAGCGCCAACTTCGAGCAGACTCTTCTTCTGCATGCAGCTCTGTCGGTCGTCGGAATTCGGTCTTGTCTCTCTACGTTCTGTCTGACCGGGAAAAACATTGCATTTGATGTCTGTATGGCTTCCCAAACCGTCGCCATCGCTCCTTGCACGCACCTGTAGTCGCCCCAGCCCATTTGCAGCTCTCCGGGTGCTTGCCGGGGCGAGCCACAATGCTCTTTCTCCGCTTCCGCCGCACGCCCTCTATGCGCTTTCAAGGCGATTTGAAAGCACGAAGCCTGCGCCGGAGAACGTGAGAAGCGCGTCGACGGCCGCGACCGACGACTCTCATGTGGCTGCTGAACCGAAGCCAGCGCCTCTTGCTCCAAAAGACCCTGCGGACGACGCATCGCGGGCCACTAGAATATGGAAAAAGGTCAAACACGAAGCGCAGCACTATTGGCACGGCAGCAAGCTTCTGGCAGCAGAAGTGCGCATCTCCTCGAGGCTAGTATGGAAGATTCTTCATGGAGATAATTTGACAAGGAGAGAGCGGAGGCAGGTGCGAGCTGTCGAGGTCGTTCCAATACCTCTACTGGTCTAATTTCTATGACATTGCATTCGTGATCCAGCTGAAACGTACTACACAAGATCTCTTGAGATTGATACCATTTGCCGTTTTTGTAATCGTGCCCTTCATGGAACTTCTTATCCCGGTCTGTCTGAAGCTATTCCCGAATATGCTTCCCTCAACATTTGAAGACAAGTTCGCAGCTGTGAGTGAAGCTTGATTTGATTTATCGACGTCGCTCTGAATGCGTTGTATAGCAAGAGAAACAACGAAAGCTTCTCCGGGTTAGACTAGACATGGCAAAATTCTTGCAGGAGACCCTGCGTGAGTCGGGTCTTAAGGCGAATGCGCACATTGTAGGCAGTGACGCGTTCAAGGAATTCTTCCGCAAGGTTTGTGCTGTATCATGCAAGCAGTCGATCTTTCTCACGCCTATTTCAGGTCCGGTCAACCGGAGAATTGCCTTCGGCTCAGGACGTTATCAACTTTGCCCGTCTATTTGACGACGACCTCACCCTGGACAACCTCTCTCGGCCCCAACTCGTCTCTTTGTGTCGCTACATGGGCATCAACGCATTCGGTACGGACAACTTTCTGCGCGGCACGATTCGCACGCGACTGCTCGAGCTCCGGCGGGACGACCAGCTCATCGACATGGAGGGCGTCGACAACCTCAGTGTTTCTGAGTTGCAAGCGGCTTGCCAAAGCCGCGGCATTCGCACTGGTGGTGTCTCCCCCGCAAGGCTTCGGGACGATCTCACCACGTGGATCAGCCTGCATTTGAAGAACCGGGTCAGCGGTGTGCTCCTCGTGCTTGCGCGAGCGTTCCAGTTCGATAAGAGATTCGGTGATGAGGAAGACGGCAACAGTGAGATTATCAAGAGCCTGGAAAGCGTACTGAGCGGTCTTCCGGACAACCTGGTAGGGTCTGCTCTGGGAGTGCAATTGAGTGCAGAGGCTGACGAATTATTACATAGCTTAACGAAGCGGAACTCGAAGTCGACTCTGACAAGGCTAGCTACAAGCAGAAACTGGAGGTCTTGCAGCAGCAGGAAGAGCTCATCGAGGACGAACAAGAGCAAGAGGAGAAGGAAGAGGCCGCTCGTCGTGCGCAGAAGGAGGAGGAGGCGCGCCTGGCCCAATCGCTCTTGCCTGAGTCTGAGGTATCAGTTTACCTACCTTTTACTTTGTGCGCCTACTCAATCCTTCCTCTGTTCAGCTGAGGGAAGAACCTGAGAAGGTGGAAGAGCCTGACGCTCGCATGACTACCGAGCAGCTCAAGGAGCTCGCCTCGGCTTTGTCTATTCTCTCGACCAAATCCAGCGTGCTCAAGGAACGTGATGAACTCAGTGCTCTCATGGAGGAGAACCAGGCAGCGGAGGAGGTATGCGATCCATTATAAGGTACTCGTCGGGATAGCTCATCATATCGTTCCTCTATTCAGGACCCGAAGTCGCCTGCGGCAGCTCTGACAAAGCGCATCCGAAGCATGCTCAAGAAGATCGACAAGCAGTTGTCGGACTACGATGCACGCGTTGGCTCGTCACTGCAGATGATCTCGTGCGACCCGCAAGGCCGGATTTCCGTGGAGGACCTGCACAAAGCGCTTGCGGTCATCAAGCATAAGCCGGATGAGGAAGTCGGAAACAAAGTCATCGAGAAGCTGGACGTGGACAAGGATGGATATGTCGAGTTGGAGCACGTGCTTGGGTTAGTGAGGGAGGAGGGGCTGGGTGAGTGCTGTGCCTTTCGTGCCTTGCGCGTTGCTGAGCGATTCCGTTGAACTGCAGGTACGGTGTTGGATGACGAGGCGCAGTCCATCATTGGCCAGGGCGATGAAATCAAGAAAAGCAAGCCGAGGAAAGAGGACATCGTTCAGGAATGATTCTTTTCATGACGCTGATATTAGCTCATTCATGCTTAAGAGTGAGCTCGAGTTTGCTCCTTCCATCTAGCACAATGCAACATGCGGCCTGATGAGGATGTTCCTGGGGTGACCTGCTATGGACAGTCCGACAATCCCGACAGTTACTATAGCAAGTACTTGAACATGCAGCTTCCATTATAAGATACACCTAGACACACGATGCATTCAAACAAAATGTAACTGTGGTTTGAAGCGTGCTCACTTCGCAGTAGAGCCATCACTCAAGCTTTCTGGGCCTTATGTTCGTGCCTGACGTTGCTTCTTGCCGATCACGATCGAGGTGGCGGTGTGTATAAGCGCCGCGGCGCTAGGATGGGCGCTAATATATTCCGGAACCAAACACCATGCGAGTATATCATATATCGAGGTTGCAGAGGGTACAAGTCGACCTGGATGGACCGATCTCAGTAGGCGTTGCAGAAAGCAGTAGAAGTCAAACCAATCAAACTGAGTCTCCTGCATGGGCGTTCGTCCTGCGGGCCATAGACGAGTTCGCTGGGCTGCACGAAGAAGACCTGTCATTCGCTCATCCTCTTCTCCCTCGCTGCGCTCAGACCGACGCCCAAAAAACTCTTTCGCTCTTTTGCAATAGAAGGAGTTCATATTTGAGATATGAGAAGCCGATCAAGAGTTCCAGTCATAGCGCTCGTGCTGACAACCTGACTAGAAGTGCCACAAGAGTGCGGACTTCTACTGGTTTAGATCCTCGTTCCCATGAGCAAATATTGGCGGGTCACTCCTACTGTTATGCACCACTCGGGCCAGTTCAGTCGACTTCTATCTCGATTCTTCATTCACCCCTCCACCCACGCTCCCAGTGACGTCGCGGCCTGCGCCTAATGGAATGTCTCCACTGATGGCGACAGCTCGCTCGTCCTGTTCCTCGTCTGCTTGCCTTCCACCTTAACATTGCTACAAGATCTAGTTCAGCTTACATCGATCCTCACACGATCGCATGGCGTATGCATACTACCAGGCTATCGGACGCGACAAGTGGGGTACTCCAGAGGTATGTACACTCTCGACATCTGAATCCGATGACTCCGGCACCAAACTCACACACGGTATCTCAAACAGTTCAGGTTCGAACGTCCTCCGACGCCCAACTTCAAACCGGAAGGGTCTTGTGCGTTCCTTCTTCTTCGCCGCAGACGTCACTCTTGACGAACTGACCCCGCTCGTCGGCGCCCATAGGGGGCGGGATTGACTACTTCCGCGCGCATGCTTGCCATCGCGACCCGTGAGTACACCGATCTTTGCTCCAGGCGCATCTGTGTGTCTCCCTCCCATGTTTCCTGACGAAAGCGTGTCCGAAATCCTAGGGCATTCTACCATTCGATAATCGGCCGCATGTCTGCCGCAATCGGTGTAGGATTCAACGAGGCGCGGTACTGGCACCACCGCATATATGGAGGACTCGTGCGCTCTTCCGTCGCCTGTTGGCTCATTAACTCCATGTACTGATGCGTCGAGACAGGTGAACCTCGCACAAGTGCCTCCTGCGGACGTTGGCGCCGCCGCAGCCTATGAGGCCTATCGAATATACAAACACAGACGATCCGTGTTCTTCCACCCCTTGGGCAGGGACATCGAGCGGCATAGAGAGATGCTGATTGCGATGGCAATCGCGGAAGCCACACAACTGTGGCAGTACACCGGACGCGCGTTGGATGCCTATGGCAGGCAGGACGCTGCGGAGGCTGCGGCGGCCACAGCTTCGCAGATCGCACGAAGAGTGTGTACACGCTATCTTGAGCACTTGCACCGAGCAGACTTGCTGACTGGGTATCCTGAAAAGGTCTTGGTGGAAGAAGCAGCAGCGCGCGGCGGAAATGGCCTCTTCGGAGTCGGAGCGGGGATGGGTGCAGGCGGCGCGTATGGTGTAGGTACCGGCGTTCCTGGAGGAGGCTACGTTGCAAGCGCCCCCGGTACAGGCTACGGTGCAGGCATGGGTTTTGGTGCAGGAAGTGTCAACCCCATCGACTACACTAGCCCCGCAGCAATGAACCCTCTCAACTACGCCGGTGCAGGAACCGGCTATGGCGCAAGTACGCTCGACTACGACTCGGCGCGGCGAGGGCGCCCACGTGGTCTGAGGCGGGCCTCCTCGGCGGATTCGCTGCTCCAATATTCTGGCGCAGGTCTAGGAATGGGCGCGGGAGGAAGGGTGGCGGGCGGCGCGTTGGGTGCGGGCGCGATACCGCTTTCAGCAACGGGAACGCCTGCGTCAGGTGTCGCAGGGTTGCTGACGATGGGAGGAGTTGGAGTGGCATCGCCAGCCTTCGGCGCGGGAATGCCAACGCCAACAGCGGGCATAGCAGCTAGCGTACCTACTGCAGTACCAGCTGGCGTGCCAGTTGCAGGGGCATATACTGCGCCAGCAGCCGTAGGAGCGGCCGGCGCACCGGTATTAGGTGGATATCCAGTAGGCGCAGCCAGCGTCGTGCCGACCACCGGCGCATACAGTACAGGTCCCGTAGGGCCGCTGAGCGGCGCGTACGGCGGGGCACTGGGTGGGATGACGCGCGGAGTCGTGCCGGGATACGGAGTGCCCGGCTCAGTGGGGCAAGTGGGTACGTATGGCGCGTATCCTGGGCAGGTGGTAATGGGTACAGTGGGCATGCAGCAGCAACCGCCGGTCGTCACGATCAAACCTGCTCCGAGGAGACATCATGACAGGCATCGGAGGGCGAGCAGCGCGAGCGTTGGATATTGAGCAAAGGATGAACGAAAATCCGAACTGGCCGACGATTCTGCACAGTCTTCGATCTGCCATGAATGCAATGGGATGACGATTGATGGATGATGGTTCTAGATCAGGCTTGCATAGTATTGTTGTAGGACTTACTCGCGTATACTGTAAGATCCAGATATGATAATCAAAACAGCGAACCCGAATGTCTTCACTCACCAGAGTCTCGCTTGCATTCATCCAGATGCAGACTGAGGGCCGTAGTTGTTAGTAATATTCATCTCGAGGAATCGTGATGATCTCACGGCGATTTCACTAAGATACGGAACTCGTGCGGTACGGTGGGTCATGCTGACGTTCACGTTGGCGATGCGGGGATCACGAGGGCAGGGCCATCAAGCACTGTGGGTTTGAAAATTACCGTGAAAGATCCGAGCATGCCAGGAGTAATAAGCCAGTCACGCTCGAAGGGCGAGCGCTGAGCAAGACCAACTTATGCATCGTGAGGCCTACATCGTACATCCAGGGGAATCCAGGTCCGCGAATACGGACGCCGCCTATTCCGACCATCATACATCAGATTCCGCGGCTCCAGAGCGGGGTAGCACTCGAAGATGTGGTCGAAGTCAACGGCATCATCAATAAGAGTCCTTCGTACGGTGGTGTTAAGATGTGGCACCGGCCTCGTGTCATTCAAGAAGAGCTTCCTGTTCATATTCTGCTTACCACGCCGTCGTTGCTGCATGCTCTAGACCTCTGAGCAGGTTCACAGTCATCCAGGGTTTCAATCAGAAGACCCGGGAATAGAGGCTTCGCTCCACTGTTCCACATCACCGCTTGCGACATCCATGCTGCCTATTCTTCACAGCAACCACAACTGACAACGACGCCAGCCGACCGCTCATTCAGATGCCATATTCAAATTCATGGGCGTGTTCGAAGATTGTCTGTCTCTCTGCATGTTCTATCGGAGGGTACCGATATCACACGATCGGGCGTGACTCTCGCATTGTTACACTGCTGTGGCTAAGACTCAGGTAAATAGCTCAGTTGATTGCGACTTCTCAGTTTAAAGAATTGTTTCTAATGCAGGATCGATCCAGAGATATTTCGAGCTAGCTCTTGACAGTTACGTAGAAATCAGAACGGTAGATGGCGCTAAGTTCCTCACGGGCGCCAAGGATGCCGGCGCACACGTCGTCCGTAATGCTCGGCACTGCCATTTCTGCGTGTCGGAGATGGCTCTCCTGACACTGTAGAGAAGATTCCCTTCGCAATCCCATTATTCAGAGACGGAATGCACTAGCATTGACAGACTCGGAGCTGCCTTATACAGGTCTGATAAGCTATAATCTCCATCAAGGAGACACCGGGAGGTCTGTTCTACGGTGATGATCAGCTATCGCTCACTGGAGATATAAATTCACACCGTATCATGTATTGCAGCACCTTCCCGTTCGTTTCTCGAAACATGTCAGGGACGCGTGACTTTGCAGTTTCGCTTGGTGATCGCCTCTTATATTGTATAAAAGACTATCGGACAGTCTAAGCCCTGCCAGGCTCCGAGCACTGCCCTCCCACTTCAGCCAAAATGGGATTCAAAAAAGGGATATACCGCATACAAAACGAGATGTCCAAGGAATACGTCACGTTGGCGAAAGCCAAAGACGAAGAAGGCACGCGTCTCGCTACAACGAACAAGGATCCTGAAACAGATCCATATACAAAGGTACGGCCCACCCATTCACAGCACCATGATATGTCCACTGATTTTCCGTGGCGCAGTGGATTCTGACCCCGATCGAGGTCGTTGGCCGAGAGGATTACTACGCAATTCGAACCGGCGCTGAAGGATGCTACGTTGGACTGCCGCTCCAAACGTCCATTCATAATGAGTTGAATCATGAGAAGCCTAGCCCTGTTATCATGGATTTCAATCCCGGTCCATATGACGTTGCCTTGACGAGCAAGGCTACGCACGTGTTCCACATCTCGCAGCATGGTGGTGTGTACCTGTAAGCCCACAATTATTGCCATCGTTTCAACGATCTTCTCTCAAATAACCTACACATTTAGGATCAGCGCGCATGACACGGGAGGCGCACATTTGGGCTTGGGAAAGAAAGGTGACGGAGGCCACGCCGTGAGTATATGCTGCTGGAAGACATGCAGGGCGTGCAACTGACTACAGAGTCACCAGCTGGCCGTGAACGATGACACCGCCCACCATGAGAATCATTGGAACATCAGAAAGGTCTGAAGCCTTCATCAGTAGCGAACTCATGTATAGCCTGCAATCCGATCGTGAAGGAGCATGCCAATTGTTCCGAGCGTAGCCTCGAAAAGATACCAGCCGTTCCGCTATACCATTCGCGTTCAGTGATGAATGCCGGAGGCGGCTGAAAAAAGGAACGACAAAAGATATCGACAGTCGACAAATGATTGAATTCCCGTCCACTGGGATGGCTGCAATCAGGCGGTAAGCAAAGGTGACTCACCTCAGAGGCAGAGACTCCTACAAGCATAGCGCGCAGATAAGGCTGACAGGCGGCGGCATGCGAAGTGATGTTTTGGGCGGCATGTGGTAGTTGAGACACCCGATGACCCATCCGCCACCCGTGAACCGGGCGCAGTTTCATGGCTGCGATAATCGTACAGATGTCATGCATCAACGAGCTGACAAGGATTGAAGAGCGTTCAGCTTTCGTGGTGCGCTCTGAATAGTCTTGCGGATGTAAGTCGTCTTTTTTTACATGAAGATAGAAGGTTTGTGCGGGAATGTGCACCAGATAGGCATTGGGTAAATGTTTAGACCAAGTGTTGTACGGATGGACTTGCCAGGAGCCCTGTCAGCACTAACTGGTTCCAGAATGTTTGTGAGAATGACTTGCGCATTTGGTGGCCACTCGCAGCGCCGCGTTGGAGCACTTGTTCAAGACGTCAAGCTGAATTGGAATTATCCTAAATGTATCCGAAGATGTCGATAGCGTAGTAGTGCGTTAGTGGGTATTATTACGAGATGAGGCAGAGGAGGACGCAGCCCCGGGAACCGTCGTCGTACTGCTAGGCTGAGCTCTGCATTCGGTTGATGCTCGGTAGCTTGAATCTGGTTCTCGGTATTCTGACGACCGACTCCGAACATGCTGAGTCTCTCGAGCGTGAGGCGGCGATGTAAGACGAATTTGGCACATCTACAATGCCAGTCGATGCTACAAAAGTATGAGAGTAGTGCGGATGTCAAAGGGTCTGCGACTGTCGTGTACGTTACTGATAATGTGAGCTCTTACAGCATTGGTCTACCAGGAGCACCATAAACTGCGTGGCGCGCAGCGGGGGAGTAATGCATAGCAATCTGTGGCCGAACCATCAAGAATGAGCACTGCATGAGGGCCTCAGCCTGGTACAAACGGCAGTAGGAGTGCTCACTCCTGAGAACTCTAGGTCCTATCCGGACTACCTGCTTGCAATCTATTCAATCCCACCTCTGGATCTGATAAGCTACAATCTACATCAAGGAGACGCCGGAAGGTCCGTTCTGTGGTCAGCTATCGCTCAGTGGAGATAAAAATTCACACCGTATCATCTATTGCAAAAGCCTCCCTCGAAACATGCCGGGAACGCGTGACTCTGCACTTCTGTTTGATGATCGCTCATCTCCTGTATAAAAGACTATCGCGCAGCCTAAGCCCTTCCAGGCTCCAAGCACTGCCCTGACCCTTCAGCTAGAATGGGATTCGAAAAGGGGACGTACCGCATACAAAACGAGAAGAGCAAGGAATATGTCACATTGGCGGAAAATAAAAACGAAGAAGGCACGCGCCTGGCTACAACGAACAACGTTACCGACGAAAACACAAAGGTACAGCCCACCCATTCGGAGCATGATACGTCCACTGAACTTCGTGGTGCAGTGGATTCTGAAACCGACCAACGTCGATCACCGGCCGGATTACTACGCAATTCAAACGGGGGCTGGAAAGTGTCACGCCGGGCTGCTGCTTCAATTTTCCGTTGATAAGATGTCGGACCGTAAGAAGGGCGGCCCTGTTACGATGGATTACAATCCCGGTCCATATGATGTTGCCTTGACGAGCAAGGCCACGCACGTATTTCACATCTCGCAGCGTGGCAGTGTGTACTTGTAAGTCCACAATCAATGCATTCGACAGCTTCTTCAAATATAACCCACATATTTAGGATCAGCGCATTTGGGTCGGGCCCACACTGGGGCTTGGGAAAGGAGCTCGCTGAGAAAACAGGCCACGCCGTGAGCGTATGCTGCCGGAAGATATGCAGGGTATGCAACTGACTGCATAGTCACCAGGTGGCCATGAACGAAGACACCACCAATGACGAGAATCATTGGAAGATCGAAAAGGTGGATGTTGTGAGTCAGTTGCGGGATGCGATTGAGCACGTGGTGCTGTGATGAAACGCGTCAGAGGCGGTATCTGGAGACGGAATGGGTCGAAGATGCACGGGGAACAGGCGTAGAAGGTGGTGTAAAATACATACCTAGGTAGACATTTCCCCAGCTGTTTACAACACTCATACGCGCTCTGACGAGGTCACTGGGAAAACTGGAAGGGTGCGGACTGCTAACACGGTGTCCGGCCCAGTAAATTCCAAGAGTGAATCCTCCATCCAGATGTGTAGCCTGTAGTCCGGTCGCGAAGGAGCATGGCAATTGTTCCCAGTCATAGACTTGGGAAGATCCCAGCCGTTTCGCTGTATTATCATCTATTATTCACATTCAAGTTCAGTGATGGAAGTCGCAGACGGCTGAGAAAGAATGAAAAAAGATATCGACAGTTAACAGATGATTGGATCCCGGCCACCGTGGATGGCTGCGATCAAGCCGTAAGCAAAGATGGCTCACCTCAGAGACACGAGTCATCGTTTCCATCTACTGCACGATCAGTGAGAAAATAATTAGGACCGAGCTTTGTACACGTGGTCTTTCCACGCACGCTTTCGGCCCCAGCATTTAGGCCCTGTTGGGTAGCAGCGCTTGGCCTCCGCTTACACAAGGAAAATGCAAGCGTCCGCTTGAGCCGTCCGCTTTGAGGTCCGCTTGAGTCCGGATGTCCTTCCGAGGTTCTCACGCCACATTGTCGCGGGCATCCCACAACTAGCGACTCAACGCCTCTCGCGCGTCAGCGCCGCGCTCATCAGCTAAGTTTTGGATTCGGTCGGTGGACGGCGATGCTTTAGTAGCCTGCAATCACAGCCTGATACTCCGGACCCCAAGTGACCTACTCCAAACATTTCGAGCCTCTCGATCGTGAGTGGCGGTGGCAGAAGAAACTGTCACAGCTGAAATGCCAATCAGTGCTACATAAGTATACGTACGACTGGAGCGGGTGTGAAAGGGTCCGTGATGTCGAGAGACGAAGCGGCAGCGAACGGAAAACGGTATCAATTGGTGATGTACGACAGGATAGGACCCTCCAAAACCCACCGTCCACCCTTAGTTCGGGAGCCTCGCTGAGGAACGATGCCCAAGCCGTATTGGTCGATCATCGCCGGTACGATATCCTCCTGGATCATTTCCGAGTCAGAGGCAACAGGTACGGCGCTGCACACGCGCTCAATACCTTTTTGAGCATGAGCCCTGTTGAAAACATCTTTATGAGGTAGCTAGCTGCTGTCTGAGCGGCAGCGTACGCGACCTGCACAGATGCCTGGAAATTGGTACCTCTCATGTAAGTATTGTGATTGTTCGGTGCGTACGTCCGCGCTATCCTGTGCGAGCAGGCCGACGCATTCAGTCGCAATAAATATTGACATCAAAGGTGTACGCGCGAAACACACCCGTATGATCTCCAAATGATATGCTCTCAAACATGGCTTGTTCGACCGTCTCGGACGAGTTCTCCGTGGTGCATTGTCATCGAGCAGCAAAGGCGTTGTGGGTCCTTCCTTCCTAGCAGCAGATACAGTCGTGAGTAAATCATCAATTATCACGACACGCCGGTGGTGGACGAAACGAACCAACTTCTTTCCCTAAATATGCAGCTTGACTTCCTCGAAGGCTACGATATCTTGCCCGACTGCGATGTTTGCATTGTGTGTTACATCAATGAGCAGCCTCTGCGGTTGCCTTTCACCGGACTTCTGCAAGAACCACTTGCGAGACATCACGTATAGCGAGATTGTACCTCGTCTCTGCTTCTCCTGGGCAAACCTGGAGCAGCCTGCTCCAAGACATCTTCACATCGACCAGTGCTGTACATCCGCGGCCCATTCTCCTGAGCGGTGAGCAGTCATCCATCCGATTTCAGTGTCTCTCCCATCGCGAGAACGACTCGTCCTCGCAGGTCAGACAACTTCTCGACTCTGAGGCGCATGGACCGCAATCTCCGCGAAGCAGACGGAGAATGTGTCAGCTTTGAATGTGTTCGCCAAGTGTGTAATTTAGGCGCGCCACGCCGGAACATTCGGAACATTTTCCAGTGAGTGCACGTCATCCAAAAACAGCGTGGTAGATTCCGTCTGCCTCCCACTTGATGCGAATGTCCGCAATGACGCATGAGCTGTTGGCAAAGTTCATATGCTTTAACGGACTCTCGTTTGCTGGTTGAGATGTCAACCTGTCTTCTCTCGAAGTCCTGTGTGGCAGAGATGTTTCCCGTGCCTGTATCATTCACAGACAGCCTAGTTCGTGGCGCATCAGGATACGACCACACAGATCAAACAGGCATATACGGATACTTACGGTGTGATCACCTCCTTTGCCCTGCTTTTCCTCGTGAGACTCTGCAGCTGCGTTATCGAAGACGTTTCTTCGTCGATCAGTGATATACGCGTACACACCCTCGCGCCCTTCGCAGTGAGTCCTTCTGCGATCATTCACCCGACTTGCGCGCCACTTGCTGCGACGACAGCGGTCGACCTTGGCCGTTGAACTGCTCGCCGAACCGCATGGACTGCCACATGCTGATCTTAAGCCATGTCTGACCGAACGTGCTAGCCATGATAATACTGACTGATCTCATCGACGCGCTAAAGCGTCTTGACGTTGACCGAGCGTAGCAACGCCCTCGTCACATGGCTATGTAGCCTATTGAGAATGTGAGCTCTTGTAGGGTCGGTCTGCCATGAGCACCGATCTTCCATAAAATGTCACGATGATGTCCCGTGGATGTGGTGTATGAGGATTGATGGACACCTTGCACGCGGGTCGAGAACGAGTCAGGGACCGTCGGAGAACAGCAATTACCGGTGTATAGAGGAGGTATGAATTGTGGCGTTGGTCAGATTTTCCATGCCAGCTGTCAAGTGTGGAATTTATTAGGGCTTGAGAGAGCAAGGCCTCTCATCAGTTTGTTCATCACCCCCAAATCGCCTTCTCTTGCTCGTCAGAAGAAGCAATGACTGAACAAATCGCCTCTGCGCTTGAGAATCCATCCGAGCTGGCTGCGGCACAACAATGCTATATGATTGTGACGCCTTCCGTCTTGAACTCCAACGGCGTCAGGGACCACGTAAGTCCAATATTTTGAATAACAAGCCCTACCGATGACGGAATTCACCATATCTCCACCAGGACGGCAACCACATTAAGTGGTTCTTGAAGTTCGGTGACGGCAACGGAGAGACGCCCACCGGCCGTTATGTCACCCATAATCCTGATTATGAGTGAGTGCATAGATACACATGCCTGGCGTATGCTCACAGGACCTTTGCCCTTCTAGAATCCAATCAAACCGCACAGGTCGCGCGGGCACCTTCCTACGACAGCAGGTCCTCGAGAACCGCGGATTTGCAATGATCGTTCCGGACGGTTTTCGTAAGTGTCGTCCTTCGTATGTGTCATCGATGAGCACTGATGGGAGCAACCGACACTCGCACCATACAGGTAGCGAGTGGTATGTTCTATGGGAAAGACCGGACCAAAGGCCACCGATTACCCTCAGCAATATTTTGACGAGCGCCATTGACGCATTCGCCAACTACAACCTCGGTACACAGGCGGGGCGCAACGCCGCGGCGACGGATTTGGTCAACCGCATCCCGCGGATCTGCAATAGTGCTCCTCCCTAAGCAGACAAGGCTCGTTCGTCACCATTAGTAGCTCCCGATGTGATATTTTCCACACTCGATAAGGTTGAGATTAGCTCGTTTGTAGCAAATATGAGGCACAGAACACATACGAATCGTGCATGACCATTAGCAGTTGCAGTCACTATCACGTCATTTGGGGTTGTCGAGTCAACATGCTTAAACGTGATAGATTTGATAGTCTCAGTGATATCGCTCGTGCGTCACGGTGCGTGATCATGCGCCCGCTCGGGCGCCTCGATGTCGAGTGTGACAGACGCGTATGTCACACGGTCGCAGGCTGCCCTTTGGCTCATTGCCTCCCACATTTTCTGGGGATATACTTCCTATGTTGCATTCCAGTCGTGTTGGTGTGATCGATGGTGAAGATTCTGGAGAGGGCGCCGATGAGACACAAGGTAGACGTGATTCAAACTCGTCGAGATCATGAGCAAGTATCCGAAGGTAAGAGGGTATGCCAACAGTAAAATCATCATTATTCATTAGTGCTACATTGTACTTGTATATGCACGTCGCAGAAAGCGGCTACCACACAGTGAAGAACGGATATGAAGCATTTCGTCACAGCAGAAAAGTACCCGTACCATCGCTCACCCAATAACATTCCAGTACACATGCACCCATCACTGCGTTTTCTTCGTCTCCACCACAGGCGTCTCCTCTCTCCGTCCGCCCTTCGCGCGCTCCTTCTCGTCCGCGTCCCCGTCCTCGCCCATCACCGCGTCATTTTCGTCGGTGTCCGCCTGCTCAGCCCACCAGCGGCCGGCCTGCAGGGTGAGCACGCCCGTGAGGACGACGCTGCAGATGAGGTGAGACGAGGCGAGCTCAAGAATGGCCGTGCGCAGGCTTGCGGGAAAGGGCGGGAGGTCTGCGGGCGGGCTGGATAATATTGGGGAGGAGTGATTTGGGAAGGGGAGGGGGAGCGAGGAGAAGTTGGCAGAGATGTCTGGGTGTGTAGAGTTTTCATTATGCTTTGAAACATGTCACGAGGTGGAGGGATACGTACTGGGTAGTACGGTCTGGATGTATATGTATATGGCCGTGCCATACAAAACTGTAGGATGCCATAAGCATCCCAGCAGTGAAGAGCAGAACGGACCCACGCACAGATGCTGCCTCCATCAAACATCAAATTCCCCGCGCGCCCGTCCCTGAAACTCCAGAGGATCGTCAAGCCGCCTACGAGTGCAACCGCAGGCGAGACGTAGGCCAGCTGCGGCTGCATGCGCGACAACACAGAGTAGTACGCGGCCGCGGTCCAGAGGCGCTGGTCCGTCTGCGTCTCGGGCGACTGCCACAGCGTGAGCGAATCCGCGATCCAATGCGTGAAGAGGATGCCTGCCGTGCCATTGCGTGTCAGCATCCGCTCAGGATTCGCCGAATGGTATATTTATGCGCTGCGCTCGGGGGTGCTGTTCGCACTCGCGAGCGGACGTACCTAGAAGGAACGCAGTCGCGCTCACGACGACGCTCATGCGGAGGCCCGCCATTATGGAGGAGAATGATGGAGGGTGGGAGAGACGTTGGCGGACGGGCGCGTAAGTGGCACGGCAGAGTCAATGTCGTATCTGAGGCTCGTGATAATGGACTGCCTTTTGCGGACCGCCCGCCCCGCTGGGCGATCCTTAATAGTGCTTAAATGTCAGGCGCAGAACAGAGACTACAGGCTGTCTGAATTATATGTGCACGGGCGCGGATATTGTCATAAACCCTCGTCGTCGTGTCGAGTGATTGAGAAGACGCGTCGCTTAGCCGAGGAGACAATTTCGCGACGAGCGCCCTGAGGCCGCCATCAAATTGCCACGCGAGACGCACGTGAAGAAAAATCCCCGGTGGCGGAAGGTACGCGCTGCGTCTGAGAGGCTTTTACTGACCCGCTCGTACGCTTTTCACCTTCTACCGTCTGTCACTCGCTTCATCCATCAGACATGCAAGCATTTAGAACGTGCTCACGGCGTTGTCAACGCCAGCTCATCTTCGATCTCTCCCGGCGTGCATTCTCCTTCTCAGCAACGTCCTCCCAATCCACCAGCAGCTCCTCTTCTCTCCCCTCCCCTGCCCAACCCCTCCCCTGGTTCGTCGACCCATCCGAGCTCGCTCCACGCCCAACACCAAAGCGCCCCACCATCCCCATCGCTCCCCTCCCTGTATCCATCCAGCGCGACAGCCCGATCGCCGCACTGCACGCCGCGCTGAGCACCTCGCCGCACCTCGAGCCGGGCAGCCTTGTTGTACGGGAGCCAATTCCGACTGCGGACGGTCCGCCGCTGCCAGATACTCCTGTAAAGGGGCGGCGGAAGCGCGGACGGACGTACGCCGGCGAGGGAGTGGCAGAGTTTAATGGAGGAATATGGAGCTGGATCATCATCGCACAGGTGCGTTCCGCACGCTTATCACCTCCGCTACCTCGCTAGATGTGCATATTTATTAGGTGAAAGAGGGCACGGAGGACAGAGGCGCCATCGAATCTGTCATCCGGACAGTGCGTAAGACAGTACGCCCAGATCTCTCCACGTCTCTTTCTCCTTGTCTCATTCATCGTTCTACCAGCTCTTAGTCACACAGCCGCCGCTTCCACTTCCTCCAAATCCCAAGCGTCGCATGCACAACGGATGGGCGTTGATCGATGCCGGTGACTTTGCGATACATGTGGTCAGTAAGGAAATACGTGAGCAATACTTCCCGGAAAGGCGGGAGTGGTAAACCCCCATCTCCTTCCCTCAGCTGAAAATTGTACGAATATACCATGTTCAATTGCTGTTCGAACGATGCAACTTGGGCGTATAAGCGAGATACATCTGTAAAGGCAGAACGGACGCAGGCAGTGTTGGATGCATCCTGTCTCACTAACGAGATTTTCATCAGAGTTTGATTGCCCCTCAATCAGAGCAAGGACTTTTACATATCAATCAAAGTTCGTCTTTAAATTGCGATGTATCGTTGCAGCAGTCATGCAGGTTTTACCACGTCGTCTATTGCTTGCCCCAGACCTGCTCCTTGCCCGCCTGCTTTGTCGCCTCGTCGCCCACCACATGTCCATAGGCCATCTTCGTAGTACCAGCAGCGACGGTCGCCGCACTCGCCGCATACGACGACGTGGTATCCACAGCGTCTGACGCTGTGGAGCTCCAGCCGCCTGCGTCGGCACCTGTGCCAGAGGCATTCGCCCAGCCGTCGTCTTCTCCGACACCAGTCAGCAGTCAAAAATGCGGGCTCAGCATAATCATGACGAGATATGCACCTTTGTTAGAGTTCTCGTTCAGCGGATCGATGTTCGCCGACTCGATAATGCCAGGGCGGCCCTCAACGACACCGGCGGTCTTGCTGAAGTTCCGCCTGGCCTCGCGCCCGCCGCTGAAGCCAGGGCCCTCGCCAGCACCAGTGGCATCTGTCGTCGTTCAGTCACCTAGATCACAACCGTGTTAGCGACTGAAGTGCACCGTCTCCAAGCGGACTACTAACAAAGTTGGACGCGAGAGGGTCTGAGTGCGTCGAGGACGCGGTTGGGTTGGCCACACCGGGGTAGAGGTCAATGCCCTTGTTCCCGCCTAGGGCCATGTCCTTGTCATTGAGAGCCATGACGTGGTCGTGAACAGGTTTAGCTTGGTGGTAGTAGGTAGTAGCAAGCTTAGGGACTTAGTGGGTCGTGAATTGATGTACTGTTGGACTGGTGAACTCGATGGTTTATATGATGGGGTGAGGGATGATGTAATCACCAAACCAGTCGCATGGCCATGGCATGGAGACGTTCGGAGAGTGCAGATTTCTGACGTCACTTGCCTAATGGGGCATCTCAGCTGCCTTTCTGAGCAAGTCGGTGGCCTTAGTGTCACATGTACACTCGCAAGTTAACAGACGTTAACCCGATATTTGTTGCTTAAGTGATTCTTTTTTGCTACCAAATCCAAAAGTTTAAGAAAGAAATGTAAGGATGCGACACGCTGGACATTCCCTACGCCAGTACTAGCAGGTAAATATCACTACCTAATAACCAACTACGTATGATACACCCAGCAAAATTCATATTAGATCAGCCACAATCCAACAAACGTCAGTGTGCCGCATCTGAGGGCTCTACCACATAACTTCAGTCTGACTACGTTGAATAAGGTCTGGCTCTTCAGGTTCCTGCTTAGTCTGCTGTCCATCCGGGAGCTCTCCATTAACAGTGTTGGACTGATGAATATTCTGTGGCTGGGAGCTTTCGACAGGCTTCGCTGGGCCTGTACTCTTGACCTGTGCTATCAATTTCTTGAACTGCGGGTCTTGCTGCCTCTGCAGGACAAGAACTCAGTCCGCTCACTCATACGCATCGGAATGTCAAGTCTCCTTACCTCATACTGCTTTGTGTCTACAATGTTATTATTTGACGGCTTGTGTTCCTCTTCCCATCTTTTCATGTCTTGTCTGAGCTGCCCGATCGACCTGCGCTCCTCACGCTTGCAATCGATATTCGCGTTGTACAACATCACCCATCTAGCGGTCGGAAGCCACATGGCGAGGAGCTGCAGCGAGTGGTAGCAGGAGCATAATAGAAGAAAGACGCACTGCTTATGCCTACTAACGAGCACATTCCGTTCGTCATGCGTCGAAAGGCCATGCTCCTGGAGTAGCTCCTTCAGCCGTGACAGCTTGATAATGTCATAGGGTTCCTTTGGGAGGTATTCAGGATCCGGCGTCATCGACCCTGCTCTGCAGTCAGAACACATCTCGCAACGGTCAGCATGTACATTGGTACAATTATAGTTGTCGCACGCACCGCTCCCTTTCCTTTCCTTTTTCCTTCGCCTTCCGCGCCACACCACTGCCCTGGCCAACACTGTTTCCCCCGTCTAACAGCTTCGACCACTCCCTCTTCTGCTTACCCTTCGGCCCTGGTTGTGTCGAGGCTGCAGCGGAGCTCGAAGCTCCAGGTCCGATGAACCGCTGACAACCACTGTCAATGTGCGGATTGATGCATTCCAACGGAACTTGTTTCTGGCAGAGAGGACAATTCACAAGGCCTGTTGACATGATGAATATGAAGGAATATCGATCTGCATTCGCTAAAGGCGTACCATTTGTTCCATCAGCAGAAGAGGGAGCTCCGGGACTGCTGGAATTACTACTACCGGAAGGCCGTCTACCATGCCCGTTCCGTGGCCTGACTAGCATTCAAAGTCAATAATTGTCCATCGCCATATATGCTTTTTGTCCACCCACCCTTGACCTTACTCGGGATACTGGGCTGTTTCAAGGGACTGCTGACAAACTGCACTTCGTCGTCCGAGCCCTCAGTGTCCACTCTCTGCCGTTTCTGCGGTGGTCCCTCTGCGACGCCGTCCGTACCACTGGCCGCGGGCTCATCAAGTCTGATGAGAAGCTCCTGGTTGCGCTTCAACAGATCCAGGATGCACTCTCTGAATAGGGGGGAACTGATGACTAGTGTCACACAAACGCGGGATAAGCCACACCCACCCACCTCGCAGCCGACTTCCATATACTCACGACGCTCTCAAGCTCGACGTTTTTCTTCATCCTCATCTCATTCGCAGGAGCCCTACATTTCGGACACTCCTGCCTGTCGGAAAATGCGCGTCTGAGGCACTGAGGGACGGCTTTCAATCAGAACCACCCTAAGGAATCACCTCCTGAGCCGGGCGTACATAAGAGCAGAACGAATGCCCGCATTCCAATATCATGGGTCCGCTATAGAACTCCCGGCAGACGTCGCACACGAGTGCCTCGTCCAGCTCGCGCAGGCCGGGCGCAACGTCTGCAGAGGGAAAGTCGGTAGGATCTGGAACGTTCTCCAGCAACACCTGCAGCTCCGTCTTCGCCATATTATATCAGAGGCCAAGACACACAGGAAAAGCAGTCCGCAGGATAGATAAGAAAGAGAGAAATATTGTGTCGAAAGGGGTGGCAGAGAGAGCATTAATCATGTTCGCTGAATTGCACTGAGCGGTCGCGTCGCGTGACAGAGCGTGACGGATCGCGTCTCATTTCGCACGTGATGATTGTCATCCGCGTCCGGGGCGCTTAACGTTCGAGACTCGGATCACCATACCTCTCCTTCATCATCATCTTCTTTGGCAATATCGTTCTCTCGTCTCTGATATATCTCGTTCATCCATGGCAATGATCTCTCGCACACTCACTGACTCTGTCCTCATTACCACAACACCGAACCGCACATCCCGGCTCTGGCTCACAAGCTTCATGATTATGTTGTGGCTGACAACACTCCTCCTCCCTCCCATCACGGAGCCACCACTCAAAATAGCGAACACGCAACCTCAGCAAAGCATACACGGGCGGTGGACACTACTGGAGGAAATTATACCGCAAGGCTTCCAGCGTCCCCCGAACACCGATGACGTAGTGGACTCTTCATACCTGTCTGAGCATTGGCCTTTTGCGGAAGAGAACATTTCACAATTGCGCCTTGACGGCCCTCGCCGGGATTCACCTCATAGACCATCACCTTCGGCAAGCTCTCAACAGATCCTCCATCTCACACGCGATGCGATGGAAGATGACGCTGCAGCACGCGGTGTGTCGGCCTCCTTCGAAGAAGTGGTCGCTTCGTTCCGCGCCGTTGCCGTTGTGGGGAAGCAGCAGGAGCAGCGGATTGCTGCAGCCAAACAAGGGAGGAAAGGAAAGAAATATAGGTCATAGGCCGGACAGTCTCGGCTTGCTCATGTCTCCGAATTGCATAGAAATTTGCACACGCATTCGATATATATCGATGCGTCACGTCTGTATCTGCCATAAGCCATTTAAAGAGCTAGACGACCACGATGCTGGGCATCAGACATCCATGGGCACGGGCTTGAGCACCTGCAGACGCTGCATCGACTCCCGTAACTCCGCCTCTGAAAAAACCGCAGCCTCCTTCGCCACCGACAGCTTCTTCTCCAACTCGTCCGCCGTCATCATCCTCCACACTCCGTTCTCATTGACCTTGCCTAGCTGATCAAAGCGCGCCAGACTGTTGCCAACACGAGGGAGAAAACCGTGCATGTCCCATCCGTTGTCGTTGAAAGAAAGCACCGCGCGCACGGCAGCGGTGTTGATGTCTCGATGGAGCTCCTCCAGCTTCGAAAGCTGCACCTCCATCCACCGCGCTCGGCGTTCGAGAGCGAGAGTAAGCGCAGCGACCTCGTCTTCCTTCGCGTGCCCGTTTTGGTCTTCGCCTCCGTCGTCCGAGAAGTCGTCGCCCTTGAGCATGTCACGAAGCACGCCATCGAACGAAGAGTTATCATCCCATGTCTTGCGAGGGAGCAAACGAAGAAGGTCCGAGATTGTTTGCGTCAATGTCTCCAACAGCTGCTGGAAAGACGAAACCGCGTGGTCGATCGAACCAGACGGCATGTTGTTCGCGAACGATCCGCCACCGACTGAGAGCGCGGACAGGGCGTGCACAAGCGGGCCATATTCCAGAGGCATCTTCGACGTCGGATTGATCTTCTGCAGATCAAAAAACGGGTGCTTCGAGGCATTCAGGTAGGGAAATTCCGCGTCGAGGTCTTGCAAGAGTTTCTGCAGACGGGTGTGCTGGTTCGCTATCAGCCGATCAACTGAATGGGCGCGTGAGTTGTTCGAGCTGCTCTCGATGCCTCGCATCTCCAACGAAGGAGCGGCCTCAGAAGTGGCAGCAGAGGGAAGAGCTGACGCAGTGTCCGCGCTCGAATGCTCTTTCGGGATTCTGAGTGGTTTCGCGACGGGCTTGTTCTTCTTAGTCATCCTAGCCAGGATGGGCTCATGCGTTACAGGCTCTGAAATAAGGATCGGAGAGGATGCACGTTTCGAGGGCCGTCGAGGCGTCCTCTCGGAGCTTTGACCCTGCTTCAACGACTTCTCATCGTTGTCATTTGACGCCTTCAACGTAGCTGTCTTTTTTGCTTGAACAGCTCGCTCCTTCTCGGCCCTCTCTTTCTCAAATCGCTCCTTCTCCTTTTCCGCCTTCTCCTTCTCTGCCCGTTCCATCTCTGCCTTCTCCTGCGCCGCTTTCTCCTTCTCAACTTTCTCGATTTCTGCTCTCTCCTGCACCAGCCTCTCCTTCTCGGCCTTCTGCGCTGCGGCCTTCTCCTTCTCAGCTGCCTTCTGCGCTGCAATCCTCTCCTTCTCAGCTGCTTTCGCTTCTGCTTTCCCTTGGAGCATACGTTGGCGTTCAGCCGCCTTCGCTGCTTTGCGCTCTGCCTTGACCTGCGCTGCACTGTCCATGCCTGCTAAGCCAGCGTTGGCGCTACTTCCAGATTGCGGCTGTTCACGACGGGCGGCAGGTTCAGCCGCTGACAATGCGGGAAAGTCCGAAGATGACAAGGCGGGGGAGGCGGAAATAGAAGGCTCAAGGGAGGGGGACGTCGAAACTTCAGGACGAAAAGTAAGAGAACCGGCAAGAAAGGGGACAAACTCATGTCAGCATCGAGGCATACACCACACACTCTACCGCGAGGATAGATGTATAGCAGGGCGAAACATGGAGGAAGGAGCCGGCCGTTGCCATGAGGCATTGTCATGAATCAAGGCCGAAATGACAGATTCCGCACTGTAAGTACGGCACTCGGTACGCTGACCTGGGACTCCCTCCCCTGATAGACACAACGAGGTGACTCACCATTCATTGATCCGCTCGTCTTGGACGCTTCCAACGCGGAGGCCGACGCACTTGCAGTCCCGTAGGCATGATGACCGATCGAGCCAGGGATACTTGCCGCAGGGCCATCACCAAAGGACAATCCGGGAGGAGGGCCAAACGCCACCTGCTGCGATGGAATGCTTTCTATCGAAGGCGAATACGAAAATCCACCATCTGGCGTCGCTTGCTGAGAAACCGGAGAAGCCATTCTGGCAGACATGATGGCAGGATCATTGAAGGGCTGATTAGGAGTCGTGTTGTACTGAGATTGATCTGGATATAGAGATGGCCATGGTCCATGTTGTACGATATCATACAAATCCAAGAAGGTACAAAGATGAACAAACGAGGAGTCAACAACATGATGAGCATCACGCAAGTAGAAGAACCCTACCAGACGGTCCGTTCTGCGACTGACAGGCACGCTCTCGACTGGAGCTGATGAGCTCCCACAACTGGGCTTCACTAACACCGGTTTCAAAGGGCTGGAATGGGCCAGAAGGTGGAGGCTGCTGCTGGACGTGAGCGGCTTGCGCGTGCTGAGCCAAGGGTGAACTCATGGCGGAGGTCCTCTGGCTGTACTCGTGGCGGCTCTGGAATGGCCAATGAGGCGCCGTTCCTCTCGCAGGAGACGCCAGTTCAGATGAAGGATAGAAAGACATGTGCGAGGAGTTGTCCACGTTTGTCAAAGGTGAAGCAGGATGCAGCGAAGAGGAAGATGAACCCTGTCGACCACGAGCGAAGCCAAACCGGGAAACTTGACGTTCTTCCTCCAAAGGCGAGTAGCGCCGAGAGGGCGCTTCCTCGATTGCCTCCGCAGCAAACGGGTTGAACGAGCCAGTGTAGCCAGAGCTGCCGGTGGACTGCCTCTCGAGGGGTTGCCGCAGTGTAAGATCAAACGTTGAGCGAGGAGGATGGGACAGACCAGGCGGCGGCATGAGAGGGCTTGCAGGTGCGCCATGTCTGAGGGCCGGGAACGGATCCAAGAACGTACCATTGAAAGGCGTATGAGGGCCCGCCTCCAGCTCCGGTAGGGGGAGTGTCGCATCCACGTTCTCACCTGCCAGAGCCGGATCCAGATTGAAGCTGAAACCACCATACGAACCATCGTCTCCGCTAAGTGTCTGCAGCATACGATCGAAATCGGGGAACGGACTCCGTTCAGTAGAAGAGGCGGGCATCTCGCGTCGCGCTTTGATGTCCTCCATTAGCGCCTGTGCTTGCGTGGACATCTGATACGATGAGGATGGTACAGGTTGCATAGAAATCAGGGCCGGTGATGATACAGCCGATGTGGTGCGGGACGGTGCAGGGAGGCCTGGAGGTGGCGGCAATCCAGGAGGGACGACGGGGATACCTAGTGATACAGAGGGCAACTTCGCGACAGGTTGACGAGCGGGCATCGGAGAAGCAGGCACGTCCCGTCCGGTTGATACACGATCAGACACCACTGCAGTAGAGACTGTAGGTGAGCGAGTAGGCTGCTGCTGCTGTACAGACTCCTTTGGCTTCGTTGCCCTGGCAGCGCTGGGGGTGGCAGGTCGGTTGATAGCTGGCGTAGCAGGGCGAGACGACGACGACACCGACGGTGCCTTGCCCGCAGTCGCAGCAGCTTTGCGATCTCTTCCTAACGTACGGCTTTCCATTGCGCCAGTTGTTGTTGATCCTGACCGTTGTTGTCTGGTGCTCGTAGCGCCGCGTCTTGTCTGACGTGTCACACTCTGCGACATATTTGTATGATTGTGCAGTGCATTGGAAGCAATATGGGTCGAGCTTTTATTACCCCAGGAAGCTCCGCGAGGCAAGCCAGCTGTTGTTGACAGTTAGAATCCATGCAAAATGATGTTATGGGAATAACTCACCATCGGCCTCATCAACTTTCCGCATGACTGTCGTAGTCCGTAGCCTGTTCTCTGTGTCCTTCATTGTATGTTTGCTGCGAAAAATCTATAAATGCATGTTCACCGAATGCAGCAGAAATACTAACAGCGTGGTCAAGTCCTCCTTTGTGAAGCAATCTTTTTCATCACCCCACTCATGAAGATTCATACAGCCATGGTCGGGACACGAGGCACCACGCAAGAAGGCCATGCAGTACTTCGTTGTACCATAGCTGGCCCTCATAATCTCGTTCCCGCCACCAGGCGATGGCGCACCATCAACGGCGGCAATCGCACGAGCAGCATCTTCACGCCGATGATACGTGATATAGAGCCCGACGACAGGAGCACGGCCACCGGGCGAAGTACGCTTGACGATGACGATCTTGGATATCTTCCCATACTGGCCAAAATATTCGCTTGAGCGCAGAGTGGGGATCAACTACAGCGGACGTCAGTTCTAGCTTAGGATCAACTTTGATCAGGTCACGCACCTCTTCCTTAGCATAACGAGGTCCCATTCCCACCACGTACACCACGTTGCGCTGCACGACCCGGACATTTGCCAGATGACGCCTGCCCAGAGCATCAAGCTCTTTACGTTCACGCTCTCTCTGCTTTTTCTGTTGCGTCAAGCGCTTGTGGCTGATTGATGCATGGTATATGCGCGTTAGTTGTGCTTATGTGAAGGAAACGAGTAGGAAACAAGGACAATAAACTCACTCTTCCTTATTGATGGGCTTGAATTGGACGGCCTCATCGGTATACACTCGCCTGCAAGCTGGGCACCGTCCATTGAGGTTCTCCTTGATGTGGTGCCAGCAGAAACGACAGATCTAAGAAGCAATGAGTATGCTGAGCGCCTCGACACCGAGAACCGGGTAGTCTCACCTGGTACCCACAAGGGCACGGCTTGAAGTTGAGGTCCGAGATGTCCATCTCTTCGAGACAGAGTGGACATTCCGCATCATCCTGATGACGAGACCACGTATCATGTAAGTCTGAAGAGCGGCCTACTTATGAAGCTGGCACGTACAGCCTCGTCATCGCTCCAGTACGCGTCCTGAACACCAGCGAGGACATGCGACTTGGATTGAGTAGAAGGATTAGCAGCGTGTAGGGCAGGCGCTGGCAGTGGCGAGTGCGGGTGTACACGAGAAGACATTGCGAATAGAATTATACGTGAATGCGATGTTCGGCGCTGTCAGAAGATGCAGACAGAGGGGAGTGGGTATGCGGTTGAGGAATGGCGACAATGAGCTGCCAGTGCATGCTTTTGCTGTGGCAGCAGCCAAACATGACCAAGCAAGCACGACAACAAGCGCTCGCCGGATGGTTCGGCCTCGTGGCTGACGACCGCAACCACACTCAGTTCCAGACAAGACCATTCCGTCTCGATTGACGACAAGACAAGATCAGTATTCTCGACTCTACATTGCACTCAGTTTTATCTACGTCATTGGGGGCTCTAATGGAAAGCACCATCAAACTGGTTCATCGTCCCAGGTCTACGAACAGGATCCGGAACAAGTGGTCGTATCACTTCATTTTAGATCTGACACTGTCACATTTGCCACTGGTGGTCCAAGTGCGGTGAGGGCACGTATTTATCAGCAGACCCCTCTGGGTGGACGATCATGGACTTCTCCGAACCGTTGGACAATTCAGGCAGTCTCATCAACTTCAACGAGCCGGCCTGTAGTCGACGGAGGATTCCCGTGACTATGCGCCTGAGAGTCAGGTCAAATGTCGGCGAGTCGCAATTTAACTTACCACCATGTTGCTTGCGATAGTCTGCGAATGATCATGCGGCCATTTGCATGTCAATGATTAGAGTCGGGTCGGCATACTGTCCGGTGACTCCGGCTCCACTGCATTTAGAAAGCGAGTCGATAGCAAGGTAGGAAAGATGTCCGTGTACAAAGCTAGAGGTCAAAATCATCATCGATGCTCCCTTTCCTTCGTTGGAACTAGAAGGTATTAAGTAATTGACGGTGCTGCAAAGGAAGGGATTCCGAGTACGCACTACGATGGTACCCTTCTTGGGTGCTGATTTGGATTGCGCGTCATCTGCCTGTTGAGACAACTCGTGCCAAAAGACATAACTCTTCAAACAACTGTTTGGCGTACCTGCTCAAGCAACTCAATCAATTGTTCCTCCGTAACTCGCCCGCGCAATTGCCCAGTCTGAGCCATTCGCAAGAGAATCGCCTCGATCTGTTGAGATCTCTGAGGACTGACCAACGCTATCCGCGCCACTTATAGAGGCACGAGAAAGACTGACATGAGCCGCTAGCAAAGACAGGATTGTGAGAACTGCATACGTCGTTCCCTTGCAGCGTGGTCCAAGACAGTGGCCAATAAGTCTCTACGCATCTGCTCCTCGGCTGCCCGCTTGCTTTCCTCTTCCCCGCCCTCGCTCCCTCCCCCTTGAGCTGCGTTCTGCTTCAGCTGGCTCATTCTAGCAGCTCGGATAGCAGCAAGCTCGGGGTCTTCCATAGTTGAACGTGAAAAGGTCTGCAGATGCAAGTCCAAGTCAAGTAGATGATCAAGACGTGGACCGCTGTTTTGGGAAGACGCGCTCAATGTGTGGCGACCACGTGATGAACGCGTGGACGCGCTAGGCAGTGTGGCCGCCACTACGTCTCACAGGTGGGCCATGATCATGCCGCGTAGGCGGCGTCGGTTACCAGTGGCCTCTGCGGGCTTTGACATCCCCGAAATATAAATGAGTCCTCCAGTCCTCCTCGCTTTGACTTCCAACGACGTAAAAGTGCTAGCCTCAGTGGCAGCGGAGACTTCGTGGTGGCTTCACCATCGAGTCTCATCCATACGCTTACCTGAACTCTGCATCCTGACTGCCAGATAGCCCCGGTTTTTCCTGCCTCCTCTGGGTCCTCATCAATACCGTCCGACGTTCGCGCGGCACGTGACAAAGTTGCACGAATATGGCGCGTGGGATCAATACGTTTCTGGCCCGTTTGACCCGCGCTCTTGCTCGTCCAGCCATATCCAGAACTCAAGGGAAGCATAGTCGCGCTGTAATTGTCCGGCAGAGTTCTCTTGCAGGCCCGCTGCCGACCGTTGACTCGGAGGCAGCTGCACAGCAGTCGGCTGTGCAGAAGAGGCTCTACCCGAAGCGCTCGAGACAACAGACAGGCATCCTCGTGAAGCGGTACTATAAAAGGTATTGTCCCTGCGCCTCCGCCGGCTTGAGCACAGATACCCATCCGAGGGACCTTGCGTTTTCTGCGATTCCGCGACAGATGCCTTGCATGCCTTCCTTCTTCCACAAGCGACGCAAGCCCGAGACGTCTCCGCCCCAGGTGACAGCGCTGGACGTCGACGAGATCACGCGCAAGCTTGCATCTCTCACCACGAGGGATGAACATGAGGCACACATTGGAAGGCAGAGCGCGTTCGTCGGTGGGTTTCATCCTGAACTGAATGGCGCGTTGCGCCCACCTGCACGCCATGGAATGCCAGGACCTCGCCCTGCGCCGCCGACCCTGGTGTCAATGCCCACTCCCCGGCCAGCGAAGCATCCCATGTCTCGGACAATGCAACACGCAGTGTCTGATTCTCCTGCGCGAGATCACGCGCAAACGAATCACAAAACAAGCCCGCCTCCGCCACTTTTCAAGCCGGTACCGCCTGCGCCTTCTCGCACCAAACCACCTCCCGCTAATGCTGCACAACATCCTACTACGCCGAAACGCCCTCACCAGATTCAGACGCCCGGGTCTGCTCATCCGAAAGAGAAAGCGTCGCGTCCTCCTCCCGTGCAAGCCCAACCTACAGGTCGACCGAGATCACAATCATCTCCTCCGTCGCCTACTGCGTCTCTACCTGTGACATCCGTTACGAGGGAGATACTGCAATGCAGAGGCACGACGAAAGCAGGTGCACGATGCAAGCGCATGCTCCATGTGCCGGCGGCTCACCAAGACGATCCTGAGTTCGAGGTATACTGCCCAGCGCATGTTAGCGACAGGCTAAAGCCTTCTAGTTTCCCAACGAAAGACAACCGTTGGGTTAAGTTCGAAGGTCAGGCACGTCAGATGTTATTTTCTTTATGAGTAACCGACGTCTTGGCAGAATGGATACCAACGTACTTGAATACCCTCACGCAAGCAAACTTACGAGACGTCATGCAACAACCCATCTCCGACGCAGACCGTCCGGGCTATATCTACATGTTCGAGATACGAGGCACGTATTGCTCAAATAACATACTGGCATGGATGGCTAACGTGCGCGTAACCCACAGATCCTGATCAGCCTGGCCTCGTCCTATTCAAAGTCGGACGAGCGGTAGTTCTAAATCGGCGCATCGACCAATGGAGCAAGCAATGTCCATCTAAGGAGCAATATCTCCGCTATTATTACCCTTGGCCCTCTCAGGAAGACCAACAGATGCTCGCGAGGGGCCGTGTGCAGCCCGGCCCGCCGGGAGCGTGGTGTCATCGTCTGGAACGGCTGGTTCACCTCGAACTGACGGACCTGTCCTTAAATGCATTGTACAACGACGCCATATTCCCTGACGTGGAGCCGAAAGCCGAGCCGCCGAAGATGCCCGAGAGGAAGCCGTGTGTTGACTGTGAGTATTCATCTGCTGTGCCTCTTTGCAGTCTGCTGGACGACAATAGGTGGAACGCTGCACCAGGAGATCTTCAGGTTCCCTCTCGCGCAGCACGGCATGTACAAGGGGCGAGAATGGGAGACCCTAGTGAAGCCTGTGATCGACAGGTGGGCTCGGTTTGTGGAGAAGTATTATCCCATGGAGAAGGTTGAATAGATGGATTGGATACCCAGCATATTTTTGACATTTACGCATACATTTCTTGACACTTGCTACTCATGCTCTAGCTCAACTTCACTCACATTCAGGATGATTCAATGTATATATGTATCTATTACGTATTTGTGTGGCCGCTATGTGTAACTCAATATCCGGGCCGGTGTCCACCTCTGGCAGTTTTGCGCGTTTTGTGACGGTGTCGTTGAAGCGGGATTGGGAGATTCAGAGAGCCTATGCCACATGCTATCTGGCTCGAAAACCCGTCCCTGCATATCGAGCCAACAGTACCGACTCGGACCGAGTACCGACCGAGCCATATCGAGAAGGACGATGGCTTGTATACGAGCTTATATGCAGATAAAGATCGTATTATACTCTGAACGCTCCGGACTATATATTCGCGGATCACGCATGACACCCAGCCTCATGACATCAAACTCGAATCCACAAGTAACGACTGGAATACATCTGTGGGTTGAGCAGAGCGAGACTTCAAATCGCACTGCACCGGGAATCTGTTGTAGGTCAGTACATTCAATGGATCATGAATAGATGAAGGATACCTGGGCCACCGTGATGGCTCCGCTTGTATTCTTCAGCTCCGGATGCACTTATAGTAGAGGAACACGAACTTAACCTTACACCTCCATGATGTGCTACAACTGGTGGAGGACAACGAAACTCGCTTTTCGACCAGCCATCTCCCAGCGCCGCTTTTTCAGGACTACCATGTCGTCTCCTAAGCAGCCTACTAATTATCGCATCTCTGTTGGTCATGATGGGAAGGCCAACATGGATCTCACGTTCGTCTCTGAGGCGCTCGACATGCCCGCAGAAAGAGGATACGGCTGGGCACGGTTCGACTTTGGTGACCGCATTGGACCGAACGAACGCTATACGATTATGCGCAAATTGGGCTGGGGAATGCATTCGAGTACATGGTTAGCTCGAGATAGCGTGTACGTCGGTGTTCACCGGTTTTGAGCCGACACCAGCTGATGCTTCGACAGGAAGAATAATTTTGTCGCAATTAAAGCACTTACGGGGTACATGACGAGCCTCATACCTACCGGACAATGTTGGGAGCCAGACGCACTTCGTCTTGTCTCTTCACCGCCACAATCGCCTTATTGCCAGCGTTACATTACCGAATTTACCGTCCCCGGGCGCGTCGCGACTGACGGAGATCACCTATGTATCGTTACACCCGTGTACGGTGGCGACGTCAAGGCATTGGTTTACGCATTATGCCGGGAGAAACCCAGGGCTTTTCCCCTCCGCCTCGCAAAGCGCATCATTCTCCACCTGCTGCGCGGACTCGCACACGCGCACAGCCGCCGGGTCATCCACACCGATTTGAAGCATGACAACATCTTCTTCACGACTGAGATGGGAACCGAGGACATTGAGCGGTGGATTGCTGAGGACCCTCCTCGTCACCACGACCCGGAAGTGTCGCAGGGCACCATTATCCATACGGCAGTGTCCCAGCCGTTGCCTATGATATCCATGGAGGAGGCGCTACGTGCTACATACTTAATCGGTGATTTCGGAATCGGTAAGTAACGTCGTCGTGCGTCTCCCATCACCATTGCTCATATTCGAACCGATGTAGCTGTCCATTCAAAACTACACGCCAACCGCGTTATAACCGTTCCTCCTCTCCGGCCTCCAGAAATGTTCCTTGGCGGAGAGTGGGACAAAAGTGCGGACATCTGGTCGTTTGGGTGTTTGGTTTGTCGTTTGTGTCCGTCGATTTAATTTGCGCCTCATTTATTCACCAGGCCTACGAGCTCATAAATGACCGTGTATTATTCCGCTACCAGGTTAACAAGAAATTCAATCTCCCCGAGACTGAAAACATGTTGTACCAAATGATGTGCTTCACCGGGGAGCCGTTTCGCGCGAAGCAGCTCAACGTCTCTCCGCTCGCGGCAGAATACTTTAACGAGAGATGTATGCGTCTTCCATCCATTCTCTTGACTCGAGTTGACAACCCTTCTCCCCTTCAAGGCGGACTGAAGCTTGATCCGGAGATCATGGACTTATGCATTGAGGCGCAAATGACAGTGTGGAAAGTCGTGCCCGAAAACCTCATAGACGACACTGGCGCATTCCTGCGGAGATGTCTGCATCTTGATCCGGACGAGCGGGCGACGGCGGAGGAGTTGTTGAGCGATCCATGGCTTGTTGACGCGGAATAATATGCCATGCGCAGACTGTGGAGAATACTCCTTTGATAGATAGATAGATAGATAGGTATGTGGATGATTGACGAATTACTGCTCTACTCAGCATTCAGATCCGGCGGATGAACTGACCGCCTTGTCGCGCACATTATCTGGTCAAGACATACCTATCAATTTATTACAGTACAATTCATCAGCTAAACACCCGCGCAAGAAGCAGAGGACTACGAAGACCACAAAGACTGTCCAGTCACTGGGGTCCTTCGCCGGAATCACGGATGAAAACAGCAAGGAGAGGAGACTTGAGAGCCTGCTTTTTGGCACTCCATATGATCCACCTCACAGGGAACAAGCCAACTTTCTGGCAGCGTTCAATGGGGAAGTTGAGGCTGAGGATGCTGGAGAGAATGAGCTACAAAACATGCTGGATTCCCATGTGTGTATGCTCCCTGCGACTATGCAACGGCCAGATTGACGCTTGCATTATAGCTCTTCTTCATCGATCATGCCGCTCCGCATGCAACGGTAGTCAATGTAGCGATGAATGGTGTAGAACTGGCATCCGGCGGAGGCTCTGTGAATGGTTCGGATGCGGAAGATACGCATCAAGACGAGAGTCGTGGGGAGGACGCTGCTTCGGCAGATGAGGATCGTTCGACACTCACGCAAGAGACCCCCTCCTTTGCATTGAAGTCTTCAACAAGAAGAGGGCCCGTATGGACGGACCCGCACGGCTCTAGCTTGCAAGTATCGCTGGCCAACGACAGTCGCCGGCGGAAAACTGCGTGATGCATAGTCGGAGGACGTGGTGGGAGGCACGAAGTGTGGGCGTCGTCTCCGCACTGGCAACCAATTCCAAAAGATTAACCTACCCCAATAGTGAAATCCTTGCTGCCTTACAACAACCATCCGGGAATATAACCTTCCGATCATCAATGTGAGGCTCTGCAACAGTGGATGCCAGGCGCACGCCGTGGGGAGTGCTAGAAGAAACTTTACTCGGTTGGGGTGAGCTTGGCTGCTGCTGTATGAGCTGCGTCAAAAGTCCAACTAATTTACGGAACGACTCAGTGTCAGCGATGATAGCGGACTAAGCAACCGCTGACGATAAAATCTTTCCTTAGTCAGAGTGATCCTGAAATGAAGTCCGAAAGTGCCGTTCCCGTGTATTGAAGCGCTGATCAGAGATGGGTACGGGCAATAGGACTGGCGATCTGCTTCATCGTCTACTTAGCGACGGCCTCCTATTTTATAATGTAATTCACGGTCAAATAGCAAAGGGGTCGGGGCTGCGCCCCCGGAGCCGTGAGGAAATCAACGTACATTTCCTGTACATCAAATCAGAATCAACACTACATCAAACCCAAGAAGAACAACGGCTTGTATACGAATTTATATGACTTCGTGTCACACATCGACGCTTAACGCTCCGCACTATGTAGTCGCGGATCGTGTATGACACCCGGCCTCATGGCGTCAGACTCGAATCCGCAAGTAACGTCTGGTGTCGAGCAGAGCGAGGCTTCAGGTCGCACTTCAGATTTTCCGGGAATCTGTTATAGGTCAATGCGTTAAATTTATCACGAATGGGTAAAGAATATCTGGAACAAACGTGATGGTTTCACTCGTATACTTCAGCTCGGGGATGATGTCCTTGCCGTACGCATCTTTCGCGGGAACGATATCGCACGTTGCCAGCATGGTTGCCACAATGGCGAAGATTGTATCTCCGGCAAAGTAGAGCCCAGGGCATGACCTCCTTCCGAATCTGAACGCGAGGTTGACGACTTTGCGCATCTCAGAATCATCTCCATCATAAGGTTCCGGTTTGAATGCCATAGGATCGGTGAAGACTTCAGGGTCATGTAGTATATTCCTGAAGTACCTCTCAAAAACATGTACTCGTTCATGGAAGACAGTGCGCACCAGACATTTGAGCCCACTATCGTGCCTTTCTTGAAATGAAATACTCCGTAGACATCATCTTGGATCAATCCATGTGGAAAACCTGCAAAAGAATGCCGTTGTAACCAATATGGCTGCCAACCCAATATGGACAGACGTACCGAAAGGAACAGAGGGAATCCACCTGTATACTTCAGTGATGAGGGCCCTGACATAAGGCAACGATTCCTTGTCACTGATATCGGGAAGCCGATCGTGTCCTATGACTGTGTCAATCTCTGCCTGCGCCTTGGCCTGGACATCAGGATAGTGGAGCATGGCGAGGATAAACATGCAGATAGTCGACAGATTCTGTCAATTGAATATCTGTCAGTCACCAGTTCTGCATTGAGATTTGATGCTGCGCAACCAACCGTATGAAACCCTCCTCCCAACACTGTCACCGCAGCGGGAACCAACGTCGCCTCTTCTTCTGAAGAGATGACTCCATCTTTTGATTGGAGCGTTGTAGCACAGAAATTGGGCATCCTAGCAATACCATTATCCTGAGATAATCGATGAGACATTCAATCTCAGTAGTTGACGCGACAGATCTCGGGCTTCTCACCAAGTTCTCCTTGCACCATAGATACGGCGACCATGAGATTCTCTGCGAAAGCTTTTTCCAACTCGCTGCAGTACGCAGGAATTGAGCTCCGGGCATCCAAGTGGGTAAGTGCTCGACTGTGTGGATGCGTCACATTTTACGCCTAGATCGATCATCAAATAGTGTAGTGACCTACGCTGAGGAACGAAGTCAACAAGCCACGCCCCGGGCAGAGTTGCCGCGCTAAGGTTGTTCATGAAAATGAGCAGCATGGCAGTCATTGGATCGTCAGGTCCTTTCACGGAACAGCCATAAGTAACCTCCAAGAGGATTGCTGCGATCCTGCTGCAGGCATATTGATCAGCCTCGAATATTGGTTAAGGGCTTCACGACTTGCTATTCCATGTGACTAACCAGTGACTTCGCATCAGCAAGGATGTCGCATACCAGCTTGCGTGCCTGGTTTTCTTGTGTAGGCCAGTATCTAGGTACCGTCGACTGATTGAGACCGTGTGCGACAAGCTTGCGCTGAGCCTTCAAGTAATCGCCATAAGGCAGAAGGGAAGTTACTTGGTCGTATCCAGAACTGCGGATATCCTCACGTCCATGAAACATGCATCGCCTAGTCAGCGACCATCGCACTCACAGTTCAGCCATGACCTGAATAAACCATTAGCGGCCTGTTCTACCTCGTCGAGATTATAGCCTACCAAGGGGGACGGTCGGAATAGATCGCGGATCGTTTGTCTAGCAGATCCTGTGCTACCGTTGCTGAGTTCAAGACTACTAGTGATTGCCTGAATACTTGGAGATATATAATGTCGCCTATTATAGCGCAAGATAAAAAGTCAACCAGCAGCGACACAAGATTTCGAAATCACCCGGGACTAACCATAAAACTTTTTCCACGATGCGTACGTTTACCAAGGACGAACTCGAGGGATCTGCAATAAGTTGCCGATGAAAGGCAAACGAGGCGGACCAGGAGGCAAGTCATGTTTAACATGTCGTGCGAGCGAGCAGTTGTCTGCGAGCTAGGAATGCAGCGAGCGAAAGGACCGCGGCGACAGCTAAATCGACTCGCAGGACTCTCCAGAACAAGATACCGACTGTCGGAATCACTGCTGTTGTAAGGATGTCAGCCATCAGCATAGACGAGACAGTGTGCAGACTGAATGAGAGGAATTTTTGCGCCAGATGAGCAGCAGAGACATGCGAGCGGAGCCGATTAAAAACGGCCAGCTTCAGGACCCTGAGATCCAAAATGAGACATGGAGCATCAGTGGAGAACAGCACGAAAACGACAGCCGAAAGTCGAAATCCCGACAATTGCGTCTGTGACAAGGCAGCTGTATAGTACCCGACGCAACGTAGCGCCCTCATGATGACGGTTCCACGCGTGAAGACACTTGATGGGATCTGTCTCGGACTCGGACGTAATCAGCTGGTGATACACACCGGCTCTTCAGTCACCGTATGCAAATGGAATCGCTCCTCATATACATATGTACAGGTCTTTGCGGAGCGCTGAGATTTAACGTCGATGTGCGAGGTAATAAATCCTGATGATCATAGACATGGTATGGCTGACATGCTAAAACGATGCGAGCGGAGTTTGAACATCAATCCGAATGTGGGCCAGAGACTCACATTCATTCTTGGCAGGATGCGGGGCCAACTGTCGACGCGATCCACCCAAAGGCAGTGGCGCACTCGTCATCATAACGTCAACGGTTGCTTTCGTTAGCATCCTGTCGACAAGAAGGATGAGTCACCAGCACCATATATGCCACAATCCATGCCTCGGGAATCCTAAGAACATCTGTCCGCTGAACGGTGACAGTCAGCGACGAACAGATCACTGGATAGTATTGAAGATGATTGAAAATGATGCATGGGTGATTCATGGAAGTGCTGTTTGCGCATACGATGCAAATGTGGAAGACGTCGTCCATTTTTCGTCCGCACAGTCTCGGGTTCTCATGTCAGAGCATTCCCACAGTATGTACCGGGTGCAATTCGTTTCGAATTCTGCATTCAGGAGCACTTGTGGATACCACAAGCTACTTAGAAGCTTGAAGCCCGAGATCTGATGCTAAACTGGTGCCCAGACAATGGCGATAGACGAGTTCAAGCGAAGAGAACGTTTCGGAGCTCCGAGGATGAGAAAAGTCACATCCGTGCTTGAACGGCCAGAAGAACGGCGGATGATTGCTCTTATTGACGGCTAGCAGCGTGAAGATGAGAACTGTCGCAGAATACAAGCGGGGGTGATGATTGAGGCGCACCAAAGTGATCGTAGAACCAGCGCGCATCTCAAGCACGCCAGAAAATAACTGCGGCACCATTCTACTATGAAGCTGTCTCATAAAGTGATGACATAAATCAGCTGAAGAAGACGACAATCTCTCGTGAAGCCACGATTCGCCTCGAGTTGAAGGACGGTCGCAGATCGTATTTCGAGGTTACTCAGACAAGAAAAAGGCAGTAAGCAGTGTGAGGCTCTGATGTATTCAAGAACACACCATAATATTTTCAATATAACTATGAGGGGAAGGCGGAGACCGACACGCACAAGTCGTCAATATAGAAATATTCTGTACCGACTCAAAGATTGGTCACTCGATACCGTGGACCACTGGCAAGCGAAGTGCATCGGACTTGTTCATCGTCACGCGGCATGCAGCTTTGGCAGAAATAACTGGATTAGGAGACTTGTTGAAATGCTTCATCCTAAGCTGTGTTCCATTAGTCTCGTAACCAGACGTTATAGGTGAAGCCGTGCAACCTGTGCAGGGTACAGGCAGCTACAGGCAGGGACTCGGTGGCGCCACCACAGCCACAGCGGAGTACGATCGGAAAGCGAAAAAAAACCTGCATGGCTCCACCCTACACGTAGTTAGGATTGACAAAAGCAGTCCTGTACATCGAATCAGAACCAACACGACCGATCGAATCATTCCAAGAACAATCATTGTATGCGAATTTATACGCGAGAAATTTCGTGTCATACATCGCCTGTTAACGCTTCGCACTATATGCCCGCGGATCGTGTATCAGTGGGACCCAGCCTCATGACATCGCAATCGAATCTGCAAGTAACGTCTTGTGCCGAGCAGAGCGAGGCTTCAGATCGCACTGCAAATTCTCCGGGAATCTGTTGTAGATCAATGCGTTAAAGGTATCACGACTGAATAAGGATATCTGGAACAAACATGACGGTTTCGCTCGTATACTTCAGCTCGGGGATGATGTCCTTGCCGTACGCATCTTTCGCGGGAACGATATCGCACGTTGCGAGCATGGTCGCCACAATTGCGAAGGTTGTTCCTTCGGCAAAATGAAGTCCGGGGCACGACCTCCTTCCGAATCCGAATGCGAGGTTGATGACTTTGCGCATCTCAGAAGCATCTCCATGATAGCGCTCCGGTTTGAATACCGTAGGATCAGGAAAGGTTTCAGGGTCTTGTAGCATATTCCTAGAGTACTTTCGACAATTTACAGGCGTGCGGTGGAGACAGTACGCACCAGACGTTTGCAACGACTGCCGTGCCTTTCCTGAACAAGAATCCTTTGTAGACATCATCTTCGGTCAATCCATGTGGGAGACCTGCGGAGAAATGCCATTGTAATCAATATGGCTGCCAACCCAATACGGACAAGCATACCGAGAGGAACAGCGGGAATCCACCTGTATACTTCAGTGATAAGGGCCCTGACGTAGGGCAATGATTCCTTGTCGCTGATATCGGGAAGCCGGTCGTGTCCTATGACTGTGTCAATCTCTGCCTGCGCCTTGGCCTGGACATCAGGATAGTGGAGCATGGCGAGGATGAAGATGCAGATAGTCGACAGATTCTTTCAGTTAAAAATCTGTCAGTCGCCAGTTCTGCATTGAGATTTGATGCTGCGCAACCAACCGTATGAAACCCTCCTCCCAACACTGTCACCGCAGCGGGAACCAACGTCGCCTCTTCTTTTGAAGAGATGACTCCATCTTTTGATTGGAGCGTTGTAGCACAGAAATTGGGCATCCTAGTGATGCTGTTATTCTGAGAGAAGCGATGAGACATTCAATCTCAGTGGATTGGGTGCCAGATCCCGGATTACTCACCACGTTCTCCTTGCACCATAGATACGGCGACCATGACATTTTCTGCGAAAGCTTTTTCCAACTCGCTGCAGTACGCAGGAATTGAACTCCAGGCATCCAAGTGGGTAAGCACTCGACTGTGTAAATGCGTCACATTTTACAAATAGATCGATCATCAGATAGCGTAGTGACCTACGGTGAGGAACGAGGTCAACAAGCCACGCCCCGGGCAGAGTTGCCGCGCTAAAGTTGTTCATGAAGGTGTGTAGTGTGGCAATCATTGGGTCGTCGTGTCCTTTCACGGAGTAGCCATAAGTAACCTCCAATATGATTGCTGCGATCCTGCTACAGGTAGTTTGATCAACGATCACCGAACGCTCCTCAGAGGTTTTACCACTCACTATTCCATCTGACTAATTACTGACTTCGGATCAGCGAGGATATCCTGGACCAGCTTGCGTGCCTCATTTTCTTGTGTAGGCCAATATCTGGGCACCGTCGACTGATTGAAACCGTGCGCGACAAGCTTGCGCTGAGCTTTCCAGTAATTGCCGTAAGGTTGAAGGGAAAATATTTGGTCATATCCGGAACTGTGGATTTTCTCTCGTTCATGAAACGTGCATCGCCTGGTCAGTTACCATCGCACTCACAGTTCAGCCATGACCTGAATAAACCATTAGCGGCCTTTTCTACCTCGTCGAGATTATAGCCTACCAAGCGGGGACGGTCAGAATAGATCGCGGATCGTTTGTCTAGCAGATCCTGTGCTACCGTTGCTGAATTCAGGACTACCAGTGGTTGGCTGAATACTTGGAGATATATAATGTCGCCTATTATAGCGCAAGATAGTCAACCAACAGCGACACAACACCTTAAAATCACCCGGGACTAACCATAAAGCTTTGTCCATGCTCCGTACGTTAACCAAGGATGAACTCGAGGGATTTGCAGTAAGTTGCCGATGAAAGGCAAACGAAGTGGACCAGGAGGCAAGACATGCTTAACGCGTCGTGCGATCAGTTGTCTGCGAGATAGAAATGCAACGAACGAAAGAACTATGGCGAGAGCGAGGTCTATCCGCAGGACTCCCCAGAACAAGACACCGACTGTCGGAACCACTCCTGTTGTAAGGATATCGGCCATCAGCATAGACGAGACAGTGTGCAGACTGGATGACAGGAATTTTTGCGCCAGACGAGCAGCAGAGACATGCGAGCAGGGCCGATTAAAAACAGCCAGCTTCAGGACCGTCAGATCGAAAATTTGACATGGAGCATCAGTGGAGAACAGCGAGACGACAGCCTAAAGTCGAGATCCCGACAATTGGTTCTGTGGCAAGGCAGCTGTACAGTATCCGACGCAACGTGGTGCCCTCATGATGAGGGCTCCATGCGTGAAGACACTTGTTAGGATGTGTCTCAGACACAACCAGCTTTCAGGGTCTATGTACGCGGTTTCAAATTCTGGTGGGCATGCGAGCGGAGTTTGAACATCAGTGCGAAGATCTCTCATGTGCCAGACACTTACATTCATTACTGTCAGGATGCCGAACCAATTGTCGATGCGGTCCACCCAAATATGGCAGTGGCGCAATCGTCATCATACCATCAAGGATTGCTTCTGTTAGGATCCTGTCGACGAGAATGATGGCGACACCAGCACCATATGTTCAAGCGAAGAGAACGTTCCGAACTCCGAGGCTGAGAAAACTCACGTCCGTGCTTGAGCGGCCACAGAAAACCGGCGCATAATTGCTCTCATTGACGACTAGCAGCGTGAAGATGAAAACGAACGGAAACGAGCATATGAGGAATACTTCATCGAGCACCTCTACCAGACTAGCCTCCCTTGGCTGTCGCAGAATGCAAGCGGGGGTGATTGTTGAGAAGCGGCGCACCAAAGTGATTGCAGAATCAGCGCACATTTCAAGCATGCCAGAGATCCACCATTGAGCTGTCTCGTAAATGGATGACATATATCAGCTGAAGCGTACGGCAGTCCCTCATGCAGCCATGATTCGCCTCGAGTTGAAGGATGGTCGCAGATCGTATTGCGAGTTTCCTAAGACAAGAAAAAGGTAGAAAGCAGTTGATGAGCGAGGCGAGGCTATGAGGTATCAAAGAACATACCATCATGTTTTTTCGATATACCCATGAGGGAAATGCGGAGACCGACACGCGCAAGACGTCAACATAGGGATAGTTTGTACCGACTGACGGATAATATTGATCACTCGTACTCAATCTTTCACGTTCCTGAATAGGACCGTATCTGGAATCGCTCCATACAAGTTGTGTAAAGCTATCTTGCGGTGGGCCTTCCACATTTGATCGTAGGTCCTTAGGAATGCATCTAGAGCTGTAATCTACAATCCATGCCACATGCAAGAACATCCGGCACTTTGTCATTTTATATCAAATTCACAGGTCAGCCATCACCGCACCAATGTTCAGTAGGGACATAATGGCCTGCCTAGTATGCAACTTACCATACAAGGACGATCAGGATATGTGGAAGACAGCTTGTCCGAGGGCGTCCAAATGTCGCCTGACAATCAGTATTTCGACACTATTCTCGCCCATGAAACTGCATAGGGTGTCTTCGATTCCGCATACGTTAGCCGAGGACGAAGTCAAAAGATACAGGAGGCTTTTCCGATGAGAGATTGCCTGACGCAGCCGGGAGGCGTCAGACAGTGTTTCCGGGTCTGATGACCAGCAGCCGTCCATGCGCGAACAATCGGGCAAGACAGAATGTTCGGTAGAACATGACAAGCTGAGAGCCCGATAGGTTCATGCGGATCCGGATGAAACGTGCCCTTCATCAGTAACAATAAATACCGAAGACCTCAGGGGAAGGACCCTCAAAAAGACGGGAGATCGTTCACATGAGCAGCGCCACCTATATAAAACTAAGCGCACAATTCTGAGATTCATTGCATTAATTGCAAACCTGTGAACGCAGCAATGTATGCGCGTGGCCGCACAGCCTGAAGTATCCATGTCAATGGCAGAAATGTTAATAAAGTGACCACGATGGAGCGATGTATACCCGTAACACATGTGTGTGGCGCTTTTGTTGAAACACGGATCTTTTTGCCAACCTGGGCCAACCAAAAAAAGGGTTCTCAATTAACCGGGATTATCAAAACGGGCTCTTGTAAACCCGAGTTGATGTTCAGAGTGTGCGCCGCGCGCGCCAGTATTCGGCTCATGAGCGGACATGCTGCAGCAATTGATTCCTAGAACTTTAAGCTCAAGGTACGAATGCGCAATTGCTATCGGGAAGGGCCCCATGTGGCATAGATGAACTATGGGCCACATTCTTGTCAATGCTCTAGCTGATGCAGGTCATGAACTGTCCCCTGAACGATGGGCAATACCGTCGGCGTCAGAGAATCAGGGCCTCCGACAGTAATGTACGGGATCGAGCAGAACGAGGCCTGATATCGCATTGCACATTCTCGGGAAGTCTGCAGACAAATAACCAGTCAGACCAACGTTCAAGGCAAAGAAGGGAGTCTGAGTCGTACATAATGACATCTCCCGTGTACTTCAGCTGAGGTATAATGTCCTTGCCTTGAGAATCTTTGGCGGAAATGATATCGCACGTTGCCAATATGGTCGACATTATGGCGAACATGCTCCCTTCGGCAAAGGCGAGACCAGGGCATGCTCTTCTTCCGAATCCAAAGGTGAGGTCGGTGACCTTGCGTATCGCAACTTCATCTCCACCATAACGTTCAGGTCTGAACTCCGTAGGATTAGCATAGACGTCAGGGTCCCGTAGCATATGCCTATAGGATGTCGACGCCTCAACGACGTCTCATAGACTAAGGGTGTGTCTGACGTACCAGACATTCGCTATGACTGCGGAGCCTCTCGGGATGTGAAAACCTTCGTAAGAATCATCTTGCCGAAGGGCATGAGGAAGACCTTCACAAAATTGTGAATACAATGATTTGAAATCTGGAGCAAAGTATGAATGACTTACTTAAAGGTAGAGCAGGTGCCCATCTGTACATTTCGGCAATCAGGCTTCTGATATAGGGCAAGCATTCTTTGTCGGTAATTGTGGGAAGCCATATCGTTCCCCATAACGGCGTCAATTTCCTTCTGCGCTTTTGCCTGTACATCGGGATAGTGAAGCATGGCCAATAGAAATGTGAGGATAGTCGACAAATTCTGGACGTCGTAGAAGGTGATTATCAGTTGTTGGGAGGGAAGTCGGGCTGCGACGCAGCTTACCGTCTCCAATGCACCTCCTAATACTGTGAGCGCAGCGGAAACGAGAGCGACTTCCTCATCGTGAGTAAGTTGCCCACCCTTCTCTATGACCGTCGTAGCGCAGAGATTAGGTGTGCTCGCGATTCCGTTGTCCTGATGGTTCAGCGTGGCATGATATAGGAGTGGACGAAACTTTATGTGCCAGAGTTCTTACCAAGTTCTCCTTACACCATAAATATGGGTTCCACGATGCCTGACGGACGGTCTCTCGCCATTCTGATGCTGTTCGCAGAAACTTAGCACCAGGTGCCCAGCTAGGTAGATATTGCACTGTATATTGAGTATCATGAGTTATCGGAGTCCACGGAAGATTGATAGCATGCGCACGACACGGGATGGCGTCTACAAGCCGCGTTCCTGGCATTGCTGCATTGCTGAAGTTGTGGTGAGCTGCCAACGCTGTAGTCATCATGGGAACATCTTCCTCCTTCACAGTGTATCCATATGTAACCCGTAATATGATGGAAGCCACCCTACTGTAACATGGCGAACTCAAAACCGCTGACCATGCATGAAGAGGCTGGTAACTCACTGTTCAATCTGGCTGACTAGCGAAGTAGGATCATTCAGGATGCCGAAGACTAGCTTTCGCGCCTCGAGTTCTTGAATAGAATAATAGTTAGGTATGACCGACTGGCTGAAATCATGCGCCACTAGTTTGCGCTGGGCTTTAAACACATCGCCATACGGCCGCAGGACGAGCATCTTGTCATGCCCCGAGCTTTGATGGTGTGAATCTGCATAAGCCTTCCCATTATGTCTCCAGCCGTGATAACGCTCACCGATCAGCCATGACCTAGTACCGTGATTAGTGATATCGAAGATGAAGTGATGATGCGACTAACCAAGGGCGGTCGGTCGGAATAGATCGAGGAACGTTTATCTAGCAAGTCATACACCGCTGTTGCAGAGTTGAGGACGACTATCGGCTTTCCGAGGGCTTCGAGGTATATAATGTTGCCTACCGCGATCCAAGGTCAACATCAGCAACGTTGTAGATATTGTTGCCAACGACTGACCATAACGCACCGTCCATTCCGCGTATTGTACCCAAGGCTGGACCCGCGGGATTGAGAGAAGACTGCTGATGACAGGCAGACGAGGCGGGCCCGGAGTAAAGGACAATTGTTATAGAGCACGTACACTCGTTATAGATGAACAATGTGGCGATTAAGACCACCGCCATGAGAGCAAGATTGAACTGGGCAATGTGCCATGCTATTCCGAATGCCAGTAGCACGCCGATCACGAATACGTTTTTCGTCAGCATAGACATGTCAGGGAGAAAAGACAGCAGAAGGCGTACAGGATGGGGATGCATCGCTAAGCAGGCAGCGACATTTATAGAAATTAGGGTGTATTTGTTTAAAAATACGATGTACCAAGGCATTGGGAAGTCAGTCGTCCCGCATAAAGTCAACTGTCCAAAAAGCACCCGCCGGTTGACATGAAACTCAGCACTCAACATGTATGGACTGTAATCACCGAGACAAGACGAACCTGAAACACGGCTGAGAGCAACTAGCGAGCATGGCTCACCCGCTCCTACGGAATCGGCCTTGTTCCGAAGTGGTCCATCAAACCACAGAGACCGCACGTCGAACATACATTCGCGGCTGGAAAGTAGAATGAGACGATGACACTACTGTCACGGATCTCGGCACATTTAACAGCTATGTTGGGAATGGTCAGAAAGAAGGATTGGACAAGGAAAATGTGTTTCATGTATGCATTTCTCGCGCCGAGATACGAACAAAGCACGAAATGATTAACGCCAGGGACCGTATTAGAGCAATTATGGTGATCACCTCTAAGTTTTGAGCCAACGCTCAACCTTATAATGATAACACACGCAATGACAGAGACCGGTCCAGAAGGACCCTCCATCCCCTATGTTCGTCCACAGGTAGTATGAGCAGAAGCCTTGTGCCGATAGTGCAAAGATCGCCGTTGATCTCCACCAGGGGATGGTAAGCCGCAGGCAGCATCTGTCCGGGAATGAAAAGAAGTTGCAGTAACTCCGCTGTCCAATAGCGGATCAAAGGGGATGAGAAAAACTCACTAGCCATATTTTAGGAACTCCCTATCATCGAGGAAGGGGGGAGTGCAAGGCACCCGAAAAAGCTACCAACGTCTGACGTACCGTCATTGCGGGAACGCAGGCATTAATTACCCTATCTTGGATGTACGTATAGTATTGGTGGTTTCGTTTTAATGTGGTGACTCTAGGGTCATTTGGAAGCCTCAAATCTAACAGCTGCTCATGGTTTGCGATATCTCGTTTCACGTAGCCCGAATTGAGGACGCACTCCGTTGCAAGAGGTCAAAATGAACACGTTTCAGATGTAATGATGACTTACTACACGATAATACAAATAGGGTTGAGCCCATTCTACATACAGCTAGACTCTCGTATGAATCCAAATAAGTGACGGATACGTTGATCCTCAATAGTATCAAAGCCTCGACGCTGGAAAACCATACTTCCGTTGCAGGAAAGAATGTATCTCCTCAGCTGAGAGTCCTTGGTCATTACTAAATAATCGGCAACTGACAAAGCACGACCTACCTAGTGCTGCAGGTGCCTCCTGAACGATCAAATGCCCAGCAAAAGGAATGATGACGTTGGACGCATTCTCGGGTCGTCTCCAGACGAGCATTTCCCGAACACCAGCTTCCCTACGAAAGTGACGCAACAGTCACGCACACGTCATCTTGCGACGATGATTGCACTTACTCCGGAGGATTCTTCCCTGGGACGATCCACTTCAATTCGATACTCGTGTCGAGAGAGTCCACAAGGTCCCATGTTTCGTAGGGTGTCATTACTTCCGAGAAGACTAGTGCTTCCTACGACAGTCGTACAGGCGGGACTTTTAGGCAAAGTGCAAGGAAGATTACAATATGACTTACATGGATCCCTGGCATCTTGAGCTTCACACCACCATTAGGATCGTCGCACAGTCCACATTCTAGGTATATGTCGAGCACCGCTGGATCCCAAACAGAGAAAAAGGGTGATTCATTGAACCTCTTACGCGCCTCCTCGCTGTCAAAAACCGTCAGTTAGACTGTAGACACAATTTCGTGCGATACTTACCGAGAAGACCATTGATTCTGACGTTGTAGGGCTCCTATAACATATTGATATGTTCGGCCGCTCAGCAAAGGACCTTCCCGGGGATGCGGACGTATAATGGGGTCAACTAAAACAATGGAGGAAAACAGCTTAGGGACGGAGATCGCAGCACGAGTTCTGCAGGTCGCGTCAAGACTCGCACAGCAATCACAGAACTGCGGGGCACATACATGGAACATCCGCCAAGTGAGTGGCCAATTGCAATTAATGTGCGCGTCTGGTGCCCGTAGGTTTTACGGTGGTGAGCAAGGGCCTCTGAGTGACACGGTAGATGTGTGGGCAGTGCGGACGCAGTCACGTCAATTGGCAAGTAGTACATCAGGAATTGGAGTATGTCGCGGCAGTTATCCTGCCAATCATCTGCACACCGATCAGTATCACACAGCATTGGGACACGAGGAAGGATAAGAGGACCCACACATTCCACCCAGGTTTCCTGCATTGACAAGGAATGCGTCGCCGTGGTTGACGGCCTCCCATACCCATATCTCGTCGATCGCGTACGCCCCTTGAGCGGCCTGCTGGGCTTCAATCAACTTCAACAGCGCAGGCTCCCATATCTGTTGGACCGGATGAACAGATATGGACGTCGTCAGTCCATAGCTTCCTCTACCTCTTTGGGGAACCCATTTGCGTGTGCGGCAAACAGCGTCAAGCCTCGACTCTCCTCTGCACCAAGAACATCCTTTCGCACGTAGCGGTTGGCGCATACCCACAACGGCTTCGTACTTCCAGGCGACGCAAGCTCTCCGTCCCACTGCTTGTATCGCGTTGACGCAATCTCCTCTGCGGTCCTCATTACAGAAGCCTTCCATTGTTCCTTGTCCGGCGTCCATGTAGGCAATGCTGGCAAGGGAACATCAGGAGTCGATCGAGGCGATGCGGCAGGTACAAGATGAGTGGTCAGAATGTACGAAGCGTCCAAGAACGTCCGTGGGGGAGATGGAAGAGGTGGTTTCGATACCACCGACTCGGGTGATTCGAGCGGGATAAGTTCCCTCAATGGCGTGGGGCACAACCTCCCCACTTCCTTCATAGGGTGCGGATGCGATGGATTGGACATGAGAGTAGAAAGGCGAGGGCGATATCGCTAACTACGCCGCAGTCCAGCCGCTGAGCGGCAGCCCTGCGCGGCCACAATGTCCATCGGGTGCTTACCGCATATGGGCATGATCACAGGCGCTTGTGGCCCCTCTTTGAGACGGCGGAAGGTCTCAACATTTGAATTGCGAACGTTTAAATGTACAAGACTGCAGTCTTCTTGAGGGATAAACGAACCGTTGTTTCTGTTGCTCAAACCAATGCGCCTCTGAACCTCGTTTCACGACCACGAGAAGTGTCAGCACTGCATATGTCACCGGGAGACTCCATGAGAGTCATACCGTGCTGATCAGACTTTCAATTTGTGGTCGTGAACGCGAGCCATATGTTGACTCCATTCAAATCTAGAGGCGGTTGAATAGTTTTCGTAAGAGCCAGATTCATATGCGAGAAAGCAGCCAATTTCGTTGATTCTGCAAAGTCTAGCTTCAACGAATTTTGAAGCACATGGCACCGTGTTTTGTTGGCAAGTCTTATCACGCAACACAATCAACGCTGTGACTCTTGGAATTTCCCGGGCCGGACACCGTGGTAGCAGTCCGCGCCCATCCCAGTTCCCCAGTGACCTCGTTAGAGTGCGTAATGAGTTGTGTAAACGGCTGAGGGAACTGGCTACCTAGGTACGTACTTTATACTACCTTCTGCCCCCGTCTCCCGTGCATTTCCGACCGTTCCATCTCCAGGTACCGCCTCCGACGTGTTTCACCACGGCACAACGTTTGTGCTCGGCACGCCAACTTGGCACGTACCCAAGTGCATCCCGCACTGGACTTCCAACAGTGACGCGAGGTTAGTTCAACGTGCATATGCTCAGGGTGAAGCCTTAAGATATATAGAACGCTGTTGCTGACTGGCGATCTGTTGACAGTTCGCACCAGACTGGGCTAGCTGTAGGGTAAAGCACGTATACCGAGGGGCAAACCGATGCCCCCCCCTGTATTATATCTGCCTACATATACATGAGACAGATATAATACAGGGGGGGGCATCGGTTTGCCCCTCGGTATACATGCTTTACCCTACAGCTAGCCCAGTCTGGTGTGAACTGTCAACAGCTGACCGGCGATCTTGTGTTGCAGTGGACACCATAGAGGTGCAGTGAAGTGTAAATTGTTTAACTTCTCCATGTGCAGCATCTACCTCTCTATGATACCGTGACCTTTCTTTGCTAGTCAACTTCCTCTACGACGGCGTGGCGTGTTATTTCTTGCCCCTCTTTCGAAACCCGCCTCTTCTTGTACAGGATTTCCTTGGCAGACTCTGTAGCATATTCCTCCACAGCATTGGGATGGTTACTACGATCCACTTTCATGCGATGTCTTTGTTTTATTGGCCACCGCTAGGTTACACTACAATGATGTACAGGAATTATGTTCTACTCGGGTCACTTCCGGGATATCCTACGACGGCCCACCAGCCTCTCCATCAGTGCCACTCAGACAGCTCCGAATGGGTGAGCGCGATGTCTGCTACCTTGCGCATATCATCCAGTTGCGCAACAACCTCTGGCACCGTTGACACCGTCTTCCAGTGTTGCTGCAGCATATTCAGCTCTGTGTGCACACCGACACATACCAAGACCTCTCACCTCCACCGACGTCCATCCGATGACCAGAGCTAAAGTGTCGTCCTTCTCAACAACACGGCCCCACACGGCAGAAATCACGCCCCACTCTGCAGGAAGCTTGTTCGCATTCGCAACAAGCTCCTTCGTCTTCGCCTCGACTGTTGCCTTCGAAACTCCGGGCTTAATGGTGATGAACCCAAGCTCGGTCGTGGGAGCACTGAGCGCCTTGTAAGGCTCCGCCGCAGGTTGGATATGAATCTGTTGGAAGTCATACGGACTTTATGTCCAGTGGGACACGGACTTAGACATTCCGCGCGCATTCGCTTATGTAATCACATAGCCACAAGCGCGCTC